TCCCCTCACTAACCCTGGGAAGGCTGAGGACAGTTTAGCCTTCCTGTACTATGCCAACTGAGACCAGCAAATTCAGCACAGATTTGACCCAGTGAGCTCATGGTCATTAAGCTACTGATATAAGCCTGGCTCTGTTGGTAACACTCTTAGCTCTAAATCTGAAGGTTGTGGGTTAAAATCCTATATTGGCACTCAGTCTAGGCTGCTACTCAAAACAATTATCATTATGAAAAGTATGCCCAAACTTTGTTTCAGCATACTTATCATAATTATAATCCTTGCATTTGATACAGTGCCTTTATCATGTCGGTGAGATGTCTCAAAGTGCTTCACAGCATACTGTACATTGAAAAGTGGATTGACTGTATTTTGTAGACAGAACTTTATACATTATAGCTAGTCCTGTGTAAATCATAGTGGATTGGCCAAATGTATTTTGAGCTTGATGATTTTGTTGAAGCTTCTGTCATTTTCAATTAAAATTTCAACTGATTGTGTGAAGAAAGCTTTTTAAAAATATTGCACCTTTTTTTCAGCGCTTTGGGTCATCCTCCCGACGTGAAAGGCGCTATACAAATGTAATCTTGTTGTTGTTGTGTTCCTCCTCGCACGACCCTGCCACTGATGTTCTGACTGGTTGCTTGTCAGAATTCATCCAAGACTTGATATCTAACTTTCCTCATCTAAATGTCAGCAAGACCTACTTGACTCCCATCAGCACTTTCTCACCTCAGGCGCTGACCACATTGATCTACATGGACGCACACTCTATTTCACCGAGCTCATGTGGAATCTCAGTGTCCTGTTTGACACCCCCTCCCCACCCCCAACTGTCCCTTTAAGTCCTACTTTGGGCATAAGATGGTGCCCCTAACATTAATTGGTTGAATATAACAGCGTTGTTGATTCTTTTCTGCACTTACTTAGAAGGCAGTTTTCAGTCGTTTAAATGTTGAGATTTCAAAGATTGGCAGTTATTCATTGTCCCAGCACTCATCCGTGACACATAACACAATTTAATCTACTTTACCATGCGGGTGGATTTGTTGTTTACGTGATTAGCAATGGTGTGGTATCAGAGCTCAGTCGGTTCAAATTCAAAGTAGGGCTGTTTAGTAAAACCTGTACAGTATGATGGAGCAAGGGAGTTGGACTTCTGGGCTTGCACTACTGCACCTCAGCTTTGGATTTCAGTAATCCATAATAACAATAATAATCTTTTCATTTGATATAGAGCCTTATCATCTCGTTGAGACGTTTCAAAGCGCTTCACAGAATACCACTGTAAAATCTCATGACTGTATTTTGTGGGTGAAACTCGGCAGCCAATTGTGCACAGCAGTGTCCCACAAACAGTCGTGAATTGAGTGACTAAATTTTTTTTTGAAGGGATTATTCCCCCCGGAAAGCAATTCACCAATCGACTAACAACCACGTTCCTGCTTACTGCTAGGTAAACGGAGGTGTGTGGAATAAGGAAACTCGCCTAAGGTAAATCCATGAAAATGAATGAGGAATGTAAGTTATAGCTTGCTGTCCTGGTGTGAGGAAACATTTCACTTAACTGAAGAGCAAATAGTCTTGTAGGCTAAGAGTAGATGGAATTTCAGGCCTCAAGTCTTACTATCCAATAGGGAAAATTTCTCTCACACACCTTATACCAGATGATTATAGAGCAGCAGATCTGTGAGCGAGTCACCCATGTCCTCCTATCTCCTGGCAAAAGTTAATGCAAGGACATCACAAAAGGAGAAAATAATTTTTTTATGGAAAGTGCTTTACTACATAAAAGCTTTAAATTGCCAAAGGTTCTCATCCGACTTGTTTTATTTCCAGTGCTGAGTGAGATAGAAACCATTACTAGCATAACTTTTAAATACTTTGAAACAACAACAACAAGATTCCATTTATTGAGCGCCTTTCACGTCGGGAGGACGTCCTAAGGCGCTGTACAGTTGGGTCAGGACCCGAGCAGGGGGGAAATGGTCAGGGTGAGGGGAGGGAAGGGAGGGAGCGAGGAGGGGGTAGAGAGTCGAGAGGGGAGCTGAAGGCTCGGTCAAAGAGAAAGGTCTTGAGACCGGCCTTGAAGGAGGAAAGGGAGGAGGCGGCGAAGGCACTGGGGGATAGAGTTCCAGAGCCTCGGGGCTGAGAGGCTGAAGGCCCGGCCACCGATGGTAGGGCGGTTGGGGCGGGGGATGTGGAGCAGACCGGAGCCAGAGGAACGGAGGGTACGGGCAGGTAGGTAGGGGGATAGTAGGTCGGAGAGGTAGGAGGGAGCAATGCCGTGAATGGCCTTGTAGGTGAGGGTGAGGATCTTGAATTGAAACGGCTGCCTTAAGAGCATAAATAACACAAACGCGCCTAATTCTTAAAGGGCAAAACTCACTATCGAAGTTGAGCATTTTTCTGTCTTCTTTGTGGAGTCCTGTAGCTCAGTGGTTAGAGCACTCGCTTTGCAAGCGAGAGACCTGAGTTCAATTCCAGGCAGAGGGCGAAACCTTGGGCAAGTTTCCTTACTCCACACAGAGCCTAATAATAATCCCTCCAAAACCAAAAACAATAATAAATTGGTCATTTTCATTCTACGACTGTTTGTGGGACATTGCTGTGCGCAATTGGCTGCCGCGTTCGCCCACAAATATACAGTCAATTCACTTTACAGTGTGTTCTGTGAAGCGCTTTGGGATGTCCTCCTGACATGAAAAGCGCTATATCAAATGCAAGGATTATTATTATTATTATTTGTCATAAGTTACTTTTGGTTATTTGGTTTTAAACCTTGAATGCTTCTGACAAGATTGAGGTGAATGGCTTGCAGAAAGTACAACTCTTTCGTGGGAGGCATCCTGTTAACAATTTTCTGATTTTTTCAGTACTGTCTAATGTTGGAATGTACTAGTAAAATACTGATCTCCTGTGAGCCTGAAATCTTGCTGTGTGCATATGCAAAGAGTTAGCAATTGGTCCATGTCAAGTTTGTGCACTGCATTTTACAAGTTTATGCACGTGCTGCCAAAATCTTCCAATAACTAATGTTTAGAGGCCAGATGTTTGAGGCTAAACAAATATTAGCTTTATTTGTATGGATGATTTACCTATGTTTACCAGAAATGATGGTAGCAGAGCTGGGAAAGTGACTTAATAATAATAATCTTTGCATTTGATATAGCTCTTTTCACATTTTCTAGATGTCTCAAAGTGCTTCACAGAATATACTGTAAAGTGAATTGACTGTATTATTTGTGGGCGAAACGCTGCAGCCAATTGCACACAGCAGTGTCCCACAAACAGTCGTGGTTTTAAGTGACCAATTTTATTGTTTTTTCTTGAGGGATTATTATCAGGCATGTGGCGGAAGGAAACTTGCCCAAGGTTTCGCCCTGCCGGGAATCAAACCCAAGTCTCTTGCTTGCAAGGCGAGTGCTCTAACCACTGAGCTACAGGACACCACATCTAGCAAGAGACTCCGCTCCTGATCTTTTTTTCAGTTTTGCTATCTTTATTTAGGTAGCAAATCTCATACGTTCCTACCTATGTTGCCATCGCCTCTGCTCATGAGCATTTAGCTACCCAAAGTGTCAACAAAAATATCTTTATTCTCTCTCTCATTCTCTTTTAGTCTAACTTTCTTTCTCTCTCTCTCATTTCTGCCTTTAATTCAATCACTCTAACAAATTACGGAATAAACACTTTGTGTTGCTCGTTCATCTGCTGTGCGGCTTCTGCTTGACTTAGTAGCACAGTTCAGGTGTGGACCTCGAGTCCTTGGGGAATAGATGAGCTCACGTTCACATCCTGTTACTTTGAGCAATATTTAGAACATCAGGGAATTGTCTTCAACTTATAATTGATTTTTAAAAGAACATCAATGACAACAACTTGCATTTATTTAGCGCCCCTCATCTCACCTCGACATTGGCGGAGCATGTACCTCCCTCGTACTTCCTCACAGCCCTGAGTCAGGGGGAGGTACTACACTGTAAGAAATTCATAAGAACTACATAAATACTGCATATAAGAACTACAGTACCAAGAATAATTTTCCTCTAATGCACATGGGAATAACCCAGCTAGTATTAAAATTAGAACTGTTGGTGCTTTCAATTTCCAAAACACCTTGAAGATAAAATGGAGCAATCCTTGTTGCAGGTTAAAATGCAGTTGCTTTGTTGTGTTACTTTGATTATACCAGTAATACAGTATGTACAACATGTGGCGGTAATACTGAGTTTCAACTACAGAGGGAGCTGTCAACTGACCTTTTTTGCGTGATTTTAATAATAATAATCCTTGCATTTGATATAGCGCTTTTCACGTCTTCTAGAAGTCTCAAAGAGCTTCACAGAATATGCTGTAAAGTAAATTGACCATATATTTGTGGGCGAAACGTGGCAGCCAATTGCGCACAGCAGTGTCCCACAAGCACTAATAATGCATTAATAATATTATTAATAATAATAAGTCATTCGCTGCCTCACTATTTGTTGATTATGTGAATTGCTATGTGAATTGGTATCCTAATTCACCTTCAGATACACTACTCACTCTACAGTAAAACCTTGTGGAATGTTTTGTGATGTTTTGATAAGGAGCTATATCAAATTCAAAGATTATCGTATTAGGATTTAAATTGGTGAACATCTTAACAGAAGGGATTTGGCAGCTGAGTTCTTAAAATCTTTGTATTAGAATTTTCTGTACTAAAAATGGGTCCAAAATGTAGAAGTTCTTTATTATAGTGTAATTTTAGCGCATGTGATTTTGAGGCCTTGGGACAAATGACTTAAGCTTTGTGAAGAACTGCTGTAGAAATGTTGAACTGGGCTGGCTGACTAAAAGCAAAATTTTAAAACTAGCGTTTCCTGAGTTTAGAGTTTACCATGAATGTAGATTTTCCCTGATCCACATATGTATTGTAAAGCAATAAGATGGTAGTTTGCGTGTAATGTTGAATGATGAAATAAGAGTGTCGAATAACTTTTTTTCCTTCCTCTTCATAGGCCCCCCCATCCATGGTTAGCCATGAACAGCGTCAACATGCAGAACACATATTCCTGTCATTTAGAAAATCCAAATCACCGTTTGCGGTGTGCAAACACATATTAGGTAACCTGCCCAGTTTTTATGTGTGGCGACATTCTATGTGCTTATGGTCTTTAAGACGGGTTTCTAGATGAGAAAGTTTTGGCAGCGGGTAGTTCTTGAATACTCAGCTAATTGCCTGGGTATGTGAGAAATTTTCTGAAATCTCCAGATCAACACTGACAATTAAACAGGATTTATCCCTGTTAACATTGAATAGTGAAACATTTTTTTCAAAGATCAAGAAATAATATTCCTCTTCCTTCATTGGTAATCTTTTCTGAGAGTATAACATCTTTGTTTTTAAAATTCACCCTTTGCCAGTAGTAAGTGAGAGGATGGTAAGGAGTCATATTTCCAGTTCTCCTCTCGTGCTGAATAATACTATGTCAACTGCTTAAGTACACTGTTAGGAGCAGTGCAATGGTAGGCAGATAAATGATGATTCCCCTTTTTTTCTTTTGGGTCCATCACTCTCAGTGATGATATGGGAATCATTGCTGTGTAGAAAATAGGAAACTCACACTGCTATAAGAGTTACTCTGAATTTAGGATAACATTTTGAGGAGGTATTGAGGGGCCTATATCAGATTTAGTATCTGAACAATCTGTGAGGAATAAGTGTTGTCCTGGAATTAAGAGTCCATTTTCTTACTAACGTAACTAAAAATGTCTTCGATATTATACTCTAGGAAATGTATTTTTAAGCAGTGAACTGGCTATCTTTATAACACGGTTTGAGGTTTTGTGGATCATATATAATGAGGCTCCACAATAATATTTCAATGCCACGTTGCATCTATTTATAGACTTTTAGTTAGATATTGAGATGGATTATCAAGTGCTAAATATACCTCAGTTTTGAGCAGAATCTACTGACTCTTTTTGTTTTCTATTGTTGTATTTAATGAGTAAAGGAAAAAATAGTCTGAAATATTTTGTGATGTTTGTTTTCTTTGCAGAAACCAGTAAAGTTGACTACGTTCTTTTTCAAGCTGCCACAACCATAATGGAAGCAGTCGTACGAGAATGGATACTTCTGGAAAAAAACAGCATTGAATCACTACGGACATTCCTATTAACTTACGTCTTACAAAGGCCTAAGTGCGTACTATGATAATAGAGCAAAATGAGTTGCTATAGATTTGGTCTTAAAGTAATGGGAGCTCTTTAATAGAATACTCTGTGCGGACCGAAAGAAACTTGTTTTTTCTGCAGTTCAGAATCGGTTGAAGTTGAGAAATAACGTTGTTATTTTACACAGCCCTCTGAGGTTTGTTATGCACAAATAATCACGTTAGAGTAAGTAAAAAGGAGAGAAAAGTAGAACTTACGACAATACTGATTAACATCCTGATCTTCTGTTCCTTCATAATGTTAACTGAAGATGGAAGATGTTTCATCTGGGAGTCTAATGCAATAAGATCAAACCCTTGAGAAGACAACTTTCAGTGATGATCCAACATTTCTCAAATCTGTTGCCTTTGACTAAAATTAATAATATCCTTAATTTTTTTTACTTGGTTTTCAAAAGTGAATGGTGAATGTGTCTTTAATTCTTCATACCAGTGAGTTTTGGGCAAATAGTTGGTCCAATGTCTGCATGGTCCAATCTCATTCCACTGTGGAAGAATGAAAGTGCTCTCAGCATGATAAATTCTGGGCTGTGAACTGTGAAACCCTTCATATGTAACACAGATTGTATTGCAGCAGATATTTCACAATAATAATAATAATCCTTGCATATGATATAGCACTTTATCGCGTCTTTGAGACGTCTCAAATCACTTTACAGAATATACTGCAAAGTGAATTGACTGTATATTTTGTGGGCGAAATGTGGCAGCCAATTGTGCCCAGCAGTGTCACACAAGCAGTTGTGGATTGAAGTGACCAATTCATAATTTTTTTTGAAGAAATTTATTACCCCCAGAAAAGCGATGTGCCAACCAACTAATAATCGGGTTCCTACTTACTGCTTGGTAAACAGAGGCGTGTGGAGTAAGGAAACTTGCCCAACATTTTGCTCTGCTGGAAATCAAACCCAGGTCTTTTGCCTGCGAAGCTCTAACCACTGAGCTCCATGAAATAACTTACTATATTAACTATAACTGCTGATTTTCAATGTAAAAACAATTTCAGGGTTTCAACTGTGCTAGGAGTATATTTCTGTATTTGTGATAGATGCTCCAACTGATTACTCTTTATGCTGTAAGCCACGGGTGAAGTAAGCAGTTTGCCAGGTCAGCATTTAATTCATGTTTTTTGGTGGGTATTTCCATTAAGCTTTGAACCAGCCAGTATGTTTCATTGAGATGCTTCATCAAGTGCTTATCAAATCTTGTGGCGTGCTCTTCCACACTGCTGTACCGTACAACTTCAGTATAGCTTGAAATCCGAAATTGCAGTGGCATTTGTAATATGTAGGCTGTGAACAATTACATTTAAAAAATCCTCCTCAGACCTTCACTAACATCATTGAGAGCTACTAATGGTTAGCTCATTCAACCAATAGAAAATTGAATCGCAGTTGGATGTTCATATGCAGAACTCCATCTATACATTTGCTTACACGTTTTTGTTTTGTGTCGTGCCCCCGCGCTGATGTCACTTCCTTTGCAAAGTGACATTAGGAATGATTCCTGCGAACGTCAGCCATTTTTTAGATGGTTTATCAGGGCTGGAAATTGACCCTTTATTACCTTGGGTCCATGGGACACCAGTGCTTCAAGTGAGGCCATGTAATAGCAGGTTTCACTGTGTTGTAGACTTAGAATAGTGTAGCACAGAAACAGGCTAGTAGGCTCTTCAAATTTAGCTGGTGTTTTTCTAATCATGAGCTTCTTAATCTAATCCCACTGCTGATGGCTCTTCATACTGCTTGATTTTCCACTTCTTCAAAGTATCCATCTAATTACCTTTTTATAATTTAAAACATGTTTCAACAATAACTATCTGACAACCATGGGAGTTTTGATGGAGGTTTTCACACACTGTGATGTTAAGCATAGGCATCTATGGATTATAGGATTGAATTACTTGTTGACTTGTGTTTTGGAGTATTCTTGCTCCATTCAAGTTGCTCCTCTTATAGTTGTGTATTTATTTTGGGACCGGGTGTCAAAATGTATTTTTGAGTCATGTAGTATGTTTGGTGTGACCCAGCGATGTGAATATCACAGTAATTGCTGTGTCTAGAGGTATACTTTCAATTTGCCTTTGTGAGGCAGCAATGTAATTGTGTCTGGTGGTTTGGGCTGCTTGTTTTTCAAGGCATAGGTGAGCTGAGATCTTGTACACCTTCAAGCTACTAATACATCCCCTGTGGGGCAAAGTGCATGGGCAGAAAGTAAAGCTGCAATTTGTGCTTTTAGGAAGAACTGCTTTCTTGTTGCTGCCAGTGCTGTGGCGTCTGTTCTGCAATATAAATCGGATAATCCACAGCATTACAAATCGCTTGATACTACAGGGCTGCATCTGTGCAGGAGACTGACTATAAATATGACATGAGAGAGAGAGAGAGACCCTGAATTACTGCCTTATTTACTGATAAAAGGAAAGATGCAAACTAACTAAACCAACTAAACAAACTTTAGTTGGTGAACGCGGTTCTTGGGTGTTATCTAAAAGTCTAAATGTAGCACATTAAGTTCTTAATGTCTTAGGCCAGTTAAAATTGGTTTGCTTTCTTCCTTTTTCTAGTCTGGTATCTGGGTTGATTTTGGTGTTGGCTTCCCATCCAAAGAATTTTACAAGTGACAGTCTAGAAAGGGTGAAGACATATGATGGGATGGCAATATGCAATAAATGTGGGTAGACATGCTTTGACTCCCACTCATCATTGAATTAAGGGAATGTCTGCACCTATGGCCTTCAGCCTCTCTGTCCCCACCCCCTGGAACTCCATCTCACAGTCCCTCCGCCTCACCCTCTCCCTTGCCTCTTTCAAAACCTGAGTCAAGACCCTCCTCTTCGACCCTCCTCTTGTTGGTGTCGTTGCACCTGGTTTGGCAATGTGCAGGAGGATAATATTTATGAATGTTTTTCCACTTATATGGAATTTCAAATCACTAACATTTATAACGTATCTTGTAATGGTAAGTTTCAGCGTGGCTCAGTTGGTCAAATTGCGACAGAAGATTGTGGGTTCAAGACGCATGCTGGGGACTTGTTTCATAGCCTTGACTGCCACTCGAGTACAGTGTCGGGGGAGCATTGTGCTGTTGGAGGTGACATCCTTTGAATGAGATATTAAACTGAGGTCTTGTCTGCCTGTTCAGGTGGGCGGTAAACATCCCACTGTATGAAAAAGAAGGGAATCTCCTGATGTCCTGAGCAACAATCCTCCAATTAAATTGATCCTTCACCTCCTGGCTGTGGGATATTGCTGTGTGCAAGTTGACTGCTGCATTCATCTACAAATGCATAGTCTCTACAGCAAATACTGAAGTGCTTTGATAGATTTAAACATGATAAGGTGCTATAACAAATGCACAGATTATTATAACTTGGTGGTTTATGAATTTTATATTCTGACATGGTTCTTTCCTTCCTTTTTTCCCTTCTTGATCTCTCCCTCTCCTTCCTTTCTCTCTCTCTCTTTCTGTAGTCCTAAAGGCAATGACTCGTGCTGAGCTGCAGTTCCATAGACATCAACAGGCTTACACCTTATCCATGTGGCTACTCTTCATTTGTGAGCATAGACAGTGAGTGTTAGTGGGCTTTTTCCTTCCCCCTCCTTCTCCTTCCATTCCTCTTCCCCCCTCCACTACCTTTGCCCCGATCTCACCCATGTCCACATTTGGGAACAGGAGCAATAACAGCCTGGCAACCAGAAACTGAAATCCTGTCTTTTCCCAAGTTGGGAACATTCGGGGCCTATTGAAACAAAGCACATCGAGTGAGATCAGCTAACTCAGTACAGAGCTTTTGATCTAGCTTGTCTGTCTTGCTCAGCACTACACCATGCTGCGTATTTACCCAATGGGCCATCGTAAGAAACTTACTATTTTAATTTAAGAAAGATTTAAACTGCATTGTAAAACAATGAGCAGTTTACTGTTGAGTGGAATAAGGTAAAACATTAATTTGATTTATATGTATACTCATTTGGTTGCAACATAAAGTCTGCATGAAATATTTTAATTTTACAAAGTGTTTGCATTAAAATAGTTATCAATTTTTAGTTACTAATTGCTTTCTAGAATTATTGTACTCTGACCTGCACCGATGGGTGATCAGGTAAATGGATTGTGTGGTCTTATGTTGAGCCATAGATTGGAGAAAAAAAAAACAAGTGTGATCCAAAATCTGTGCAGATCTCCACTAGAGTGCAGTGGGACCAAACACTCTCTGGGGTGGGAGGGCAGAGGCGTATGGGCAAATAGTTTGCCAGGATTTGTGCTCCCAATCAGAGTTCAGTGACTTCTGGTGGAAAGTATGCGTTATATGGACTTTGGGTGAGGAGAGCATCTGCTCAGTTATGGTGGTCATTAGCCCGCTAGCATCCACTGTCTAGGCTTACACATGAACATTGGCCGCTTGTATGGGGTAGTAGAAGGCTGCTGTTGCTTATGGAGCCACAGTCAGCATGAGAACACAGCATGGCTATAATTATATACAAATTCTGTACTTATTTTTGGTAATGCAGATGTCTAAATAATGTGTTAATATGAAACTAATAGAGCTGTTTTCTAAAAGACCTGCAGTAGTCCCTGTTTTGAGGAGAAAATGTTATTTAAGATACATCAGTTCCACAAGATGAAATATTTCAAAGCCATCACATATTAGTTCTTCCTTTTTTGAAGAAGAGTTGACCATTATACCTTTTCAATACATTTTGGGGAAAACAGCCATTTAACATTTCTTGGATGTATCGTCACTTATGAATAAAAAANTAACTGTGTGTACATTTCCCAATTTTCTATAGATGGTAGTTGTGCATATAAAATCTGTTGTACGCATTGTTATTTATGAAAAAGGTTAACTATGTACGCTCCAATCTTCTATAGGCAGTGGTTAACATATTTGTTCTTTCTTCCTTCTGTAGCCTTCAGAAATATGTGCGGGAGCAGATTTTATTAGCAGTAGCGGTAATTGTAAAGAGAGGCTCATTAGACAAAACCATTGTCTGCAACAGCATCTTCCATGAAGTCAGTCAGTTAATAAGCAGTGGTAGCCCAGCAGTGGTAAGTATTTAGATTAATACAGTAATGTTTATGTGCACTTGGTACTTTCTAACTGTGATCTGCTCGAACCCCACTCTTCTGCTTTCCCCATCTGCTTAGCTAACACAGGTCAGCTGTGCTTCCCCCACCCCTCCATGCCACCCATGGTGACAAGCCTTCAGTTTAACTTCTGGAACTCTCTATCTTTATCCTTCCTCCTCCTCTCCCCCTCTCTGTCTTTAAATTCCTCTTTAAAACCTACCTTTTTGACCAGGCCTATGGTCATCTCGCCCTTCTCCCTTGCTTGGTATCCAGCCCTGCCACTGTGAAGCATTCAGAGTCATTATCCTTCATGAAGAGCTCTATATGTTTATGAATTGCTTTTATTAATTATGCTTTTGCTAAATCTCAGAAGGAATGATGCTATTTTTAGAGATGGCGCATAATAGATCCCAATAAGCTTTTCTGTATCACTTTTGCCTGAAAAGAGTTTTTCCTGGTGTTCTGGCCAACAATCGCCCAAATAAAATTGGTCATTCACTTCGTAGCTGTTTGTGTGACAATTCTGTGTGCAAATTGGTTGCTGCATTCACCCACAAAACGCACACTTCACTTTGCATAAAATCTTGTGAAACGCTTTGGGACATCCGTCTGATGTGAAAGGTGCTTCATCAAATTAAATCATTTTTATTAATTGATTAAAATCACTTTGTTCTAACTGTATTTCCTTGAAATGCAAAAGTAGTACTTTGGGACAATGTCTCAATGCATTCAATATGAAGAACAGGTGAAAGATAACAGAGATGTGTTTATAAACGTGTCTAAATGTTTGAATATTATTTAAACAGTGTGAATGCAGTATGAAATTGCATACAAATTATTTTCAGTTTGAACATTGTGCAATATTTCAGTTTAAGAGCAATTCAATTTGCAGGAGGCTGGGATCAGCTAATATGGCTCTGCAGTCAATTCTTTAATCAGAATATCTCTCATTGTTAGAAACTTGTCCTGTCCTGGAAATTGCATCTCAACCTTGAGAAAGCAGTTTGTTTTCCGCTGTTTTCCAACTAATCCTCCGAGATGCTGCCCCACATGAAGGGCACTATATAAATGCAAGTTATTGTTTTCCTTAAACCGCCTGTTCACTGTGGCTATATTTGTAAGTCCTTTGGGTTGTGTTTTATATTCTCTTTATTAGATCATTCTTATCAGCTGTATTTTTTTCTCTAGAAGCATTTTATTCCGTGATTAATATTTTGCTAATCTGTGCTGTGAAGCATAGAAGTAATAAACTAAGTTTATTCTTAATATAATGTGCAGTACTTACAATGAGATCTCAAATGAATTACCAAGGTCAAGGTAGTACCATGAGTGTTGTTTTGGAACTGAAATGTTGCAGCTGACAGACAACAGCATGGCTTTAGCTGTTATGTGCTCATAAAAATAGAAGCGTGCTGGTAACATACTTTCAGTGTGCAATGAATAGAGAGGTAAGAAGATTCACAGTGTTTTCCTCTAGAGATTTCATAGGCACGACTTTGTGCATTAACACTCCTATGTTTCTCTAACTTTGGCACCATGTAGTCTGGCATTCTGGCTAGTCACTTTGAAGTTGTAGAACTATTGTGAACGATCTTGAGGATAAATCTCTGGGGGAAGATCGGAAGGGGGGAGGGTTGCCGGAGAGAATGAGACACGATTAGCAATGACAAGATTGGCACTCCAAGACTGCACAATTATTTTCACTTGAGTTATCACTTGATGATGACTGAATGACACTCCAAAAATGATCCACTAAAGCAAACAATAAGTAAACCTTTGTGCGCTTTGTCATGTTATATGCATCTGTTTTCAATGATATGAATACACATCCTAAATTGAGTTACAACTATGAGAGAGCAATATTGATTTAGGTTTCTGCTGTTGTATATTACATGTAGAGCAAATCCAATTATTTACCATCATTGATTTTCCACACTTTTTGTGCATTGAGGTGTGCTATTTGCTTGTCCAAAATTGTTAGTTTGTGCTTTTATATGCTAAACTCAATTTGACAATGAATTCTGTGTGTGGTGGGGGGGAAAGAAGGGGGGCAGGTTACTAATACCTTACTGATTAAAACTCATTTTCTATAAAATCTGAAACTTCTGAGATTTTATTCAGTAGCTGTGATTTTTATTTTAAAATTGTAGTTGCTACTATTGTAGCTTAAAGGTTATTTAATTGTGATTTGCAGCAGACGTTGGCATGTTCAATCCTAACTGCACTATTGAGTGAATTCTCCAGTTCCACTAAAACCAGCAACATTGGCCTCAGCATGGAGTTTCATGGGAGCTGTAAGCGAATGTTTCAGGTAAGGTCTATGATAAATCAATATAAATATGATATTCAATATAAATCAATCCAAAAAGTATGCTACATCTTTCAAAAACACCTCACAATATAGAGCTAATTTTGAGAGCTACTTACCATTTTTAATTGAGACATGTGTCGTATTAACAGGGTAGACTGATAAAAGTGTCTAATCCTTGAATGCTCTAAGTTAAAAATACAATCCTATCTGTGTATGAGTCCTTTCAGTCCTTGCCAAAAACTTTACCTTCAGTATATGATGAGAATACTAGTACAGTAAAACTCACATAAATCTTAACTTTATAAATTGTATAATCGCCTAAAACATACATTCATCCAAGTCCCATTCAGTTTCCTATCAAAACCACTTAAGATTTATTTGTACGACTTATTAATCACCTTCTAACTTGTAACGCCGCTCCCCTACCCTCCATTACTCCCGCGCTTATCGGCCGCATTGAATCGTGGCAAATGACATCATGACATGTTAATGCATGTGCACTTACCAGCCAGCTGCATTGAATCACGGGAAATATAAGCTTGATCCCTCGATGCACGTACAAAAGAACTTCATTTCCACAATTCAACGCAATTCTAACGTTTGTCACTAAGTGTGTGAGCAGCAACAAGTGGAGATGTATTGAATATGTATTGAATCGCGCAAAACGTAGACTTGACCTATCACCACATGCACACTTAACGGCTGCATTGATTTACGAATGCATAATGTAGATTATTGATTAAATTGGATTATTTACAATTTATACGAGTTTTCCTGCAACTTGGACTTCGGGTAAGTGATATTAAATGTTGTGGTCCTGATTGATACGATTTTTGTGAGTTTTACTGTATCACTTCATGTTGAATATTAACTGGATTATGAATTTTCTCTATTTTGTCTACTCAAAATACAGGAAGATGATCTCCGTCAAATATTTGTACTGACAGTTGAGGTGCTTCAGGAATTTAGCAGACGGGAAAACCTCAGTGCTCAGATGTCTTCTGTGTTTCAGAGATACCTTGCACTCGCTAATCAAGTCTTGAGTTGGAACTTTCTTCCTCCCAACTATATCCTTTTTGAAATTTCATCTGCAGAGTTATTGTGGAGTGTACATTTTCTTTTTACTGAGGGAGGAAGGGCCAATAAACATCTCCGGAAATGTCACGTGTAGGTGGGATACATGGAATTATGCTTGGTTTGGATATTGTTAAGCATGGTGATGGTTTCTGCAAGTGCCACACCTGGCCGACCCCCAAAAAAGAGAGGTTTACTGTGATTCTAAATATTTCAACTCAAATTTCAAAAAGGCCAAGAGTGATATTTTGACCCAGTTTGGGAACCAACCTGTTCATCTGTAATTATTTTGTTTACTGTCCATTTATATTTGGGTTCTGATTTTTTTTTGCCCCCCAGGATTTCTACACCCACTCCACGACTCCTATCTTTCCATCCAATGCCCCTGTGATTCCACTTCTTAAGTCAACAGGGAATTCCCAGCATCTTCCAAGTCTGAAAAGAGTAACCGTTTTCAAACATGGTTAGAATTATGTGCAAAATCTGAAGCAGGAGTACTTGCTGTCTCACTATGAGAACAAGTCTGAAGGACAGCAGTGAATGAATTGAAAGGTTGGAACAGTAGTTCGGGTGAGGTTTGAGGAGTTATTGAATTAGCCTAAAGGGAATGGTTTAATGTGTTGATTTGAGGAGAAAGTTTGAATCTGATGTGCTCTGTAAGTGAACTGATAGACTGAAAGGGTGGAGGAGGTTATTAATGATTTTGAGATGAAAGGAACACTAAAGTTTTGGCGAGGAACGGATCGAAATTCTGAAAGATAAGGAGATAGAATTTATTTTTAATCCCTCTGGATGAACATTTTAGTGAAGTATTTATAGCTTGATTCATATTGTTTTGTATCTATAATTGTGCAATGGACTTCATAATCCATCTGAAAGTGAGACTACGGGCTGAACTATTTAGACTTATTTTGCTTCTTAGTTCATAAGCAAAATAGAAATTTTACGTGTAGACAAGTCACTAAAGGCAAGTTTTTACAGATACAATACTCTCCTAAAAATACTTGTATCTGTCTATCTTCTGATTAAAGTAATGGGTACATCTGTCAAATCTAATCAGGAGAAGAATAAATTACCTTCTTTTCAGTTTCTATCACATAAGCAGAGGTGCATGAGCCCTTATCTGGTTCTATTAAGGGACTAAATAGTTTGATAAATCTTTTGATTAATGCTAATAAACACTATTGGATATGTGCAAATCCCAAGATTAATACAGTGAACAACTGACGATTATCAATCTAGCTTGTGTACTCTACTTTGGAAAGTAACCAATAATAGTAATCCTTGCTTATGATATAGCGCTTTATCACTTCTTTGAGATGTCTCAAGTTTCACAGGAAATACTGTAAAGTGAATTGATTGTATATTTTGTGGGTGAAATTCGGCAGCCAATTGTACACAGCAGTATCCCACAAATAGTCATGGACTGAAGTGAACAATTTATTATTTTTACTATTGGCCCCGGAAAAGCGATACTCCAATAGACTAACTGCTAGGTAAACAGAGGCGTGTGGAGTAAGGAAACTTGACCAACATTTCACCCTGCCGGGAATCAAACCCAGGTCTCTCACTTGCAAGTGAGCTACAGGACTGTCAACAATGAGTTGCTGATATTTTAACCTTCACTTAATTGTACTGTTACCTGAATGCCGTAGTTTGCAAATACCTGAATTCTGTGCTAGTGGATTTAAAAGGTCAAATCTCAATAAATGAATCATCAAATGTAATGTGCCTTAATCTGCATAGATATACTGTACAGTACAGACTTGCTATAGAAACATAGTATGAATCTAAAAATAGAGCCCAGTTTTAAAATTACTCATCTCCACTTATAGTATGACTTTATGGTGACTTTATATTAAGTGATGAGGAGCTATATCAAATGCAAGGATTGGTATTATTATACGTTTCTAATGAAATATTGCAAACACTGATACAAATAGCATTTTGTGTAAATGTTCACTTTATCAACTGTTTCAGCGGTGGAGTATGTTGTGAAGAGTTGGTCTTAATTCAAAGCTAAACCCGTATAATCAAAACATTCATTCTTCAGTTGATTGGCAATAACAGGTGGTTATTCTGCAGTACTTTTGAGAAAAGAATTGTAGCTCTTAAATTTTTTTTAACAAAAATGCCAGAGTTCTTAGAACCATAATTAATAGCACTAAGTGTGGCCTTTTCATACTTTTATTTAGTTTTTCTACTGTCTCCTAAGTGGCACTCTACACAATTGGATCACATTCAGATCATTATCTCACGTGCTTTCCACATATCTGTTGGCTTGCATGATGAGTTCTAATAATTCCATTATTATTTATTAACAAATACCTTCAGTTTTGAATAACACAATCAAGCATTGTGTTAGCACAAAGAATTTGAGCCATTTCCACCCAAAGCCAGTGTTTAATTTTCATTTAAAGAGCAATTGACAGCTGTTTTATGGAGATATACTGGAGCATAAAAGTATATTTGCCAAGTTTCCAGTCAAAAAGCACAGCTGGAGGATTCTAAAGGGTTTTAAAACTAAAAAAAAAAGCTTACAAACCCTACTTAACTGTTAAAAATATTTAATGTAATTTGGTGCCATCTGTCTATCCTAACATAATTATGTACATAGAAAATGCATTTCCCACTATTAAGTTTTATTTAATGGATAATCAGCCGATAGATGGGGGTTCTGATCTGGATTGCTGACTGTCCAATTTAGTGCATCTGTGAAAGCTTTTAAAATGTTGGAAGTATCCTCCAGAAAGACAGCTGGTAGTGTTCCACTCACTATTTTACAAAAACAAATCAGTTTTATTTTCACATAAAATGTAACAGTCTACAAAGTCGTAAACTTCATAGACCTGTACCAATAATTTATTTTTTGGAAAGAATCTGCATTCTGAAGAATACCTCCTACCAGACACTGTATTCCTGATTCCATTAGCATTGCTTTGTGATACACCTTCTGTTCCCTAGTCTTTTATGCTTTGGTAACAAATCTTCAATTTATTGTACCAAATAATTTGAATCTTCCCGATGGCGGTAAACTCATCAATCTGAACTAGTCCCATCAATAATCTGTTCAATGCTACACCAGAATCTTGTGGCAGCTGCTCATGGCTTCAGATAGCTGGTCATTGACCTTCAGATGAGATGTTAAACTAAGGTTCTGTCTGTTTATTCAGGTGGACTTTAAAGATCCCATGGCACTGTTGGTAAAGAGAAGGAGCTTCTCCCAGAGTCTTGGCCAACAACCCCTCCCCCAAATTAAATTGCTCATTCATTTCATGGCCGTTTGTGGGACATTTCTGTGATGTGTTGCATTCACCCACAAATACACAGTCACGCCACTTCACAGTATATCCGTGAAGCGCTTCAGGACGTTCTCCCGACAATGTGAAAGGCCCTATACCAAATGCAACGATTATTTTTATGATTATTATTATTGTGGAGTACCATTCTTCTATGGCTTCTGTAATGTGTTTTGAACTGATGGATATGACTGGCCGGTTGGACAAACTCCCCATGTTCCTAATGCCATAATTGTGATGTGGGAATTCTAGTTCAGGGAGGGGGTGGAAATGCTTCTTGTTAAGAAAATAAAAATAACCTACAAGGTGCTATTTGGTTGAACTACATTACTTTTTCTAAGGATGAGGATTGGAATTAACAGCCAGCAGAGTTCAGCCTCGGATTTTGAAGAGGGACGTGTCCGATCAACTGTTCAAGGTTTCAGTGAAGCATTATGCACACTATTAATGTTGGAATCAGTGATGGTGGTAGGAGATTGCTGGATATTATGTCTTTACTTTTGGACTTTGCTTGGGACAGTTTTTCAATGATTTTGTTTGCCACCATTGGGAGCACATCATTTGAAGTTGAAGGAATATCATCCTATTTAGTAATTTTTCTTTGCTTTCTTGCAGGATGTATGATATCTTTTGAATTGCACTCTTGCACTAGATCTTGAATAGGGAAGAAACATACTTAATTTAGTTTAGTTCAGACTAATTGTGGCTATTGCTAGTTTGATAGTATGAACTGAATAGCACAATAATCCTTGTATATCAGAATTCATTAGTATGAATTCTCACAAAAAATATGTGGCAGTTAACTGTTGTAGCTTATTAGAATAAGTTCACATCAGTTGTGTTGCTATTAAGAATATCTGATCATAATTTCAGGTAATTAAACCATTTTTAAAGATTTCTAACATTTACACTCTATACCAGCTTTTAATACAATCAAGTTAATTAATTCTGTATTCATCTCTAATAACTCTATACTTTTGTGAAAAGGGTTTGGTTTGATATTAATGACCTTTACAGGTTTTTTTTCACTTGTCTAATTGTTGGGTGTTTGTGGCTAAATATTGATAGGTTGCATTCTTTGTCTAAACATGGTGGTGATTATATGATTATAAGAGTTGCTAATAAGGTTAAAAAAAATTAAACATCTTTATTCATATCTTTTATTTGAACATTTATTTAGGGTACTAAGTTAATATAAATCTTGTTTGGATTTATAGTATTGTGATTATTTTTAAATTTGGAAGTACTTGAAAACTAGTGCCACTTTAACTTTTGAAACCTCAATGCAAGTGTTCTTCAAAACTGGTCTGAAGCATGAACTTGAAAAGGGATTGAGACTTGAAAGGGTGCAAAGCTGTTGGCACTTAAGCTTCTACCTGCATTCTTGGCAAAATCAAAAGCAGTATAGAGTATGGCACAGCACAGTAAAATCTATGGAATGCCTTCCAAGTCAGAACAGTCAAACAATGCCTGAGTGCAGCAGGCAAAAGCTATATATAAGTGTTCCTTTCAAGGGGGATGCCCTTCAGCTGTGCTTTTTTTATGTGTACTTCACTTTTCTCTGAATGTATAAATGTAATTGTCATGTAACTTTAGCCAGAGTTGAACAAGAGTTTGTCAGATCTCTGAAGCAGAAACAGTTGAGAAATATCACCTACTAAGTAAGTGTATTTTTATGTTTTATTCATCAAAGCATTAATTTTAAGGAATCACTAACCGATACTTTTGAAGGTTGTTTTAAAATTGATTTGTAGTTTTAACTAAAAGGACATAATAAAGATATTTTCTCGATATGATGCTGAATAGCTTGTACATGTGCAATCCACGGTATTGGTAATTTCAGTAACTTACTTTCAATGCAACCTTAAGCATCTGTACCGATGTGCCGTGTTGGGGATTTTGCCAGTCTACTTTTTTATTTGACCTTTGGCTTTATTTTTTTATGACCACAAATAAAAACAATCAGACCGAGTAATCCTGTTCTACTCTACTTGTCAATTTATGTGTTGCCCAGTCTCCACTCATTGAATACAAGTCCAGAGCACTCCAGTTTGTGCCTCTGTGCTGCTATTGTCACGCATGAATGATTCATGCTTCTTTTCCTGGGTCAGGCCAAGGTTGAGGGGGGAATAGCGGAACAAGGCTTGTATTTCAATAGCTTTTGTGGAAACTGTTACGTTTTCTTTTAGTAACTGACTAATATGATAAACTTTGACCAATTCATAAAGTTGATTTGAAGGTTTTTTTTTGCATGATTTCATAATCTGCATCAACTGGATGAATATTTGCATAATCAGAAATGTCCCAAAGACTAGTGACTACAGTTCATGCTTTTTAAAATATATAACGAATGTTTCAATCACGATAAATTTTGTAAAAGGTATTGGGAGTTCAGAAGATAAAGTTGTTTGTACCATCACTAGTAAATCTTGACACCTGTTAATTGTAGCTGCTGCTGCTGCCTCTTGTCATTTTAGGAGCTGCGGTTATTCATGTGATCATATCACAATGGAATGCCACATGATTATAATCAAACGTTTATCTTGCGATCCTATAGAGGTCTTGTTTCTGAACAGTTATATGCTTTTATTCTTTAACCTCATGCCGCAGTTATTCGATGTATTTAGCTTGGCTTAAAGTTTATTTCCATTACATTCTCCCTCTGAAGTCCAGTTAGTCGTAACTAAGAAGTATTTTCCCCCTAGTAGCGTTCCTCTGTTGACCTTGACTCCAGATAACTGGGCAGGCATTATATAGCTATGTTTGAATCCTCCCAAAATGTGATGTTAAAGCCAACAGAATCCTGGCGAGAGACGCTTTTGGACAGCAGAGTTATGGATCTCTTCTTTACAGTAAGTCGTTTCAAATGTATACATTGTTTTGTTAATCAGGGTCAAAGAGTACAGGAACTGTGCCATTGTTTTTCTGCATTCTGCCATTGTATTCTGTTTGATCAATTACAGGCAATGAATTATGGCACATTAGGTTGTTCTTTTCTTCCTTCCTCCTCCCGTTTTTATACAGTTATTTAAGTGCATTTAGGTAGTTAACTATTGTAAGTGTTTTCAGTTCCTTTTCCAAGAAATTACAATAATGCTGGGTGAATAATTGTGAATGCTTGAATTGTGTGATGCTTGAATTATAGTTCAGTAAAATACTAGCAATTTCCTGTTGTTCATTTCACATAAAGGATTGATGTAGACATTAAAACACCTGTCTGTCAAAACACTAAGAAGGTATAATAAATATAAATTATTTGAAATTTTAATTTGCTGTTATATTTTCTGTTGTGTGTTGCATTGTTAATACAAATCTGTAGCTCCTGCAAAAATCAGTTCTGAAAAATGTATACATCAAAATATAATCAATATTTAACAATGGAGTAAAACCTGGTTTTCCCTTCTCAAAATACTTTGAAATATAATTGTTCCCAGTAATATGTGATAGTCTGTTGGTTGTAAATACCACAGAAATATTGTGCTCGGATTGTTTCCGAAGTTACAGTTTAGTCAGTGACAAAACTGTTTTGCATGCGGTGTTTGATTTAAAATTCGCTTTGAACTACTGAACAGATAATAATTTCTGTCAGGCATCCATCTCTGCACATTTTGCTTTATTATGAAAGACTTGGATGCTGTTAAATTTTAATCTAAGTTTATAAATTGCTTTGAGCCATCAGGCATTGTTAGCTTTAAGAGAAAACAATTGGAAACTATACTCGTGTAAACTCATCCATCTATGGACGTATTTACCACCTCTGAAACTTTAAAGACTTTTTTATAACATTTTGTCAGAAGTGACCTTCTCTCAGACACGTGTTTCCTTTGACAACTGACAACTGGTCCTGCTGGGGTTTATTTTGGTGTTGGTCTGCCTTATTAGGGAGGGACACATGACTCCGTTACCTTTGCTAAAATTCTAGTATCTTCAAATGTAGATTCAAAATGAGCCAAATTGGACTTTTTTTTAAAAAAGGGCCTGCCTTTTGATTTTTCTTCAGGTTACAATATTCATTGAAATAGCCGTATTGTAGTTCCTCTGATTATAATTATAAAATGTATTATACATGTAAATTGATAGGTTACTCTGTTGTACTCTTAAACGTTACATTAATTGATAATTCTTGACCTTGTGTTTTGGTAGTCCAAATAGGCATGGAGGTGTTGGTTAAACAAAGGGAGTTCGACTTGCTTCATTTATTGGTGTTCCAATTTCCTCTAAAAATTGGCTTCCCATTGTGTGTGCAGTTACATTTCTTAGTTTCAATAGAGCACCTGTTGTGTGTGTGTGTGTGTGTTTGTGTGTGTGTGTGTTTGGTTCACCTTGTTGGGCACACTCTGAATCGGTATTCTGTTGTGAGTCTGCAAGTGAGAAGGTGTCTGACTAGCACTGGAATGTTGCTAAGGTGGTTTCAATGTGCATCACTCTCGGGCACTGTCTCAGCTGCATTGGAGTCCTCTTTGTTCAAACCAATTTTGGTCTGTATATGTAGGGATGAGTAGCTTCATTGGAGTGTAGTTTGATTCACTCAATGCAGGTACTAAGATTTCACACCAAATATTTGGTACAAAATTCCTAGTTAGTACAACTGCACTGCTGAAGAAAATTAAAGATAGGTTACTTTGGATTATAAAACTACTATATTGTACTACTATGGTTGTCTTTATGGAAAAACATAACTTGGAAAGATGTAAAATGTTTGGAAAAGCACCAGAGTTACATATAACTGGTATCTGAATTTGGCTTTAACACTATATTTAAAGAAGTACATTGTCAAGCATGATAACCAAATACTGCTATGTAATTGTGTTCCCTTTAGGTGAACTACTTGTGTCTTTTGTACAAGTTTAATTTTGTTATTGCATTTGTTTCCTGTTAATGATGCAAAACTTATCTATACTCACAGTATATTTAGCTGTACATTTTTTATTCTTGGCAACATGACAGTAATGTAGAGCTACTTGAGTTCTTACCCTTCACGGATTAAAGCTTAAACAGATGTCTGTCTAAGTTTACTTGCCAACACTACTTGCCAACACTAAATTTGCAGTTTGTCATCAACTGCTCCGCTGAATAAACAGGTAACGTTTAGTTACATTGACAGGAACAGTTTTAATCTGTAACACAAATATTTTTCGTTCTTAAACCTTTTTTTCAAATATAACTGCAAGTTGATTGACTTATATTTTTTTAAAAATTCCAAATACCACGAATATAATGAATTCTTACAGTTCAAGCATAAGATAATTTCCTAGTTTTGATTCCTGGTTTTACACACATTTTAAGTCTTGCAAATTATAATTTTGTGAAGTATTACTATGAAAACCGTTCTTATTGATGATGTAATAAAGAAGACAGATGACATTTTAAGATGTTGTTTTAATTTTCTGGTAGGTTCATCGCAAAATCCGAGAAGATTCTGACATGGCTCAGGATTCCCTGCAGTGCCTAGCACAGCTTGCCTCTATCCATGGACCTATATTTCCCGATGAGCGAGCACAGGTTGATTACCTGGCTCATTTTATTGAAGGATTACTGAACATGATTAATGGGTATGTTCACTTTCGAGTATATTGGTTTGTGTAGTCCCATTCACATTTTGCAACCAAATAGGCTAACTGGGTGTTTTGCATGTTTCTGCCTCACAAGTGTTATGGCCTAAATTAATTCTGTATACATTTAGCTCAAATTCTGGTAAAGTAACTATAGAACATTGGACTTTTTTTTAAATCAGCGAGGCAAGCATTGATAATTGCAACATTTGATTTTTCTTTAACTTGCTGTCGAGAACGAATTGACTACAACTAATTTTCAACTTCTAGGATAGAAATTGAGGATTCTGAAGCTGTGGGAATTTCCAATGTCATCAGCAATTTGATTTCGGAGTTCCCCCGCAGTATCTTAACTGCCATTCCAAGTGAACTATTTTCTTCTTTCATAAACTGCCTCACACATCTTACCTGCTCTTTTGGAAGAAGTGCTGCACTTGAGGAAGTAGTGAGTATTTTCTATCTCATCTTATTATTATGTACAGTATATCTAACTTTGCATTCTCAAACCAAGGCTTGGTGCATGAAAATATTCCTTGTAATTTGTCTAAAGAGATTGCTCTAAAAACTCTTCTGCTAGCAGAATTATTATTGGCTTTCATTTTATTTTTTAAAATCAGGTGGATTGAAAAAAAACGTACTCTGGACTGACTAGATCATTAACTCAACAATAGGTCAACTGTAACTGGGAGCCAATTTTTTTAATATTTCAGCACTAAAGATACTATCCCGCATGAAGGGCACAATATACTGTATATGCAAGTTGTTGTATATTATAAGCTCTTTGCATGCTACCCTGCGTGAGGGGTGCTATATAAATAAATACAAGTTGTTATATTGATTGTACTTTTTATGTGAGAGGTTATGTCACTTTTTTATTGCAAAGCTTGTAAAGTTTAGTAGTTAGAATGAATATCTTCTGCAAAATGCATATTGACCATTTTTGATTGATAATCCACTGGCTGCATGTTGTGTATGTTGATGTAACTAAATCATGCCGAAATTTTAAAATTAGCATTTCTAATAATTAAGTTCTCAAGAATAGCTGCATAATGTGGCAAAGGAGCTTTGAAATTAAGTCCACTCTGGGAAATGTAATATTTTACTTTACAGGATACAAATGTTTTGGCAGTAATTTGATGTATGTTTCGCAACATGTTGCATTTTTCTTTGACAACTATTACATTTTGCTCAGCACATTCTGTAGAGTGTTACTAGCTGCAGAAATTCTAGCACTTCCCTAAACATTTAACTGTGATGAAGTATTTTATCTACTTCTGGAAGTGCTGAAATCTGCTGGGCCCTGCAATAAAGCATAGTATTTACCAGTTCACATTTTGTTTGGTTGCTGAAAAATCACATTTGTAATGTATGAAAGAGACGTTTGTATTGTCAACGTGAGAAATGGAGGAACTAAGTTTTGTTCAAAAAACATATAAGTTTTTGCATCCCTGTTGAAGCGATGCATTAGGACTGCATTAGTAGCCCACCAAGTGGAGAGCTTTTGGTTCTACAGCTTCCCAATTATTTTTTTAATAGGGATCCAAGAGCTTCCCTATAAAATGAGTGTACAATTCCCTACAAACAGAGGATGGTTCCAACTAGTGGTGCTTTTGCATGTCTCGTAGCTGTCACTTCAGAGTGGTATTGGAAGAGGCACTGAAGCCCTGAAGTTCTTAGGAAATGGTATCTGGGTGTTGGAGGGAGGGGGTGTAACTTAGCAGAAGAAACTTAAAAGATAAGGAGGAGATTTAAAATGTGACAAAGTCAAATCCCTAAGTATGCAGGGCAGATAACGTTTCTTAATCTTATGCAAATTGTCATCATGTTCAAATTTTGCTTAGATAGTAATTCTATAGCCACACTACTATATGTAACATTATAACCAGATCCACATTTTTATGTGTCCCCACTTATTCCATCCAACTGGATTCTGCTGTATTCTCAAAATGTGTTGAAGTGTAATTGAAAGGAAGTTGTAAATGGTAATGTTATACTTCATAATATCGCACAGTAGATCAAAGAATAATGTTTCTTCAAGGAGCACTCACAACTTCAAAACCAGCTGTTATCGGTATTTTTAAAAGAAATATCCTTCTATAAATAAAACTTGTGGATTAGTTTTAGTAATCCCAGTATTTAACCCCGAAGCATGCTTGCTCATATCTGCAACATGTTTTCCTGACTAATAGGTCTGCAGAGAAAAAAGGAAGCTACAATTGACATGATGGATGAATTGAATCCACTGTTTTATCAAACTCCATAAGTGTGTACAAATTCTAGAGAATTGAAGCCCTTTACTTGACCATTTTGTTTGTTAAGATACCTTTACTCAGAAAGTTTTTCAGTATAATTTGCGGCATCATTTTCTGTTGCTGTATTATTTGTATGATTCCTACTGGTGTATTATTCCACAGGCGTTGGTTACCTCAGGGGTTGTGCCTCATGCAGGGGCTTTACAGCATGATTATTATTATTATTATCTGCAGACAGTGGGGAAACATCTCAAGTCAATCCCAATCCTGTTCTTACTTTAATTCCAGTATAGGTCACTGGATAATGAATGGTAGCATGAAAACTATTTGATTTTAATATTGGTTGATTTTTTTTCCCCTCTCCCTCTGTGGCTTGGGAGTGATGAGGCACATTGATTGGGTCCCTACTGCATGAGAACCAATTACTCAACACAGACTGGAGAACAAAGCTGAAACCAAGTCTAGATGGTATATGTTATACCAGAGAGTGACTACATCAGGGCAGTAAATTCCTGATAACTTAACTCTGGCTTAACTTGTTACTACCACTTAATTCACAATGCTGCCAATATCCCGGTTGCATTTATCTGTGTACTTATACATATGCCTAACTCACCACTCCGGATAACTCGTCACTGATCCTTTTTCCCTTGGAGTGACGAGTTTTCAGGAATTTACTGCAATTATTCTGCCCATTTGTTTTAAAAAGCATAATTTGTAAAGATAACAGGATTAAATGGTGTTACCACTTTTAAATTGTGAGTTTGCCCCCTGAGGGAAGTCTGAGAAATTGCAGGGGGGGGTGTAGCAAACCTAGCAGCATTCTTTGTGTGTGCAGATATTTTGGTGTCATTACATAAGGATTACAGTGATGTCAAGACGTTAGAATTAGAATTGTTTTAATTGCTGTCAAATAATGTTAGCAGAATTATGGAAAACGATGGAACAAAGTTGATATTTCAGGTGCATTTCCTAGCCACTGGTACCGTTATTTGAGGAGCAGAGATCACAAAAAAAATCCTGTTCGCTTGATGTCAAGCAAACCATCTTGATGTCATTGCAGTACTTAATGTCACATACCATAGTTGGTGTTTGGCAGTCTAGAGGCCATGTAAAAGTCCTGGAGGCTTTAAATCCAGTTACACCTCCAGTTTGGAACCACATATCAAGTTTTCAGAGCTACAATGTAATAGTAGCATAAATTACCAGTGTCCTTTGAGACACTGGGAGAATGAAATGTTCAGAGGTTAGTGCTGAGGTCAAATGCATTGGATGTGAAACTTGATTGAGTGCCAATCTAAGTATTCCCGTCTTCAATTTCATTCCAATGTCGTGCAATATTTTCCATATACTGTAGTTAGGATCTAAAAAAAATACACCAAATGTTTACTTAGTATTATTACTATTAAGATCCTTCAGAGAAATGAATTAAAAATACCTAGAACTTGTCATCGGCAGACTTGTAGCATATTTACGTAGAAATCCTGTTTTGACAGTCAGTAAGTTGCCAAACTGCTTTTTATCTACGTCCTTTGCACTTCCAATGTACTTCCATGTTTCATTTGAAATGCCATTTATTCTCTCCATTTAGCTGTTTTTTAAGTTCAGATCTAGTTTAATAGAAAAATCATCAAACTATTGTGAAGTTCAGTAATTTAATAGCAGGTATCCAATTCTTCTGGTTTCAAAATACTCACTGCTGGGGATATAACCCAGATATACCCAGACCTCATCCACTGTTAGTTAAATTAAGAAAATCTAATGGTATAAATACATTGGATTCTGATCATCCATAGTTTTTTAAACAAAATATATTTCTCCATGTGTTGTGTCTCGAGTCAAAATGACAGGAAGGTGACCTGCTGATGCTGTAATGAAAGTGGCAGTCTTTTTGGTTTGATTTGAGTTTGGAAGATTGAGGGGTGATCTGATTGAGGTTTTTAAAATAATAAAGGGATTTGATAGTGTAGATACAGATAAACTATTTAATTTTAAAATTAGAGCTAGGCATTTAGGAGTGAAATTAGGAGGCATTTTTCCACACAAAGGGCAGTGGAAATCTGGAACTGACCCAAAAGGCTGTGGATACTGGATTCATTCACATTTTCGATATGGAGGTAGATAGATACTTGTTAGGCCAGGGTATTAAGGCATATGAGACAAGGGTGGTAATTGGCCTTGAGGTACAGATCAGCCATGATCTTATAGAATGGCGGAATTGGTTCTAGGGGCTGAATAGCCTACTCCTTTTTCTATGTTTCCTCTTCCTTAATTTCCATAGTGGCACTACTGAGGTCCATGCATGTGGAGGAATAACTGGGACAAACTGACCAGTACACTGTAGTGCAATGCCTTGGCGCCCAGTAAACTACCTTTGTTCTGTGCTAGATTTTTTCTTGTAAGCCGTGAATAATTCTGACTTACAAACATACTTTTGACTGGCCTTGATCAATTTTCGGTTTTGTACCTTAGAGTAAATAAACCATGACACCTTGTGCAGCCTTTTAAGTTCTGCAAAAACAGTGATTACATTTGACAGAAATTGTGAAGCACTTGGAAACTTTCACATAATTGTACCCTATAAAATACAAGTTCTTTTTTAGAACGACGATGCCAAAGACATTTTAAGTTATCTATTTTGAATCTATAATGTACTCTGTTCGTTTTGAGCTTAATGCTTTCATTCCCTGACCACATTAAATATTTCTTTCTATATTTATTTTGGTAAGTGACTACATAGAATGGAAAGTATGACATCTATATGAATGTGTTTCTTTGTAGCTGGACAAGGATGACATGGTGTACATGGAAGCATATGATAAACTCCTGGAGTCCTGGCTTACACTTGTGCAAGATAACAAACACTTTCATAAAGGGTTTTTCACTCAACATGCTGTACAAGTTTTTAATTCCTACATTCAGTGCCATCTCGCTGCACCAGAGGGCACCAGAAACATGGTGAGTTTTTCTTAGATTCAATTAAGTTTGTTTTTGTCCCTTCAGCCTTCAATTGTTGAAGTAAGTGGTTATCAATAAGTGGTTATCAAGTACAAAGTCACCCGATTATAATGTGTGTCCTAGTTTAACACGGATCTGCTTATATACTGTGTACCAACACTACACATGAAGCACTGTATACTTTTGCCTTCCAGCACTGAAGGTGCTCAGGAAGTAATGTTAATGGTGATCTGACAGCCCTAGAGGCATTTTTTTAGTGCATCTTGTTGTAATGTGGGATCAGATTTCATGGAACCAAACCACTACATTATAACGGTGCCACCCTTTTTTTTTAAATACGTATTTGTGTAGTCCTGTAGCTCAGTGGTTAGAGCACTCGCCTTGCAAACGAGACACCTGGGTTCAATTCCAGGCAGGGCGAAACCTTGGGCAAGTTTCCATACTCCACACGCCTAATAATAATCCCTCCAAAACGAAAAACAATAATAAAATTGGTCATTTTCAATCTACAATTGTTTGTGGGACATTGCTGTGCGCAATTGGCTGCCGCGTTCGCCCACACATATACAGTCAATTCACTTTACAGTGTGTTCTGTGAAACGCTTTGGGACGTCCTCCCGACGTGAAAAGCGCTATATCAAATGCAAGGATTATTATTATTGTGTACCTGTTTTGTTCCTATCTTTACTAACGCTATTTGCCTCTCAGAGCAGTCCAATTCTGTTTGTTTAAGGGATTAAGGGATTACTCCTTGGTGGATCAATTTGCACCAGCTACAAAATGATGTGCAGACACCACCTCCTGGTTTGGGCAGCCAGGTTCCAGTGCTTTCACTTTTGGATCACACTGAATAAGTCAGACTAATACTACATTTGTTCCAAATTTATGTAAATTTTGATTCAGTTCTTCCTATTTTCTGTCATTTAAAAAAAAAGTTTGAAAAAGTTGTTATAAATTAGTCTGTGTATCAGGTTAGGGAGGAGAAAATTGGCCCGTACTCTGTGGTGACTCCTGCTGGACATTGCCTGTGTGTGGAAACTGGATGAGTGCAGGAATGGGCTTGGCTCAGATACCGCCTCCCCTGGAATCAAACAGGCTGTTGATACTCACTGTCACAGCTCACTGATGATCATTTGAGTAAAGTACTAGAAGGTTTCTTACACCTAGTGCAAGAAAAAAGAAGTTAAAACTACCTCCAGGAGACTAGAAATTTGATAATTGCAGCTTTATGATCTTGTCATAATTCAGGTAAAACTCCAGAAAGCTTAAGTCATGAGATGTGACTTTATCATTGAGAACTCTACTTGTTTTTGTAAGTTTTATTGTATTTAAAACTAATTTGTGAACATGCTGCTTAGTTTCTGCCACTTTCTTTTCAAACCAAGTGTTTAGCTCTGAATAACTCTGAACACAATACTTGACTTCAAAACTTACTCATAATTTATTTCAGTCGATTGGAAATGTTACATTGCCTTCAAACACAGTACAAACACCAGAGAAATTCAGCTTTTAATGCCAGTGCGGTTTATAAATATCAAATCGATGCATTTCCATAGCCTTGATCATGCAGGGGATTTAGTTTGCTTTGATAACATTCTAATTTACATTATCCTCTAAAGTGAAGATTATCTTGAGTGTGAAAGGAATATCTCCAGTCCCACAAAGGATTTGTGCCATGTGTTACAACAGTCTCCCTTTAAGCATGTTCAAAAGAAAGCTTTCTGGCTATAAGACATTTGTGTAATTCAATATTATTTATGTAGTTGCTAGAATAGACCTATACATATTGAAAATATGGTTTCAATGAGATGTTTAATTTACAAAAAAATTCTTTGAAGGGTTTTAAATCCCAAGCTGGTCTGATCAATCAGATTCCTGGATGGAAGAATGTCTGGGTCATTGCTGGGTATGAGTTATTTTTTGCACAGGGTGTTCACTGGATTGCTTGCATTCCTTTCACGTTTGTGAAACTGATATTCGCATTCTATTCAGTCCTTCCACGTTGAAATAATTTACCGTGCATTTTATCAACTGTAATTGTGTGTCCAGTCCAGTGCAAACCCTTGACTGTCCAGCACCTTGGGACGTGCTCCTGATGTGAAAGGTGCAATATAAATGCATTTTGTTGTTTTTTTTCATTTGGGGGGTGAAACCTGCAGTAATTACTATGAGAGAATTATCTGTAACTTTTGAATTTTCATCTTGAATCTTGAATACAGGCTGACGTTGCAGCAGTTATCATCACAACAAAAAAAAAGAATTAATTACTACAAAGGTGTATAGGATATTTTATGACGAGTATATTTTTCCCAGAACTGAGGCTGACATGATGGATATTACACGATGGCAACTTTTAGCCTCAAAATCATTTTTCTGTGCTAGCCATGATATTCAATTTCTGCAATAGGAAAGTTTAAATATTTAATTCTTTTGATTTGCTCATTTTGATGAAAAGTGTTATATGGGAGGACGGTGCCTTAATAATATATCTTTTCTGTTTGTTTTTTTCCAGCAATACTTACTACCACATGGAAGGTCACTGCATGTTGTATTTAAATAAATCCATCCACGACTGGTTTTGATAGCTCTGTGATTTGATTCTGAGTTGATATATGAAACATTAAGTGGGCTTGTTATTTTATCAGTAACAAACGAGTTGTAGACTGAATACACTGAGTATAGTAATAGTAGTTACCATCTGAAAACTGCATCATTTGTTGCACAACAACCTCTTGGTAACCTCCTGCCCAAGTGTATGTTTAGCATTCTACATGTTAAGGTTCCTACCTCCTTGGTGACTAATTTGCCGTTACTAATTTCTTCCTGTAAGATTATAGAACACATGATTACATTTCGCGTGATTTTTTGAAAAAAGACAGATGTAAAATTAATACCTCTTTGAAAGTGCATCAGGTGGTGCTGTGTGCACCATCTATGCACCCACGAATGCACATGTTTGATGGTAATTACACTCAATGTCTGTTGCTGACTATGTAATTGCTTACAGTTGCATGTGTCTGGTATGCATAAATGTCAAGCTAATAGCACTGGGGAGTCAGACAATGAAGCTGTTCTGCTGATTCCCAGACTCTTGCTCTGTCGGTATTATATGTGTGGTGTTTCCAATTGATTGGCTGAATATATAATGTGGTCTGAAATTCCAGTACAATATTGAGAATTGCTGCATTGTGTGAGGTGTCATCCTTCTCATGAGATGTTAAATCAAGTCTGTTTTGGTGCTTCAGGTTGAAGCTAAAAATTCCATGGCACTATAGTTATAACACAGTGGTGTATTGTGTAACATGCTTTGCTATGGCATAAATTCACTTAAAAAAAATTCAGTGTAGACCCCATTCACTGTACATACATGCAGCAGGCTTGCAGGCTTCTCATGCGCTGCAGGCTTTCAAAATGGACAACTTCTGATTCGGTTGGTCAGTGTCACTTCCTGTTTTGCAAAGAAAAATACGTTGGCGGTGACTTAATAACTGCATGCGCTCAGTTAGCTTGGATGCTTCCTGTCGCAAGGTTTTTACTCTAAAATGGCGGACTTACAGAACGTCAGGCGACCATTAATATTACTTTCTGCTTTGCGAACAAACAGAACCAGGAAATACAGTAGTCTGGGCAATGACCTGAAAATTGGCTGTGTTTTTTTTTAGTGCCTGCCCACAGGGTGCGAGTGCCAATACAGTGTTGAACTCTGATTCAGGAAAGTCCCCAGTTCCCAATCTGTGACAAATTAGTTTATCAGATGAGGTGACTGCAGGACTCTTGGCTTGAGTAATCTGGATTAGGGAGGGGGGAATCCACCAGGGTTGACAACCAGTGATCGCTAGTGGTGTAATCTCAACTATGCAGTATGGAGATGTGTTAAAAGTAGTAAGAGCGCAATGAATGGATTCACTGAGAATTAATCTGTTCACAGCACTTTCCTCACACATCCTAGGAGCTTTGCTAGAGGAACAGGTATAGGTCACACACGTGCTCTTCTGGTCTAGGAATATTTTGTGGTTCAAAGGGCACGAAAAGACTTGACATTGATGATGGATCTGGTGTAATTGCTGAAACAAATCAAAAATTACATTTTAATTACACAGCATTGCCACCGAACTGTGATTTGGCAAAGCTTTATGTCTGAGATTCCATTGAATGGCAAATGCCTTACTGTTTTGTCCTTTCTCTTACCTAGACTGCCAATGGTGTAGCATCACGCGATGAGGAAGAAATCAATGAATTGCAGGAAGATGACCGAGACATGTTCTCAGACCAATTAGCTAGTATAGGCATGCTAGGGAGAATAGCAGCAGACCACTGCATACCTCTTCTAATAAGGTGAGTGTCTGATTTATCTTTAGAAGAATTTAATTGAGTTTGATGTTCTTCAATGATGGTCAATTTTCACCACCATAATTGATATTATAGTCATATCTTTAGAAGTTCAGAAATTGGGAGCAATTCTTAGTGGGTAAGAATAAACCCAAATTGAATAAACCCAAATTACTCTACATTGTTTCTGTTCGTATAATATACGCATTAGAGCCTTATTTATAAAGGCTGACTCCTCAAGTGCCTATAGTCGATCTCTTCTTACCCTGTTCTGTAGTCCAACATTTTTTTATTGGAAAGCACTTTGGATACATTTTACATGAAACCTGCAATGTAAAATGCATGTTCTTGAAGATGATCATTATTCTTGGAACTGCTGTAGCTCCTCAACGTAGGTTAAAAGACTGAAAGCAGTAGTATATTGAACTAAATTATAATGTAAATACTTTTCTTAATTTGGTGTTTGAAACTTTAATCCAGTGGATTTGACTTTAAAATTCTCATTCTAACTTTCAAGCACCTTCATGCCATTTGCTCCACCCTATCTCTATGATCTCCAGAGGTTCTACTCGCTCACACACTTCTTCCCCTCTGCTAACTCATGTTTGCTTTACACCTTCCACCCAGCCATCAGTGGGCTAGCGATCCACATTTATCCCTGCTCTCTGGAACTTTCAAAACCCATCTAAAACCCTTTTTCTTTCACTACATCTTTGGCCTCCTCAATCTTACCTCCCCCATCACCCTCTCAGGCTTCCACTTTGTGTTTGTGAAGCCCTTTGAGATATTTTCCTATGTGAAAGCTGCTTTATAAGTGCAAGGTTTTACTTGTCGGAGATTGAGAAAGAATGGTAACTATTAATTTCTAATATGAAAATTATGTGTCAGAAATCAATTTCTTGTTTATCTCTGTGTCATGCATAAGGAACAAAATCAATCTCTGAACACGGAGTGAAGAAATCACATTTTTCAGGGATTATAACCCAATAGCACTTCACTACCCTTTGTGAAGTCCCTATCCTATATAAACGCAAGTTGTTGTTGATCGTAAACTGATTTTTTTTCCACCCACTCTCTGATGCAGTTTATTAGAAGATCGAGTAACACAACTTCATGGCCAGTTACAGCGACAACAGCAGCACTTCCTGTCGTCACCAGGTCCAGCGTCATTAGATAATAAAGTACTAGATGATCTGTATGAGGATATTCACTGGTTGCTTTTAGTCACAGGTGGGATTCACTTTTCTCAGTTTAGTAACAACATATAGTATTCGATAAACTTCTGTATGGAACCAACACTGATGGTTTACATGTTTCTAAAGAACGCTACCCTTATATACACTAAATTGTTTTAATTAATTTTGAATATTCTGTTTAAATTGGTGTAGTGTATAAAGGTTTGATGCACAGCTGCCAAAAAAAGTCGAAGCAGATGCTGACTGGAGTTCAGTACTCATTTTACACAATTCTAGATTTCTGGACTAATGTGGAAACTAAAATAAAATCTTTGTGTTGATTTTGCTAGGCTACCTCTTAGCTGATGATACTCAGGGAGAGACTCCTCTCATACCTTCAGAAATAATGGAGTATTCCATTAAGCATGCGAGTGAAGTGGACATTAACACAACACTTCAGATTCTGGGCTCTCCAGGGGAGAAGGCCTCCTCAATCCCAGGATGCAACCAAACTGATTCTGTGATTAGGTGAGTGTAATGAAGCTGCTATGTTAGCCTTCCTTTTCTTTTCTTTCCTTTCCTTCCTTTCTTTCTTTCTTTCTTTCTTTCTTTCCTTCCTTCCTTTCTTCCTTCCTTCTTTCTTTCTTTCTTTCTTTCTTTCTTTCTTTCTTTCTTTCTTTCTTTCTTTCTTTCTTTCTTTCTTTCTTTCTTTCTTTCTTTCTTTCTTTCTTTCTTTCTTTCTTTCTTTCTTTCTTTCTTTCTTTCTTTCTTTCCTTCCTTCCTTCCTTCCTTTCCTTCCTTTTTTTTTGGGTGGTGGAGAAAACTAATTTAGGGGTTAGAGTTCCTGTGTGAGTCTATTAAGACAGAGGGGAAGACTTAGAGTAATTGATAGCAGGGTGTGGACAGGATTAGAGCGTACTTTGATTTTACCACGGTTCAGTGTTGATGTTCACTGTCAAGACCTGCGCTTGAAGAGTGCCTCTGGGATATGAGGGTTGCCTTTGTCACAAGCCAGTTTTTTGTTCATTTAGTCATAGTTCAGCAAGAGTTAGTGTCTTCAGGAGAGCAGGGGTTTGAAAGAGAATGCTGCAAAATAAATACTGTACATAGAAATCTCAAGTACATTATGAATGTTCTGTTATAATTTAAAACTTTTCAGAAAATCTTTGCAATTACTGTATCTGAAACCATCTTTCAAACTGACCTAAAGTGCTTTATTCTAGGTTGTTATCTGCTGTTCTTAGAGCTTCAGAAGTTGAATCGCGAGCCATAAGGGCACACTTGACAGAACTTCTTAGCCCACAAATGGGGAAGGATATTATGTGGTTCCTGAAACGATGGGCAAAGACTTACTTACTAGTAGATGAAAAGCTTTATGACCAGGTACAAGATAATTTTTCCCTTCCTCTTCAATACTGTAAATGCATTTGGCTTTTCAAATCCTGGTTTCATACTTTTATTGACTGTTGCTCATGTGAAGCTTTGAATGTTATGCAGATTCTTATTTAGATCTGTTTTACACAGTGCGCAAGTAGGTTGTGTTTGTTTTGTTTGGTTTTATGTGCATTCTGTTTCGTAGACCTCTCATAACAATTCTTTATTAATATCTGTATCCAAAATAGGATTCAAATTATATCTGGTGGTCAATACTTTTCCTTATTAACTTCAGTTTGAATGTTGACCCTGGTGCAGTTCGCTATATTTTTTACTTGTGTGTTTTCAGTAGAGAGATGTCTGATGGATTTCTGCAATTGGATATTGAATGCCACAGTAATCACTGCATGGATAAAAGCCTAATACTAAACGTATCAGTGACTTTACATTCTTTCCAAAGGATTTAGGGAAAAGGCAGGAAAATGGGACTAAACAGACATATTTGTACTTTTATGGTGCAGTGGATGTAGAGAACAATTTGGGGATGAATAGTCAAAACGTGAAGTCATTGGTATGCATATAACACCAGACCAAAGTGTTTCATAACTTATACCAGAACAGCGGAGTGAAAAAATGCAAGCACACTAAACAAAAGTACAGAATTTATAAAGGCATTTAAAATATACGTCTTTTGAGAGGTAACCATGTTCAGAGGCAGGAAAAAGCAACAAAAAATTAAATTCCAGCCCAATAGACTGACCTTGGGTCTGTATTTGAGGGTTTTCCAGAGGTTTTTTTTTGTAACCTTACCTAAGAGCTTAAAAAAAGCACTGGTACTAATGTTAAAAAATATATCCTCTTTCCTCAGATAAGTTTACCTTTAAGTACGGCATTTGGTACAGATACCGAAGGTGCTCAGTGGATTGTGGGGTATCTTTTAGAAAAAGTTATCAGTAATTTGTCGGTGTGGATTTCGGAACAAGACTTGGCCAATGACACAGTTCAACTGCTTGTAACACTGGTAGAGAGGAGGGAAAGGTGAGTATCCTTCCTGATTGGGAGCTTGGCAAGATTGGAGCTAGGGAGGCCAATGAGGAGGGCATTGGAGCACTCTACTCCAAGTCACTTGGCATCAATGAGAATTTCAACAGCAGAGGAGATGAAGTAAAGACATAAATGGGCAATGCTCCAAAGATGGAAAATAATAGTCTTAGCAAGGGACTGGATGTGTGGTATGAAAGACAGCTGGGAATTGAGCTAAACACCATATCTATATTCTACCTGCTCCTCCAACTCCATGCTGTGTTGCTTGCTCCCCACTCTCCTTGCTCTACCATTGAAGGCTGAGCCTGCAGCCACTAAGTTTCTATCCTCTGGAACTCCCATCCAAAACCACTTTACCTGGCATCAATGGCCTCTCTCCCTATCTTCAAAAACCTCCCAGAAATGCATCTAGTCAACTAACATCTTAAATTACTATTACTTAATTTTCTTTTTTATTATTGTACCTGATATATGCTGAAGAATGGCCTTTGCATCACACGCAAGCCAATGCAAGTTGTTATGGATGTAGCTGTAATCCTGTAACAGCCAATGTTGTCATGAGTGTTATTTCCTAGTATTCGTCTTGTCAATCATTTAACTGAGTTATTTAATGTTAAATATGGTCGTATAATTGCAGCACAATGTCAGTCAGTGGAGTAATTGTTTATGCAGATTTTATGGAACTTTTAATTGATAACCATTTTGTTTTAGGGCCAATTTAGTAATAAAATGCGAAAGTTGGTGGAATTTGGCAAAACAATACGCAAGTCGAAGTCCACCTTTGAACTACCTTCCCAGCACTGTACAACGAACACTAATGAAAGCCCTGGTTTTAGCAGGGTTTGCTCATGTCGACACAGAAACCAAACAGCAGTATTGGACAGAGGTGAGAATTCAGATGTGAATTTAAATGGATATTTTGTTAACTCTCATTAAGCATAACTTATATTTTTAAAAAGATATCTTCTGTTTGAAGCTATGTCGTAGTATAATTTAGTGCAGGGTGATCCAACCTTTTGGCTGCTGAGGGCTGGATGCCCTACTTGAGAAATGTCCACAGGCCACAACAGCAATATTTTTGTGTTTCCCTTCCAGAAATATAATATAACATTTACCTATGGAGAGAGCTGGTGGGTCAGATGAAATGGAAAATGGGTGGGGGCAGGTGAAATGGAGGGTGGGTGGGGGCAGATGAGATGGAGGGGGGGAGGGCGGGTAGATGAAATGGACGGTGGGTGGGGGCAGATGAAATGGGCAGGGTGGCAGATGAAATTGGACCGCAGCTCGCCAGTTGGACCACCCTGATTTAGCGCACTGTAAACTGGCCAATGATGTTTGAGCAGTTTTTTTTTAAAAAAATTGAGAAATAACTTAGTTATTCAGTATAAAGCAAATGAAAATATCGATGCTTTTAAGACTACCCCAGGTAAGTTAATGACCTACCATATTGTTATGTACATAATATATAATTTCCCCCAGAAATGTCTTACAGGTTTGTATTACACACAGCGGGAACAATATTACACACACCATGCACTTGTGCAAATTACACACATGTGTAATGTAATCCTTCCCAGCAACCAGGTGATACAGAGACCCAGGGTCTTAATATTAATCCTTGCACTTGGTATAGTGCCTTTCACGTCAGAAGAACATCCCAAAGCGCTTCATAAGATTTACTGTGAAGTGGAGTGGCTGTGTGTTTGTGGGCGGACACTTGTATCATTTGTAGGTTTGAAATCTCAGCCCTTGTTGCTTGGCATAATGGTTGAAGCAAAATAAATTTCAGATCCATTTACAAATTTTACTCCTGAAATTCCAGCCTGGCTCCTGCTTCGTCTAATATCATCCTAAAATGAAAAATGCTTGATAATGCTGCCACACTTTCTTTAAGTTTTTTTAAAAAATTTTGTTTTGAAATCTCCTTAGGTTCTCCAGCCACTCCAACAACGATTTCTCAATGTTATAAACCAAGAAAACTTTCAACAGATCTGCCAGGAAGAAGAGGTGAAACAGGAGGTCATCGCCACACTGGAGGCACTTTGTGGTATAGCTGAAGCAACACAGATAGACAATGTGGTCATTCTCTTCACCTTTTTAATGGACTTTCTCAATAACTGCATTGGCTTAATGGAAATCTACAAGAATACGCCTGATACTGTTAACTTGATAATAGAAGTTTTTGTCGAGGTTGCACATAAACAGATATGCTATCTTGGAGAGGTAAGTAAAACATATCCAAGCTGCTCTCTTCCTCTTCATACATTAGTTTTTTTGTATGGGAAAACACGAAGATAGTTCATAATTTATAAATAGTGGAAACTGTTGTCCCTTATCAATTGTGCATTAAGTGTTTTAATTAATTTTATTAATCATGAAGTGACAATTTCCAGCGCTATAGATCAAAGTCTTGGCTCATGTTAAAATCTCATCTGAATGAGATGAGGACGCAAGTTCTTTGTCCTCCAGTCTTCACTTTTTGTTCTCTCCCCTTCCAGCTGTGAAGGAAATATACGCTACATTTCAATTATAGCATCCTCCACACAATGTAATATTGAGGATCCGTTATGGTACCAAATCATTGGGAACCCCCCCCCCACCAAAAAAAAAAGCAGCCTCCCTTTTAAAGAATTTCAGCATGACCCTGTCATGACCTTGGGCAATAACTTCCCAAATCTGCACATGGTGGATAAGACAGGGCTCTCTAATATCTCTTTAGTTTGGTTTTCTACAATGACAGAGAGAAAGAGAGAGTCACGCATCCACACACACCCATGGAGTTCCTTTCAAAGAATTATTCAGAAACTTTCTAGTACCAACAGGTAACAGTTGTATCTGGCCAATGGATGTGAAGTACTCCTGGTCCCATACAATCTCTGACCTTGACCCTTTCATTGAGGTATGACATCTCAGAATGTCAATAAGTTTGTTATTTTACCTGTATATTGAAGGGTATGTTGAAGACACAGAAAAAAGTCAAGAAAAAGAACAGAATAGATTTGAGATTCAGAGTGGTCTTCAGTCATGGTAGCTCACCGTTAGCTGCAATTGTTTTCTGCAAACCTGGTTCCCAGCTTAGACCTGAACCCCACATGGGCCTCAAGAAAGCTTTCTGATCCTTGCAAAGGAGGTAAATCTGAAATGTTGTTCCTGACATTGAATCCCAACGTTTATGGTTTTGACTCTTTTAGGACACTTCCAAGTGAAAAAGGGGACTCAAACATGGAAGAGAACTGTTGAAGGGAGCACATTTATTGAACTAGTAGAATTGTTTCAATAGTTCAACACTGGTATTTCAAAGTGCTCAATTTTGTCAGCTTTCAAAGAGTAGAAATTCTTCACTAACAATATTCTAGCTCATCCCCTGCTTCAAAAGTCATTCAAAGATTGCATCCCCTAGTTCACTAGGAAGTGCCCTAAAGACACTAATCCAATACCAGTAGTAGCCAATCTGTAGCCCACAGGCTGGAAGTAGCCCTTGGGGTCATCAAGAAGCCACCCCACCCCTGAACAGTCGCACAAATCTAGGTAAGTCTGGGTTCGATTGGTAGAGTGATTTCAGTTTTTTTGCTTGATTTATGCCATAAATCAAAAAATATTCAATCAAGAAAATGTATTTTGTAGACCAACCATGAAGGTTAGCCATCACTGCTCTAAACTAGAAATGTTGATGCTCGGTGTCAGGAACAATATCACAAACTTCCCTCCTATTTTTTTACCTATTGTTAACAGTGAATGGCCTTGGACATGTTTTTTTNCATTAGTATGAGTACATAGCTCCTCTGTGCTAGTACAGTGTAATTTCCTATTGTATTTGAAATTAATTTCCACAGGTAGGAGGCAATATGTCTAAAGTGTTTACCAGATGTATACCGTATTTGTAACCATTTCTTGTGTTTTTTAAATTAATTGTCAAGGCTTGTTGCAGGAAAGAGTTCACATTAAGGTTTGAAGCATTGCCTGATATGATCTAATATTGATCTGCTATTAAGGTTTGGTATAATATTAGGTGTTGAAATATTCCCCCGGCTGATCTAATATTGTTCCAACTTTTTCAGTCAAAAGCCATGAAATTGTATGAAGCTTGCTTGACGCTACTGCAGGTTTATTCTAAGAACAACTTGGGCAGGAAACGGGTTGACGTAACGGCAGAAGAAGATCAATACCAAGACCTTTTGCTTATAATGGAACTTTTAACGAACCTCCTATCAAAAGAGTTTATAGACTTCAGTGACACAGGTATGTACTGTAGCTGTTGATATTGACTATAGTAAAACTCACAAGTAGGATCAATCGGGACCATAACATATAATATGACGTGTGCAAAGTCCAAGTTTCAGGCAAACTGTAGAATCATAGAAAAGCCAATGTAATCAATAATATACACCTCGCAGTAGGTAAGTTGTGGTGCAGTGGTGTTTGTTTCCCACAATTCAATGCAGCCGGCTGGTAAGTACTAATGCTTCGATAGGTGAGGACCGTATTTCCCACGATTCAAGGCCTCCAGTAAGTGTGGGAGTAATGGAGGGTAGGGGAGTAGCTTTACGAGTTAGGAGGTGCGTAATATGAGTAGTGTAAAGAAATCTAAGTAGTGTTGATAGGAAATTGAATGGGACTCAAGACAGAAACCATACTCTTTGGCTCTCGTCAACGTCCAAAATCACATGGTTCTCACCTCCTCCAGCTACCCGACCTCCCCCTAAAACTCTCCGAACCCGTACCAACTTAGGCGTCAGGTTCGACCCCCAATTGTCCTTCCTCCCCCACATCGGGTCCCTCACCAGCACTGCTTTCTTCCACCCCTGACGCATCGTCCGTCTCCGCCAATACCTCACTCCAAAAGCTGCTGAAACCCTGGTCCATGCCTTTGTGACCTCTCGGCTGGACTATTCAAACGCCCTCCTCACCGGTCTCCCCTCCACGACCATTCACAAAATCCAGGTCATCCAAAACTCTGCTGCCCACATTCTTACCCGCACCAAACTCCGCTCCCCGATAACCCCAGTCCTTGCCAGACTGCACTAGCTGTCCCAGAGAGGATCGACTTCAAGATCCTCACTCTTGCCTTCAAATCCCTCCACTCCTCTGCACCCCCCTACCTCTCTGACCCCATCTCTCCTCACAACAGTACCCGTTGCCTTCGCTCCACCGGGTCTGGCCTCCTCCTTGTCCCCCGAATCCTCCACTCCACCCTTGGCGGCCGTGCATTCAGCCGCTATGCCCCAAGGCTCTGGAACTCCCTTCCTCACTCCCTGCGCCTCGCCCCCTCTCTTCCTATTTTCAGGTCTCAGCCGAAGATCTTTCTTTTCGACCGCGCTTTTGATCACCTTCCCAACCCTCCACCTGGCTCGGCCCCGGGATCCGTTACTGTGAAGTGCTTTTGAGACGCTGTGGCGGGCGCTATATAAATCCAAGTTGTTGTTGTTGACTCAGGTGAATGTACGACATGTGTTTATACAATTTATAAATATAATATTTATGCAAGTTTTACTGTAGTCGTGCCCAAGTCGCCCGGTTCCGCCACTGTCTCTCCCCTCAGGCCGCCGAAACCCTCATTCACACACTCATCACATCTAGGCTTGACTACGCCAACTCCCTGCTTGTCGGCCTTCCCAACTCTTCCTTCCACAAGCTGCAGATCATCCAGAACTCTGCAGCTCATGTCATCTCCCACACCAGGCTCCGTGACCTCATCACCTTCACCCTCGCCCGGCTCCACTGGCTCCCCATCCCCCCCGAGGATAGAGTTCAAAATCCTCGTCCTCGCCTTCAAGGCCCTCCGCGGCTTTGCCCCTCCCTAGCTCTGTGACCTGTTGACTCCATATCAACCTCTCTGCTCAGCAGGCTCTGGCCTGCTCCACGTCCCCGCTTGACCTGCTCCACCATCGGCGGTCGGGCTTTCTGCCCCCACACTCTGGAACTTCATCCCATATTCCCTTCATCTCATTTCCTCCCTTGCCTCCTTCAAGGCACATCTCAAACCCCTCCTCTTCGGCCACTCTGCTATCATCCCTGCCCTACAGCCGCTTCGATCCCCAACTCAGGTGCAAATCTCTGACTGTCCAGTGCCTTGGGACGTCTTCCCGACGTGAAAGGCTGTATAAATCTAATTTGTATTGTAAGTCCCCAGAGGGATGGTTCAATTCTGACATTCCGTTGCTTTTCTATTGTACGTTTGTTGTTTCGGTGACTGATGACTTAAAGATTTGTTTTTGTTTGAATTATTTCTTTGGCAGATGAAGTATTCCGTGGGCAGGAACCTGCACAGTCAGGGAACAAATCGGTGTCAGCTGCTGATGTGGTCCTTTATGGAGTTAATATTGTGCTACCATTAATGTCACAAGATTTGCTAAAGGTAAGAGGTGTATTGTGTATTGGTTGGACTTAGAATCACAGTAACTTCATCCTAAATACAGGATAACCAGACAAGGAATTTAGATAAGCTAAAAAAAATTCTATGATTTTTTTGGGAGGGGAAGAATAGTGGTATTAAAAAAAACTGGAAGGTCAGTGGGAAAATAATCTGGTCACATCTAATTCCTGTGTCTTGGGAAATAGAAATATCAGAGGATATAGCAAGAAGCTGGAGCGGGGGAATATAATGATATATAATTATATTAGAGTACACTGCATACTCGGTAAAGCCAATATATCCTTCTTAAGGTTTGGTGCACCAAACTGCACACAATACTTCAAATGAGTCTTGAGTGATTTAATATTAAATTGTGCTTCTTGTGTTGGGAGTTGTAAAGCATTGCTGAAGTCATGGAATGTCATTCCTCGTATGGGGGAGGAGGGAGAGAAAGGAATCCGTGACTCTGTTTGGGGGACCTTCCTGCTGCTGTAATATATGGAGCTTGCGTTCTTGTATTCTTGGTAAATGATCTTGTCTGCTCGTTTGTTGTGAAATGCCTTCTTACATCATGTGGAAATCAGTAAACATCTATCTTTTTTTTGCCTTGACAGTTTCCATCATTATGTAATCAATATTACAAATTAATTACCTTCATCTGTGAGATCTTTCCTGAGAAAATACCACAGCTTCCTGAAGATCTTTTTAAGAGTCTTATGTACTCTTTAGAACTTGGAATGACCTCGTATCCTTCCCACTGTGAGATTCTTAGTTCTGTAAATTTCAGCCCTATTATACAGTGTTTGCATTTTGTTGGGGCACAATTCCACATATGAGTATTTGAACAGCACAGTCATTGATATCTTTGCTCCTGACTATTGTTGATCCAATTTTATGCTGAGATTAAGGTGCCATAATGGATTCTTGTCTTCATTCCTGTGCAGAAATTCTCTGGGAAGTTTTTGACCTCAAATTTTGAGTTTTTTGCTGAGGTTCAATGAAATTGAGGGACTCGCCGACACTTTTGCTTGTCATTTTTTTCCCCCACTTGTGAGTCCATAACTGTTAAGATATTTACAGCCATCACAGCCAAACTAGATCCTGTTCACTCCCATTAGCCTTACAAGTTTTATGTTGCAGGGGTTCGCTGGGAAGAAATCAGAGACTCAAAATGCTTTGCAGTTTTAGCCTTAAAGAACATTGTCTTAAAATAAGATTATGCAGAATTTTAATCTTAAACTGAGTCTTGGAAGATGGCTTACTGCAATAAAATGGCTTACAAATTAAGACTGACTTACATTTAAGAGTTTTATAAAATCCTGCCCTTCCTCACTAAGTCTTCAAGCATAGCCTTCTATTCCTTTCTCCCTCATGTACCTATCTAGCTTTCCCTTAAATAAATCTATGCTATTTGCTTCAACAACTCCTTGTGGTAGCATGTTCCACATTTCCACTACTCTCTGTGTGAAGAAATTTCTTCTAACTTCTCTATTTGATGTATTTGTGACTATTTTATATTGATGGCCCCTGGTTTTGATCTCCCCCACAAATGGAAACATCTTCCCTATGTCTACCCTATCAAAACCTTTCATAATTTTAAAGATCTCTATTAGGTCACCCCTTACCCTCCTCCTTTCAAGAGAAAAGAGTCCAAGCATGTTCAGCCTTTCCTGATAGTTCAGTTCTGGGATCATTCTTGTGAATCTCCTTTGCACCCTCTCCAGTGCCTCTGCATCCCTTCTATAATGTGGGCACCAGAACTGCACACAGTATTCTAAGTGTAGTCTAACCAAGGTTCTCTACAAGTTTACCATAACTTCCCTGCTTTTCATTTCTATCCCTCTAGAAATGAACCCCATTGCCTTGTTTGCCTTTTTTAAGGCGTTATTAATCTGCGTTGCTACTTTTAGTGAATTGTGTATGTGTACCTCTAGATCCCTTTGCTCCTCTACCCCATTTAGGTTTTTATTTTCCAGGATGTATGTGACCAGTTTCTCCTGGTTTCCTGGCCAACAATCACTCAAATAAAAAAAATGGTCATTCACTTCATGGTTGTTTGTGGAAATTGCTGTGCAAATTGCTATCACATTCGTCCACAAAACAACCACTCAGTACACTTTATAATATATCTTGTGAAGCTCTTCAGGATGTCCTCCTGTGGTGAAAGTCACTATACCGAATGTAAGGATTATTTTTATGTAACAAATTGCAACTGGTTCTAACAAATATTTTGTATACTGTATGATTATTTTTAACTGTGCACAAGAGACTAATAGGATTTAGAGTTTGTACGTATTTCCTTGACTCTTTCATTTAGAATGACTTCTGAAGTTTCACAGCTCTGTTTGGAAGCCCTGACCCCTTTGGCAGAACAGTGTGCTAAGGCACCAGAAACCGAAACACCACTATTCGCTGCAACGAGGCACTTCCTTAAGGTAATAACTTTATGAACTGTGAGTAGATGTACATGTTGGACAGTATTCTTTTGGATTGAATTACTCTGAGATGCTACCCCAAGTGAAGGGCTGCATATAATTGCATATTGTTGTTCAATGAAGCAGAAATAACCTGTACAATTAAACTGAACAAGGGTATCTTTTATGTCATGGGATATCACTGATTCAGCTACAAGCGGGCTTGATTGGTTGTTCTGAATGAGTGATGGGGTTAAATAGTCTACCCCGGTGCTTGGGCACACCAATTAAAGCTTTGTATGGGTTTTGTGTACATAGAGCCTCCAAGAACATGGGATGGAAGAATTATGGACTTTACCATCTGTCTGTCCTTTAGCCATACAACTTCTGTACTTAGCTTAATGGCTTAGATTCCAAAGTGAAAACATTCCCTTTGCTTCATCCATTTATCATTTAACGTCTTAAAATAGTGATTTGAGTTGATCCCAGATGGAAAGTGTTTGGTTAGCATGACAAGATTGAATGTTTTTTCTGTTTACAGTTTAATGCTATTTATCTTTATATCTGTCCTTTTCGTAGTTAATAATTAAAAGATGAAGTTAGTACCATGGAGCTTTCAGCGTTTCAGAAAGATTGAATGACCTCTCTGTAGCAGAGTAATTAGCAAACAAAACTTGAACTCCACGCTGAGCTCAGCTCACTGGTGCAGTTGATTTAAACCATCAATCCCTCAAAAATAGGTTCCCAAAAAATCAAGATATTGTAATAATTTAAAACTAACTTTTATCCTGCTTGCTCTTGTTTTAGAAAATTAATAAATAAATTTAAGCGCTCTGAGATGCCGTCCGGTGTGGAGGGCGCTATATATATCCAAGTTGTTGTTAAGTCAACAAAATGCAATCACTTTACAGTTTATATACATTTTACATGTACAGTACTGTACAATAAATCTTGTGAAACACTTTAAAGTGTCCTCCTGATGTGAAAGACTCTATAAATGTCACATAGCTACATTTCACTTGGAAAATGTAAAATAACAGATGGAAAATTGATGAATTAAAAGGGGTGGGGGTTACTATTGTTTCATTTTTCGAGATTTCTATAATACCAATTTCATATTCAGGCTCCAGCCTTTGCACATACCTCGTCCCCTCCAGTCCACCATCAATAGCGTGTGTTCGGCCACTATGCCACCAAACTCTGGAACTCCCTGCCTCAATTCCTCCACCTGGCACCTCTTTGCATGTGTTCAGTTTGCATCTGAAGACATTTCTTGCTTCCCCCTACCTCTCCGACCTCCTAACCCTCTACCATCCTGTTAGCTCCCTCCGCTCAGCGGGTTCTGGCCTGCTTCACATTCCCTGCCTTGCTCGCCCCACTATCGGGGGTTGGGCCTCCTATCACTCTGCGCCCACCCTCTGGAACTACATCGCGCAGTCCCTCCATCTCGCCACCTTCGGGACCCGCCTCAAGAACTTCCTCTTCGACCGTGCTTTCGATCTCCCTCCTGTGCTGCCCCCTCCCCCACCCCGACCCTCAGCTCGGATCCATAACTGTCTGTCCAGCGCCTTGGGACATCCTCCCGATGTGAAAGACGCTATATAAATATAATTTTGTTGTTGTATCAAATGCAAGAATTTTTATTATTACTACATTTGTAACAAAATAGAAACCAAACACACACATTTCTTCATTCATCAGCAAGTGGAGTCCTGTAGCTTAGTGGTTAGAGAACTCGCCTTGCAAGCGAGAGACTTGGGTTTGATTCCCGGACAGGGCAAAATGTTGGGCAAGTTTCCTTACTCCACACGCCTCTGTTTACCTTGCAGTAAGTAGGAAGTCGGATGTTAGTTGATTGGCAGATCGCTTTTCCAGGGGAATAATGCCCAAAATTATTTTTTAAAAATAATAATTATTTGGTCATTCAATCCGTGAGACTGCTGTGCACAATTAGCTGCAGCATTTTGCCCACAAAATATACAGTCAATTCACTTTACAGTATATTCTATGAAGCACTTTGAGGCATCTCGAAGACATAACAAGGCACTATATCAAATGCAAGGATTTTTTTTATTATTATAAGTAATGTCATGGGAGGTAATTACTATAGTGCCTTTGCATCAAAGATCATTTAAGCAGTGACATTGCATTTTTTTTGATTTATGAAACTGACAAAATGGGAATTAAATTATTTATTTACTGTTTTTCAGAATTGGAAAATGTGTTCACCATTAGCCAAAGGAGTTTGCTACTTTAGAACTAAAATGCGCAATATATATTTTTTTCTGAGAAATGCTGCTTTTATCTTGAACTGGGATTTTTTTTAAAGCAGAGTGTTTTTCTGTAGATTTAGTATCTGCAGATGTTTCAGGGTCTGTGGAAATCCACTCAATCACAATGTATGATTAATGTTACCACAGTATTGCATACAAAAAAGTGTACAAATTTGTATGAGTGAATTTGAAGAATAATTGCTATTATTTCTATTGTCCTCTTACAAAACAACAACATCAACAAGATTCCATTTATAGAGCGCCTTTCACGTCGGGAGGACGTCCCAAGGCGCTGGAAACATATATTAAGTCATTAATGGCATTCTGAACATCTGTGATCAGGGCTCCCTCTGCCTCCTTGTCCTCCTTGACCTCTCTGCCGCCTTCGACACTGTCGACCACTCCATCCTCATACACCGCCTCTCCGCTTTACTCAATCTTCACAGATCTACCCTTGCCTGGTACGATTCCTATCTCTCTCACCGTCTACACTTTGTTGCCTCTAACGGTTTCTCCTCCAGCCCCCGCACTGTCACATCTGGAGTCCCCCAGGGCTCTGTCGTTGACCCTTTACTCTTTAATATCTACATGCTCCCCCTTGGTGACATCATCCACAGACTTGGGGTCAACTTGCATATGTATGAGGATGACACCCAACTCTATCTTTCTGCCTCCACCCTCAACTCCAGGACCACTGCTGATCTGACCCTCCTCTTCGACCATGCCATCAGCCAACCCCTTTCTCCTCCCCTCCCTTCTACCCCCCCGACCCCAGCTCGGATCTGAAATGCTGTACACTGTCCAGCGCCTTGGGACGTCCTCCCAACGTGAAAGGCGTTATACAAATGTAATCTTGTTGTTTAATGAGTGGAATAGTGATAGAACTCTGTTTATCTTGGCCCTTTCATCCATAAAACAAATTGAGTTGTGTTTTCCAATTATTTATAATTAATGTGGTGGTGGACCTGCTGATACAATTCAATCTGTAGGAACCATTTTGATACCTTTATATTGTACACATATTATAATTTTTGCTGCATTAACCTTGAGTGAGTTTCTGGAATGGGTAGGTGGTGTCCTCACTATTCAAGAGCGTTTGGCAGGCAGTTTGATGTTTTTCTATGAGATTCAAAGTCATAAAGATTTTAAGCTTGGCTGGAATGGTGGGAAACACAAGGTTTCCCTGGCAAGGAAGTGGTTTGGGGAAAATGCATGAGAGCTTCTTGGATTCACTTCACCACTCTGATTGTGATTAAGAACCTGGGGTCTGAGGTGGGTTCCACTAGAACAATTTCCACGGTAGAGGGGCCGATTTAACAAGACTTCTGTTGATAGTTTCTTCTCTATTTGTGGAGGAACTGTACATTTGAGTCATAGTGATGTTACTGTGCTACGTTTGTGGTCTCATTTTACGGAATTTGTTTGTCTTTGCAGCTCGTCTTTGACATGCTGGTATTGCAGAAGCACAATGCAGAACTAACTGACGCGGCAGGCGAAGCATTCTACACGCTAGTATGTCTGCATCAGGTGAAGTGTCTCGAGCTTCAATATTCTACTTTCTTTATCTTCCTTCACTTCCTTCCCATCACTCTCTGGCACCTCCCTACCTCTCCAACCTCCTCACTATCCAATCTACCACCCGGCACCTCCCCTCGATTGGCACCGGCCTCCTGCTCTTCTCTCGCACCTTCCGCCTCACCATTGGAGATTGTGTTTTCAGCCACTACACCTGAAACTCTGAAACACTCTCCCACAATCCTTCTGCCTTCCCCCCTCTCTCCCTTTTTTCAAGGCCTGCCTGAAATCCTTCTCTTCAACCGTGTTTACGGCTGCCTCCCTCCCCCCTCCCCCACCCCCCCCCACCCCTTCCTGGCTTGGAATCAGGTTCCACCACTGTTAAGTGCTCTGAAACGCTACCTTGTGCGGAGGGTCATATATAAGTGCAAGTTGTTGTTGTTGTTCCTGCCTTTGAAATTAACCAATTTCAGTTTTGGTAGATGTGATTTTCTGATGTGTACTTTCGATCCAAAGTTGCTGATTATCAGTTAATATATTCTCTCAACAGGCTGAATATTCGGAATTAGTGGAAACGCTTTTGTCAAGCCAGCAAGATCCAGTTATTTATCAGCGATTAGCAGATGCCTTCAACAATCTTACTGCAAGCAGTACTCCCCCCACCTTGGACCGCAAGCAGAGGATGACTTTCCTAAAGAACCTTAAAGACTTCATGGCGAATGTTGGTGGTCTTCTGTGTGTTAAATAAACTCTTAAGTACAAAATAACCTTGCTGAAGAATGCACTGTGAAAGCATGGAAATCAAAGTTGACTGAATTTTGTACTTGTTTCAAGACTTTTGGCTGCCATCTTGGATTTTAGACTCAGGATATTTGGTGTAAACTTACCACAGTAAGATACAAGGATGAACCCATTACTTTTTAGTTGCCAGTGTTTCTTATTCATGATTTGTCATACAACTAATCGTTTACTTTAGAAAAACAATGAAAAATAAGTGTATTTTAGAGAATTCCAATATGCAGATAAGCGGGCACAGTGAATGAGTTTTCAGTGCCTTTTTTCATGTCTGGTTTAATGCAGCTGCCTAAATGGCCAGAGAAACTGTCTTATTATTGCTTATATTTTGAGCCCTTTTTCTGAGGGAATCACTGTAGACAAAATGCACAGCTGTAAATGTTTATGGCTGAAATTAGCTTTATTTTTTTTCAAGCCTATGTGTTTGTTTGTGACCTAAAGACAACACCAAATTGTAACTTTCCAATCTTAATTTTTCTTTTTCCATTTCAGGCAGTGATCACGTAGTATACAATACTTCAGATTTTCTTTTGTACTGCCTGCTGTTCAGAATAAAGAAGTATATATTTTTGCTTCCCAAACAGTGAATTTTAGGGATTGTAACCAATTAATTGCCTTACTTTCTGTAAATATGAAAAGTGTTGTGAAAGACTGAAACTGGATTGCCAATGCGGCAACTTTCTTCCCTCAACCCTTCTTTCTCTTTCCCCCATCTTCCCCGAAGCAATTTTCTTTGACTCTAAAATGCCAGTTTGTCATTGTTTGGTGTCGAGAGTAGTTTTAGGAAACTTTGAATCAAGTCATCATTTTGGATACCAAAATTAACTCACGTAAATTCTGCATGAAGGCTTCAAAGGGATTTACTTTTTTTTAAAAAAACAAAAATCATAACACCTGAACTGTCGCACTACTACATCCTCATGTTTGAGCAATAACAAATTCAAGAGCGTGAATTATTTAATAATGATCACCAGGGTAAACTGGGACATTAGTTAAAAACCAACACTCTAGTTTATGTTTTTGCATGGTCTTATTTCAAACATAAAAACTTTTTAGATTAATTGTAAATACACCATTTGGGGCATTTTGAGTTTGACATTTGCAGTGGTGCGCAGTTGATCAACAAATCGCAATGCACAGACAAAAAAAAAGACTGCATATTTTAATACTGTGCTGTTTGTTCAGGGTTCCAAAATGCAAACTTAATCAGGATGTCAGTTCTCAGCACAAAGATGTGCACATTACTCGTTTTTAAAATATAAATGATACATGAACAAAACTTGATGGCCAAACCTTTTGAAAAGGTGTAAAATCCTTTCTGCCGGACTGTGTACAGGTTGTATGTCGAAACTACTGAAAAAAATATTTGTACTTAGTAAAACAAAATGTTTTTCTTTAGAAGCCAGCAAACGTGTTCATTAAGACGATTGTATAGGTCAGCTAATTTATGAGACTCAATTTAAAATAAAATAAAAGTAGCTAGTGGAACTAGGAGAGCTGCTGTGTTCTAGTTTTTTTTACATTGATTAAATATGGCAAAACATTGGGTGATGGAGTCAATTTAAAAGTCCTCATGAGATACAATGAGACCAGCCTAAATGGACCAAACTGTGTTCCTATCCAGTTGAAAATCGCTGTAGCCTGAATACCTTGATGTGTTAATTTCCTATACAAATGTGGTGTGCATTTCTTCCCCCCTCCCCCCCACCCCCAAACCAGCCGCTTTATAAAAAAAAACTCTAGTTTATCCTTGAAATGCATTTTTTTTATCAAGTCCTAAGCTTCACATCTTGTCTGGCTCTTTTGCTGATTTACATCAACTCTCTTGGGCTCACTGTGCTCACTGTTTCAAGATTTCAAAGTTCAATGGAAAAATTGAACAAGACATTTCATTTAATCAAAACCTTGAGACCAGCCCTCTCACATTGAAATTACATTCAGCTACTTTGTTTATTTTAAATTGCAGATACTTTTCTGTCTAGTTCTGTGAGCCGACCAGAAATTATGACCATTTAAGACAGCAGTGACCAAAGTGGTCCATTGCATCGGTTAGTTAAGATTTTTCTTTACTGATTTGTCAGAATGCCATATTTTTACATGTATTCTAAGAGAAGCTGCAAGGATTGAGTCCCGCAGCAGAATTGCTTGAGACTTGTATCCTTCTTGATGGCCCATATATCGAAAGTTTGATTTGAAGACGTGTGTATAACTTATATATTACAGTACTGTATTCTCTTTCCTTAGTCTGCCCTAAATAAAGGGTGCATTACAGAACACTGCAGTAATTGAGGACCAATCTTCCTTTGTTTTTAAATGGGTGCACTGGAAATTGGTAGTATTTAAATGAATTTTTGCAGGATTTGCACATATACTGTACTTGTATTTTGTAGGAAGGCCAACATAAATGAATTGGTGCCATTTTAAGTACAAAATGCAATCTTGTCTCCTTCCTGGCAAAACTGAACACTGCCTCTATCTCTTGAATATATTTCTTTGTTCTCCCCCGCCCATGTGTTTTCAAGTTTTGACCATTTCGATCTCCGAGGTAATCATAAAATAAATACATCCTCATGTTTGAGCAATAACAAATTCAAGAGTGTGAATTATTCTTTAATAGCAAGCAAGCACCAGTGACTTGAATGAGAATGGTGCACTGAGCAGCGCACAGAAATTATGCTTTGTAATTGTCATGCATGCTTCTACGGCAATTAGTTCTGGTTCTGTTTACTTGTACAGTATGTAGATGAGGGAGGCAACCTGACTTTGTATTCCTGTGTTCTGTGTTTCACATGACCTGATATCTAGTGTATCACAATGAAATATCTAGTGATATTTAGTGTATCACAATGAAATGTGCGTGCACAAATGTAACAAACAATCTGACCGGCTTTCCTATCAACAGTATGCGAAAGCTGCCGATCATTGCTCATCACGAATAGGAATAGAATCTGAAAATTCACCATTATTTCTATGTCTTGAGGAGATGGAAGAATGTTGATTCAATGGAAAAGAAGCACGAGGGAGAGGGTAGTCAGTTTCCCATTAATATAGCTGCACTGTGTAAAAGCACAATAGCTCAAAGAATGATAGGTCTCAATCCAAGAATTCGGTACCCGTAAAGATTTCTGTGATGTGATATTGTGTACCGTGTGAATGTGGATTTAGCTTTGACTCAACTACTTGTTTCCCCATTTGTAAATTTGGTTATGCGTTTTATTTTGCACAAAACCATTTTTAAACTCAAAAAGAAGTTAAGGGTTTTAATGCGTAGATATGGAATAAATCTCACCAAAGACTCTCAGTTCCTTGGACAGTTCTGCCACATTTAACTGCATTGTTATGGGTAAAGCATTTTAACTTGCACAAAAGTGCCACAAATTGAGGGGCAAAAAATGTTAGCCAGTTGCTGCCATATGAGTTTATCCCTTACGAGTCAAACTGATTTAGCTACTTGTTCCCTCATTTGTAACATTTTCATTCACCTGGACTTTTCCTTGAATAAATCGTAGATTTTCTTGGTGCATAACCAATCCTGTAAGTGTGGTTTTGCATAAATGAACGCCTGTGATCCATTTTCTTTTCTACCTTTTTGCATTGTTTTGTGAGTACTTTCTCCTATGTGCAAACAGCCTGTTTATGTATAATCAGTTACTTTGTAGCATTTTTAAAAATGTACATCAAGGAAATGTAAAAGACCTGTGGTATGTATTGGGAAGTGTATGTAACATGTTACAAGTTTTGGGGTATTTTGGTGCAGTTTCATACAGTTCAAATTTCCGACTTGCACCGTCTACCCTTCTCATGTAGAACAAGATTAATTTTTTAAAATGTTTCTTTCTCTATAATAATAATAATCCTTGCATTTGATATAGCGCCTTATCGCGTCGTTGGGACGTATCAAAGTGCTTCAGAGAATATATTCTAAAGTGAATTGACTGTAAAATTTGGGGGCAAAGTAGCCCTCTGTAATTACATTTATTTTATTAATAACATGTTCACGTGGTTGCCTCCAGGCAGATTTCTGTGAGTTCAATTGGCAAGAATCCAAATAATGAGGCAACCCAGATAGTTTATGCCCAGGAGCTCCCTGGTTTGAATGTCTGTTGGGTTTGCTGGACGTAGCTCGTGCTGCAATGGGATGCGTCAGGAAATGGGAACTCGGTCGCTTTGTAGCACTCCCACTATGGGTTGTGCATCTGTGTGGCAGTCAGGTGGAGATTGCTAAGGCTTGACTGTGATGCCCTCTGCAGTCGAATGACCTGCTGGCACTCACTGCCATGTCTTGGATGTAAATACAGGGTAACACAGGGTAACCAGTGCTGGGGAACTGAATTTGGATTTGGTGGGGATTTGATTTGGATGCATTCATTCTGTTTGAACGTTTGTAGCAATTTTTGGGGGTTATATAGCAGCAATATGAAATAGATATCGATCTGATTTTCTTGTACTTTATATCCTTATACAAATAAATCAAGTTCCTTTGTATCAGTATTTGCCCTAAAATATCTGAACTGCAGCCAGTTAATTTTAACACAAATTTACAAAATACACTATATACACTATATAACATTAAAAATCCACCATTTAATAAATTTGATGTACAAATGTCTTGCTGATCCTAGTACAGTTCTCAATCTCAGTGGAACAGGGTATATGGTTAAACAATAATACCACTCCCAGGGGACCTCAGCAATGTTTCAATATTACTGAATCCGGTTGTTCATTAATTGTTGACTTCTCAAAGGTTTTTCGATTTCTCTCAACATGAGATTAAAAGCGGTAAAGATTTTTTAAAAAAGCTGCCAGCAGTCAAATTTCATCATGTGATGCATTTCATGCTGTCAAGTGTACTGGTTTCCCATCAACTACTCATTACAAACAGGATAACCTATTTACCTTAAGTGTGGTTCAGTAAACTAGAGTAACTTGTTAAAGTTATTTCAGGTTAATTTCTTCTATTGTTCTATAATGTATATAAGGTGTGAAGGTATTTAAGCATAGAAGCTCAAGGCAATGGGATGCAGGACCTCAGACATGACAGTAGTTTTGGTTGGGATGTCAGACTGATATCTTGTCAAGGCTGTCCAGGGCTTGTGCTGTATCGCCCAGGTTGCTGCTGTGTCACGTTCTCCACAATCAGTTTATTTTAACTGGCTACTAGTCATTCTCTGCAGCTGTAACCTGAGCAAAATGGTGTATATTATAGCATAAAGGTTTGTTATGAACAGGTTTTTCTTTGGTTGTAAATGAGCTTTTCTTTGATGGTTTCATGTTGCAAAACCTATGAATCATGTTGTACATTTGCGCATTCTCAACTGGTTGCTCACCATTATGGGCATAGAGCTACTAAATAGCAGCAAATAGTGCAAAAATTATTTGATACTTTTTATATTAACTGTTAAATGTGTAGATTGGATTTTAGATTCAATTCCAAATTATTTTGGACAAAATTGTTCACTCTGCTTGAATGCATAAAATAAGTTGGGGGAGCTGAGCTACTTGGAAATAGCATTAAAAAGAAAAAAAACCATTCACTTGAGACTGTTTAATGTGATATGTTGTGCTCAATGTGACGAGTTGTACCATTGATCAAAATATTAAATCTGTTAAATGAATGTTCCCACAATTGTCAATTTCACATATGTCAATGTGGTTGGTAGGCACAATATTGGCCTTCAAGACATTTTTTTATAAAATCAACAAAGTTGCTTCAAAGTGACAAACGCGATGTCTGTTTCAACATAACGTTTAAGTATTTGGAAAATTAAATCTCGTCATAATTCTCTGCCATGCTATGGGGAAGGGTGGAGATGTGAGGTGGAAACAAATAAGTTAATTTAAAGTTAGTTTAATTTCAATTAAACCGTCTGAGATGCTACCCATGTGAAAGCCACTATATAAATGCAAGTTGTTAATTTCAACACTCGTTTATTGAAATGCCAAGAGAGAAATTCCTTTGGCTACCTCTGCTTTTTGCATTAGTCCAACCATCACAGCTTGGTTATGATTTCCCACTCTGGGGTCATCTGAAGAAGTGTGTGTGTGTGTGTTTCACATTTATCTACAAGTTGAGTCCGGGGATGTGATCCAGCTAACCTTTGATCTGATTCCAAAAGGGGGCACAAAAAAGAAACACAATAGAGATTTTTTCTTTAATAGATAAGCTTAAAGACTTGAATTTGATCAACTGATTTCTGTATTTGTAATAATATAAGGAGAAGCCAGCATTTAATTTTCCATTGTTGGTCTGTTTTGCTATCTCATGGTTGGTTGCTGCTGCTGCAGTAATACTGAATGCTATTCCTATAAATCACCTTACAAACTTAATCTGTATCCATATTAATCCGTATTAGGGTTTCCTTTTAACCTGTTGACCAAACATTATTTTGCGTTTTGAAGTTTTCTGTGATTTTTAAAGTGAAGATCGTTTTGACATAGTCTGAAGAAAGACCAAAAGAAAAATACAAGCTGTAGAAAAGGAACAGGTATCCCTGGTAAATTAGCATGTCGTATATTCACACATTGCAGTTATTACAAGAATCAAATTGAACTCGATTGTGAAGTTTGAAGTGGGATTTTTTTGTAAAAACAATACATTTTCTTGGGCCAGTAAATATGGTATTACTTTGTGTTAAACATGTGTTTTAAAGATTTGGTCATGCTTCTATTTCATAAATTTGAAAGATATTTGAAACCATTTCCTCTTTTAACAAACCAGATGTGTCCCTTCAAAGTCAACTATTTGAAGGAAGTTTTGTGAGGTGTTTCACCATTGCCCCCTGGCGGCATATAAAGTATTTTTATTTTCTCAATAAAGCACTGAATAATAATCCTTGTGTTTGAGTTAACACCTTATTGCATAGTCAAAGAGGTTTCAAAGTGCTTCACAGGAATTTACTGTGAAGTGCACCGACTGTGTATTTGTACGCAAACACAGTTGTCAATTTGTGCACAGAAACATCCTATAAACGGACATGAAGCGAATGACCCAATTTTAGATTGTTGGCCAAGATACTGGGAGGAACTCTTCTGTAAATAGATTCGTGGGATCTTTAACAGCCGCCTGCACAGGCAGATGGGTCCTTGGTTTAACACCTGTAAGTACGCCCCCTACGTAATTGTTTTGCTACATTTACCTTTTTCCTCTCGTATGTATACAACAATAATCCCTACCCCACAAATTCACCCACAAATATACGGTCAGTTCACTTTACGGTATATTCTGTGAAGCGCTTCGAGAAGGCTGAGAAGACGTGAAAAGCGCTGCATCAAATGCGAGGATTATTATTGCTATATTGCACTTTTCGTGTCAGGGCGGTGCCGTAAAGCACTTCACAGGATACACACACTATAAAAGACTGTTTTGTTGGGGAACGCAAACGGCCAAGAGACGCAACTATAGATAATCGATTCTCGAAATAGTTTCTATAAATAAATGTGTGTGTGTACATACACATATAGATGTATGACTGATGCGTAGAGATAGTGATGTGAGCTATTCACTTGGGGGCTGGTTGCGGAGTGTTAATCTTTACAAACTGGCGGCAATGCTTCGCCTGTGAGACCGACATTTCCCGTTCATCGCCCAGTGTTATGTGCCAATAAAATACACACAAAGCACTGACAGCACAGAAACAGGCGGCTCGGACCAACCGGGAGTGCGTCACTGCCCGGGGGAGGGGGCGGGGCTGTCTGCAGACCCCGCCTCCCCGGAGCCTCGTCACACACGCAGCGGGAACGCCGCGCCCACTGCGTGGCACGTCACCGCGTCTGGCGGCTCTGACGTGCGTGAGGCGCGCGCGTGCGTTGCTCCGGCGACAGCGGCCTGTGAGGGGCTGAGGGGCCGAGGGGGGGGTTTCTTACAGTAAATAACATAAGGAGGTCAGTCCCCCCCCCCATCCCCACCCGAGAGAGGGAGGGAGGGAGGGAGGGAGCAGCGCGGGTGTAAGTGGTCGCTTGTCATGGAGCTGTGATAGAAAGTGGCCGTGGGTCAGGGAGCGGCAGGAGGGGGGGTCAGGGAGCGGCAGGAGGGGGGGTCAGGGAGCGGCAGGAGGGGGTGGGGGGGGTCAGGGGGGGTCAGGGAGCGGCAGGAGGGGGTGGGGGGGGTCAGGGAGCGGCAGGAGGGGGTGGGGGGGGTCAGGGGGGTCAGGGAGCGGCAGGAGGGGGTGGGGGGGGTCAGGGAGCGGCAGGAGGGGGTGGGGGGGTCAGGGAGCGGCAGGAGGGGTGGGGGGGTCAGGGAGCGGCAGGAGGGGGTGGGGGGTCAGGGTGCGGCAGGAGGGGGTGGGGGGTCAGGGAGCGGCAGGAGGGGGTGGGGGGGTCAGGGAGCGGCAGGAGGGGGTGGGGGGGGGTCAGGGAGCGGCAGGAGGGGGTGGGGGGGTCAGGGAGCGGCAGGAGGGGGTGGGGGGTCAGGGAGCGGCAGGAGGGGGTGGGGGGAGGTCAGGGAGCGGCAGGAGGGGGTGGGGGGGGGTCAGGGAGCGGCAGGAGGGGGTGGGGGGAGGTCAGGGAGCGGCAGGAGGGGGTGGGGGGGTCAGGGGGGGTCAGGGAGCGGCAGGAGGGGGTGGGGGTCAGGGAGCGGCAGGAGGGGGTGGGGGGGGGTCAGGGAGCGGCAGGAGGGGGTGGGGGGGGGGTCAGGGAGCGGCAGGAGGGGGTGGGGGGGGGGTCAGGGAGCGGCAGGAGGGGGTGGGGGGGTCAGGGAGCGGCAGGAGGGGGTGGGGGGTCAGGGAGTGGCAGGAGGGGGTGGGGGTCAGGGAGCGGCAGGAGGGGGTGGGGGGGTCAGGGAACAGCGTGTGAATCAATCCCACTCCCCCGCTCTCTCCCTGAAGCCCAGCAAACTTGTCGTCCTCGATGTCTCCGATGGTATTGTTCTTGTTCAGTTAGTTACTGAAATCAAGACATGGCACGTTTGGCCGGAGACACGATACCCTCTTCGATCGTGCCCTCGGTCGCCCTCCCACTTCTCTGCCTTCCCTCACCCCTACCTCACCTCTGTTGTTGTTGTTGATGGTCACCCGATCCTAAGTGTCTGTTTTTGCTGTGTGAGTCTCGGCAATGACTCTTTGCGCTGCAGAGGGCAGGGCGGCATGTCCAACACGCGTCTTACCTGCTCGTCTTATTTTATCTTCTATTAACAGTTTCTGCAGCAATCAGGTGAGGATAAATTGCATAAGCTCCCTTCACGCGGGGTAGCATCCGTGATCTCTATGGTGGAGTGTGTCCCCGAGCCAGGGGGAGACGGAGTGGGGAGGTGACCATAAGCACGATCACCGAGAAAAGTCTTTAGGCGAGATTTGAAAGTGGGGAGATGTCTCGAGGCACTTCACAGAATATATTGTAAAATGAATTGAGTGTATATTTTGTGGGAGAAATGCAGCAGCCAATTGCGCACAGCAGTGTCCCACAAACAGTCGTAGATTGAGTGACCAAATTATATATTTTTAAAAATGTATTATTTTGTTTTGGAGTGATTATTACCCCCAAAAAAGCGATCCGGCAATCGACTTAACAACCAGGTTCCTACTCACTGCTAGATAAACAGAGGTGTGTGGAATTAGGAATTTGCCCAACGTTTTGCCCTGCACTGAAATCGAATCCAGGTCCTCTTGCTTGCTTTAACCACTTAAAGGAGGCTAGGAAAGTGGTAAGGTGCAGGAGTGGAGTCAAGAGAGTGTTGCCATCTCTTAAGCTAGCAAGATCTCAATACAGGTTGGGTTGTGGCTTATGAAACAGGTGTTCAAATATTTCTCCCTCGTGGTTCTGAGCTCCTGTGACCGAGCCTTCAGTTCCTATCTCCCTGACGGCTGTACTCTCTTCCTCTATTACTCCGGTTCGCCCCGCCTTGAAGCATCTTGGAGTGCTTAACAGTAGTGGAACTTGATGTCGAGCCATGGAGAGGAAGTTGGGTGTTCAGCAGCTGGGTAGAGAAAGGGTCAAGGCAGCAAGTGATGGGTTTCATATGGTTGATGATGATTGCGAGGGGTGAGGGAGAAATGGGGGCAAGAAGTTTGGGGTGGGGATAGATGTAGATACAGTAGCAGAAGATGTGTAAAACATGCGGGAAGACCAGGAGACAAGTGGGGGCGGGGTGGATACAGAGTTGTAGGCATCGGAGGGTGAGGCGCCACTTCAAATCCTACATCTTGTGAATGGGCCTCTGGCTATCTCCCTCTCTCCCTTCTTAGGTGTCCAACCCTGTCTCTGTAAAGCCCTATGAAATGTTATCCTCTGTGAAAGGTGCTATATAAATTCAAGTTAAGCATGGTATTGGTTTCTCTCCTGTGTCAGACAATTAGCTGGCCAGAAATGTCCGGAAACCACTTGAGACCAATAATAGAACCTGTATTGTTCTGCCAAGCAGCATTACAGATAATTCACATTGAAGTTCTTCGTGTGACAAACGAGTGGGGATGTTGCCTGCGGCTACTCTATTTCCATTCATAATATCACTGATGTTAGAACTTAATAATGCACACTCCATACTGGAGGAGTCTATGCCAGGATATCTCAAACCAGCAGGTTTAAAGAATAATGAGGTAAAAAACTGGAAAAATGATAATTGTGTAAATATCAATCTGTTATAATGTTTAAGAATATGCATCAATAGAAAATTGTCCCCTTTAAGAGTTTAAACAGTCGGAATACCTAACAAAAGTAACAGCTTTGACTGTACGCACAGTATTACGGTCTGCACATGTAGAAAACAATCTGTGCTTCATTTTATTGTGCAGAAGATTCTGTTAACAGGCTTCCTGTAATCTAGTGTGCTTAAAACAACTTAATTTATTAACAACAGTTAATTTGGGACATCCTCCCGACATGAAAGGCACTATACGAAGGTAATTTTGTTGTTGTTTATATAGCGCCCTTCACATAGGGTAATAACTGTATGGCTGAATTGATTTGTTTCAGGATAATCTGCCTTCAGTATGAATGACAGCGATGATGATGACACCCAGCTGTCAGACTCTGCTTTGACTGCCCTGCAAGCGTTCTATATGCAGCAGCAACATAAAGAATTTGCACAATTTGACAGGTACTCTGTTGGCTCCATTGAAGAGAACTGGGTAAGACGATGATTTTACTTGGTCATAACAGAAGTAATACTGTACATTTCTGATAATCTGACCCAGAGACTACCATTTGAGCCAGGCTGATACCCTGACACCATTTCATCTTAAATCAATCAGCACAAACAGATCTGCCAGTAACTTCCTGTGGTTAATTCTAGACCCTGTCCCTTTAACACTGTTTCGTGTTGGACATACTAAGACGGGTTTTCAAAAAATCTTTCAGAAACTGACAAAGCAGCAGTGCTGACCAGATCTAACCAGGATAACCCTGGTTAATGAAGGCAAAGAAAATCAAAGAATTTAATAAGGCACAGTACATTGTACTAAATTATTTATTTATTATGAATTTTCAATATAAAAGTAATTAATAGACAAATATATGATTGCAGATAAGGTTTTGTACCATATAGCTGGTCAGAAGAGTCTTCAGTATTTTAGTTGTAGAGTTAGCGTCCATAATAATAAATATATTTTGTATTCAGCCATGTATTAGCTCAAGAGCAAAAACAAAGTAATATGACATTTGTTACAGGTGATCCATTTCTTCCCCTCCTTCATGTTTTGACTGGTTTAGTCAAGTGCATTATCTTTCAATTCCTTTTTCTGGTTTCTGGGAAGTCTTCTCTTCAGCACACTCTCTTGGGTCTGTTCTTTTTTTGTTTTTCAAGTAGCTTCACTTATCTCAGCTGACAATGAGACGAATAGTGTAAACTGGTAACTTCATTTAATTGTCCATCAAGTCATGCTCTGTCTCTCCAAATCGTTTCACTCAGCCCCTCAAATCATTTTATTGGCAATTCCCTGACTTCTATGTTTGACTCCAACTCGAAAAGCGCCTCCTCACAGAGCTTGTCATCACCTTCGAACACCATATTGGGTTGTGGAGTCCTGTAGCTCAGTGGTTAGAGCACTCGCTTTGCAAGTGAGAGACCTGAGTTCAATTCCAGGCAGAGGGCGAAACCTTGGGCAAGTTTCCTTACTCCACACACCTAATAATAATCCCTCCAAAACCAAAAACAATAATAAATTGGTCATTTTCAATCTACGACTGTTTGTGGGACATTGCTGTGCGCAATTGGCTGCCGCGTTCGCCCACAAATATACAGTCAATTCACTTTACAGTGTGTTCTGTGAAGCGCTTTAATAATAATAATAATAATCCTTGCATTTGATATAGCGCTTTTCATGTCGGGAGGACGTCCCAAAGCGCTTCACAGACTTTGGGACGTCCTCCCGACGTGAAAAGCGCTATATCAAATGCAACGATTATTATTATTATAACTGTCTTGATGCCTTCTCTTTGTCAATCTGTTGACTCTGAACAGAAATCTCCATTAACATACCTGTTTGTACGTCACCATATTAGGTACAAAAGGTCTTCGTTTGTAGACAAAAATGGGAAAGGATGAATCGAACAAAACTTTAATCCTGTGCTGTACTCTTTGATTAATGGCTGTCATTAGTTGTTTTACTTTCCCTTAGATTAATTCGCCATTTGGAGTTTGGGGCGCTTTCAGAACAGAAATTCGGATTTATAGGCATCCCGCTTATCTCTTTTGAATATCTCTGATATAAAGACTTTCCCTCTAAATTTGGTAATTATTTTCCTGCTTGGTGATACATACGTTTCTTGTTTGATTTTGGACCATTTTATAACTGTTGTTTTTCTTCCTCTCCTATCTGGTTAATGACACAGCACACACAAGGCTCTCTGTAACGCTCATCAACTGACAGGACAAAGCCTCTTTGATTCAGATACTCACAAGCCATTTGGTAGGGTGACCAAAATTTACTCTTTATACCAACCACTGATCCACTCCATTGTCAACTAAATATAATAATAATCCTTATCACGTCGTCAAGAGATTTCAAAATCGTTCACAGGATTCAACTGTGAAATGTATTGACTGTGTATTTGTTTATAGGAAAATATGTTGTTTAATTTGTGCACAGCAATATCCTATAAGCAGGCATGAATTCACTGATCAATTTTATCTGGGAGATTGTTGATCAGGACATTGGGAGAAACTCTCTTCTCTTTTTGAGTAGTACCATGGGATCTTTAACATCAACCTGAATGGTATACAGGACCAAAATCCATCATGACGATAGCCTACAGAAATATTGTTTCCTAATTAAAGCTGAATTTAAGACTTTGGCAAAATTCCACACCATCTTAAATTTTAAGTTAACGCAAAAATCATGAGAATTTCAGGCTTCAGATATTCAAAGTTCTGCACCAACTTAATTGCACATTAATTTATAATAATAATCCTTGCATTTGATATAGCACCTTATGATGTCTTCCAGACAACAGCTTGCACTTATATAGCACCCTCCATGCAGGGTAGAGTCTCAAAGAGTTTCACAGAATATATTGTGAAGTGAATTGACTGTATATTTTGTGGGTGAAACTCAGCAGCAGTGTCCCACAAACAGTTGTTGATTGAGTGACCAAATTATTATTAGTTATTTATTTGAAGGGATTTTTACCCCCGGAAAAGTGATAATAATAATAATAATAATAATAATAATCCTTGCATTTGATATAGCGCTTTTCACGTCGGGAGGACGTCCCAAAGCGCTTCACAGAATAGACTGTAAAGTGAATTGACTGTATATTTGTGGGCGAACGCGGCAGCCAATTGCGCACAGCAATGTCCCACAAACAGTCGTAGATTGAAAATGACCAATTTATTATTGTTTTGGTTTTGGAGGGATTATTATTAGGCGTGTGGAGTAAGGAAACTTGCCCAAGGTTTCGCCCTCTGCCTGGAATTGAACTCAGGTCTCTCACTTGCAAAGCGAGTGCTCTAACCACTGAGCTACAGGACAGCTACACGATCCGCCAATTGACTAACAAGCGGATTCCTACTTACTGCTAGGAAAACCGAGACATGTGAGTAAGGAAACTTGCCCAACGTTTCACCGTGCCCGGGAATCAAACCCAGGTCCTCCCGGTTGTGAGGATCTAACCACTGAGCTACAGGAGATCTTTCTGTGGTCACTTTTCCAAATTGTTTTTTTTCGATCGAGTTTCACTCTGCATGTTTTGCATTGTATGTGATCTATGTTGTTGTAAGTTATTAGAATAATTGTCCAAAGTTTGAAGTTTAAGATGTGTTTTGGGATTGTTTTATGCAGTTTGGTTGTATGGGACAAACTGTCTAAAAAATACAGAATAATTATGTTAATAAACTATCATTTCTAACAGCAATTAAGCCAGTTTTGGTACAGTGATGAAACTGCAACACAACTAGCCCAGGAGGCCATTAGAGCTGTTGGACGTGGTGGCAGGTAATTCTGTGCATTGAATTGGACTACCTTTATATATATTTCCTTAATACATTGAGGGTGGAAGTGATGTCTATTCCTGCCACACAGCAGCTATCAGTATGAATCATTAATTCTAAATCATTGAATTATACAGCACAGAAGGAGGCCATTCGGCCCATCGTGTCCGTGCTGGGTCTTTGAAAAGAGCTATCCAATTCAATCTCACTTCCCCGCTATAGAATCAATAGAAATCATTAAAAATTATAAAATCTGATCATTAAAAGAAGGGGAAAGAGAAGGAATGAGAGAGATAGAGAGCGCATAGAGGGGGAGAAAGAGAGCAGGCAGAAGAATGACAGAAGAGGGAGAGAGCGAGAGCTTGCATTTTTAGAGCGATTCACCTTGTTCAAACATCAAAATTGGTGGGGGTTTTTAGGCAAATGGAATAGTTCTTTGCACAGTGAGGCCTAGAGGAATGATAAGAGAGGTTTAAAGCTTGAAACAGAAAATTGTTTAAAAATTAAAATAAGCAAGGAGGGCAGGCTATTGACAAGATTTTGAAATATTTTATTATTAAACAAATTATTTTTGTATTATTTTAGTGAATTACAGTTAATAGTATAGTAATGACACTGCCCTGATGTCGAATAGTTTTATTACTGAATTTTTCGATTTTTTTTGAGTGCTACAGTGCAGGAGCTGAAATTGTAGAGACAGAGATGGGACAACATAGTCCTGCTGTGAGAAAGCTTATCTCCACTATTGCCCTGCTGAGAAGCAGAGTACGTTGTAAAAAGAGGCCCACTTTAGTGTTCAGGGCTTGTCATTGTAAAGAGAGGGCCCTGTCCTTGTAGTGCCTCAATATCTGAATCATTGGATGAAAATCTTTAAAACCATCTTTACGCTTAGTTTATTAGCATTGGCCAGTTTATTAGTATTGAAAGAGATTTGGTAGGATTTCCCCACGGTCTTAATCTAACCTGTGACTGCTAGCAACAACAACGTGCATTTATATAGTGACCTTCACATGGGGTAGTGTCCTGGAGCGTTTGACAGTGGCAGCGTGTGACGCTACCAGGGGGATAGGGAGGGCGGAGGTGACTAAGCCCAATCAAACAGGACTGTTTTTGAAAGCAGGTTTTGAAAGTGGGGAGGGAGGGGGCAAGTGGAGAGATTGTGGTAGAGTTCTAGAGTTTCGGGGCGTAGTAGCTGAAGGCACCTCGGAGGGTGAACATATCCTTGAGTTTGCAGATATGTTGATTTACTATATTGTACACTTGTTTCAGAATAGCTTGCATCAGTGCCCCAAGTATTTATCAGAAACTGAAAGCACTTGGGAATGAAGAATTCTCTGTCGTTCTGCTGGAGTATGACACTCGTTTTTCTGTGTACGGAGAGGAGTTTGTGTTCTATAACTACAGCGATCCTTTGAAGCTGCCTGAAAACCTCAAGCCTCACAGCTGTGACATTGTTGTCGTGTCCCCACCGTACCTCTCGGAAGACTGTCTCAGCAAAACAGCACTTACAGTCAAATATCTCACAAAAGAGAAAATTCTTCTTTGTACTGGTAGGTGGAAATGTAATCTTGTAACGATTTGTTTTGATGGGAATACTTGTAAAGTTTTGCCAGTTCCGTAACAAATGAATATTGAGCGAGTATGATAATGATGGCAGTTAAGTATTTGGGTTTCCGATGGCTCCACAAAGATGATCACATCTACAGCAATGCTTGGAATACCTCAAAGTTTATTTCTCAACGTTTAAACCTCAAAGTTTATTAACTGAGATGGTGGTTACGTTTCTGGTATTCATTCTAACACTAGTCTTCCTTTAATAATACTCCAGGCATATCTCCCTGTTGTATTACGGGTTTGTTTATAATGCAGTCGCACTGTGGACCAGACACACAATGCACTCTGGTCAGTTTCCAGTCAGTGCTGCTCTGCACAGAAAGCGCCGCTGACATCATTTTGTGACAATAGCAGTTACTGTACATTACTTGCATGCAGGAAGTGAGATCCGTGGTGACTTGAAGTGCTGACCTGAAGCTACTTTTATTATATGTCACACTGATGTACATAGGCTGTTTATAATGAGGTTGGCCTGAATTGTGGGTACAGTATTTGGGGGACAGATCCTTCCCTATTCTTGAATGAATATCTGATTTTTATTATGTTAGATCTTTTGTTTGCTTGTCTCCATTGTCCCACATTTGAGTGTCTTTGACTATCCATTTCAGGTGCAATCATGGAGGATTTAGCAGCAAAGTTACTTGATGTGAAAATGGGTAAATTTCTACCAAAACACAACAGGAAATTAGCAAATGAATATCGTTGTTACACCAACTATGCAACAAGATTAGATTCAGACTCCATCTCTTAATCTGTTTTAAAGAATTTTTGTTTTCAATAAAAAAAGGATATACATGTGTGTCATGGACGTGTGAATTCCCTGAAGATGTGTTGCTGATTTGGGGTGTTTTGGGGAGAGGGGGCAAGACTGCGAGGTTCAACCCCCACAGGGAGAGGAACAATCCCAAATAAGTGACTATGATTCGCTCCTGGGTTTCTCTAGATACCGGCTGAAGGTCTGTCTCACTGAGAAGCTCAGGAGCACAGGTCCTTCCTACCCCACCACATCGATTGAGCAGAAAAGCAGGCTATTTATCCATTGACCCTCCCCCAGGCTAGTGGTAGGCTATTTAATCAATGAGTCACCAACTGTCCAGTTTTGGCCTGGCAAGTCTGGTTTTAAGGGAATGTGTACAGTTTCTGGCCAGAAGTATTCACTGGACACCAAAAATATATTTTTTTAGAATTTTGGAACAACGTAGAATTATAGAAGTTATGTCATTTTATTTATAAGAGTAAAGTTACAGAAACAGATATTTAAAATATCAAAAATACACAAGTTCAATATTTACAAGTAATCTACAGTGAAAAAGTGTAAGGTAAACACCATTGATGAAAAGTAAATGCAAACATATATGAGACATGAATTAATACAACATATATACCAGCAGAACCAAATATACCATATGTAATGATAAAGATGATATTAACTTTGATTTATTTTTGGTGCAGTAACTACTCTGGCAGCAAATCGTCTCCCAGTTCTTCATCTGCAAATTCATCCTCATCAACCCGTTTTCTTGCTGCAGTTTTGGGCCGTTCTATTTGTGGGCCAAGTGGATCCACATACGATGCATCTATTGATTTTTTTAAAAAAAGCAGGTGCTAATTAGAGTTTACAAAGTACAATTTTTTACTATATTATAACAGGTTAGTTTAGAAAGACCCTGTTTAAGGTATCTTTATTTTAGGTTTTTATTTTAAAGCCAAAAATCAAGTAGCTAGTTGATGTATGTACATCTAGAAATTAAACATTTAATTTAATTTTCTGATATAGTCCTAAAAATTAGAATTTAATTGAATGGAGTTTTATTGAATATATAGTCAAAATTTGGAGGCAGGTGGTCAATTGGCCTTAGACAGTAAGTTGCAAGAATCATTTAAATGTAATCATGGAACTCAGCTAACATTACTCATTTGTAAAGCAGGTTATTGGTCAACTCTAAATATAGTTAACCTACCTATATTTTTATTACAAGAAGTAGTTGATTAAACAGAGAAAAAACAGGATCTTGTTATACAGTAATGGCTTTACCTATTATAATGTACTCTGGCAAAGTTGGCAATTTAGCACCTTCTTGCTGGTGCTAACAAAACCTCTGGTGTTCTGGCCAACAATCCCCCAGAAGGTCACTTACTTCACAGCTGTTTATGCAAATTGCTGAGTGCAAATTGGCTGTTTGCCTACAAATAAACTCACTACACTTCACAGTACCTTGGGATGTTCTCCAAATATGAAAGGTGCTGTATAAATATAAATTTATATTGTAAACTTGGTTTGTGAAATCCTGTGAAGCATTTGAAGATGTCTCGATGATGCTATATCAAATGGAATTATTAGCAAACTTTCATGGATGGAATAACTACAGGCAATAGAGCAAACTATTGTGTGCTTCACAGGCTTTTGGCAGAGACAAGGACCTTTCCTGCTCTCATTGATGCTGTATTGAACTTGAAGCTTACCCCAAAAAAACTAAGTCTAAAAAAATTCTAATATTAATGTTAATTTATGGTACATGGTATTTTTACTTGTATTATTAAATACCACATCAAACAGCAAATGATTCTAATGTAGGAAATATAGCTCAGAACTTAATCAATTTTCTGCAACCTGTCTATTGTATGCTCTGCCTGAACTGACAATGCACAATTTCAATTTCACAAACATACATAGTAAAAGTCAATATTCAAAATAAAAAAGCTAAGCACTTGCCTATGTCTTTGTTATTGCTGGTTTCATACTGATCATTAACTCCATGGAGTGACCTCAGCTTGGCATTCATCCGCTCTCCTTTAGCACTGGTACCATGGGTGCTTTGTGTACTGTCTAAAATAATACAGGAAACAATGGTTGTTACTACATTTATCAAGTCGGAAGTTGGTTTTATACATAAATATTATGTTTACAGAGAAACATTGGTTATATTGAACTATACTTTCCAATGCCCACCATGGCGATGTTTTCTGAAGCTTGAGAAGTTAACAACAGTGAAGAATATAATAAAAGATGATGTAAATTGGGACTAACCAAGGTAACAAATTTGAATACAGATTTTTTAATGCAGCATTCTGACTCCCTGAATGCTTTTCTTGAAAATACAGCTGAAGACAATAAGCACCAATTGAGGATACTATGATAAGATGGTTCAAGATATCACTCCATTTAATCTTTTTGAACAAATCATCATCAGCAATTCAGCATTCCCCATTATCGTCCAGCTACAAATTTAGGAAAACGTGTGGCATTTCTATTACAACAGCAGAGAGATACTTCATATGATATACTAAACCCGACAGTATTAACATTACAATTACATGTTCTCATTTCCCTGGTACAATATATAAGAATTTTAGGGTTGGAGAAAGGTTATTGGACCCAACCAGCCTGTCCCGATTTAATAACAGCAATCTAACACGATGCATTGAGGCCTGCAGTTATTAGGAATTTTCAAACTGTTTCAAACATAGAATGATAACCAAAACAAGATTGTGAATCATCTTAAAAAAAGGCCAACTGAAATGTTTATCATTATTACACATAGTGATACAGCATGGAAACAGGACATTCATCCCAACTTGTCTGTATCAGTGTTTATGCTCCACACAGGCCCCCAAAACTCCTATTCCCTTCTACCACATCTAGGCATCAAGTTTCCTTTAAAATAAATTGACTTTCGCTTGAACCACAGCCTCCAGTAGTGAGTTCCACATTCTCACCACCCTCTGTGTGAAGAAGTTTCTCCTAAACTCCCTATCAGATCAACTATTAGCTATCTTATATTTATGGTCCCTTGTTCAGATGCCCGGCTTGCTATCCTGGGTGAAGGGCGCTTATGTGAACACAAGTTGTTGGACTCACCAACAAATGGAATGCAGCCTATTGAAGTCCATCTCATCTGAATTTGTACTGTGTATAAGTAAACTAATACACAATTCTTTCCTCAGTAATACTGTTCCTATCTCCCAAGACGACATGTCTGGCAAAGCCACACATTTCCCCAGTAATCAAAAGTTAGAAATATAATTCAAGAAAAATAATTTAAAAAGGAAAGAGCATGAATTGGCATATATAATTCCAGCATCGGAACAACCAATTTAATAGTACACCCATCATGTATCTGAATGACTCATGTTCAATAATTGAGAATTTCTGAATTTAGACTGCAACTTGGATCCCATTTTTTCATAAACTGATGATCATCACCTACAGGTGCACGATAAGCCATGATTGTTAAGCACCTTGGGCTGTTCTCCCAACATGAAAGGCACTATACAACTATTGTAAGTTGTTACCAGCCATTTTTTCAAACTTTTTTTAAGCTCCTTGAGATGTATAACCACCAGTTTAAAAAAAAACTTGTGGATAACTTTGTTTTGTCCTAATTTCCTCACTTCCAAGAAGAACGAATGGAAAAACATTGCATTTTGGAAAAAAGCAATAAGCAATGAAATTATAGTCAGAAGGGAATTGAGGAATTGTATTGTAATATACAAGAAACAATGTCAGCAGTGACCTGACAACTAAAATCAGACATTTGTTAGCACAGGAAAAGGACACTTAGTGTTGCAAGCTCGGTGCAACACATTTCCAGTTAGCACAGGCCCACTATAAACTTATGGTCAATGGAGGGGTTGAGTGGTCTCTTGTCTCCCTGAAGGCATGTCTCAAGACCCACCTCTTCGACCATGCCTTCGGCCACTCTCCTACCCCTGCCCTCCATCCCTCCTGATCCCGACCCCCTGCTCGGATCCAAATCCCTGACTGTCCAGCCTCAGGTTTGTCCTCGAAGTGAAAGCCGTTATACAAATGTAATTTGTTGTTATTGTTGAGAGGTGTTCTAACAGGATTGCTCTACATCATGGTTTTCGTATTGTGACACACTCCGAAATTCATCATTCATTATTTGGTCAGATCCACTCATAATCTGAGCATTATAATAAACAGCACACCATGTATATTTTTTGCATTTCTAGTTCTGTAGGATAAATTACCAAATGCAAGGATTATCAGTATTTAGATACACCACTCGGAATAAATATTGCCAGCAGCGTATCTATTCTAAACACTGGACAGCTGATCACTATAGATACTTACCCCTAATCTGATCCACTAATGGACTGTGCCTGCTTTCAGGCGAGAAGGCAGCTATAAAGATAGAATGAAAACGAGAAGCAAGAAGTTATAGAGTATTCTATAAGAAAGCTGACTTAAAAAACTCTTAGGTATTAAGATGCAAAGGAACTTTATTCCGGGGATTACCAAGGTTCGTTCCTAATTCCTTCAATATATACATTCCTGCTTTCTGGATTTTACATGTACTTTACCGATAGAAATGTAAAGATAAAAATAAAAATCGTTGCCTGGATTCCAATTCTTCTCTTAGTAACAGTGGATAAACTACTGCAGTCCAGTCAAGAAAAAAACAGTTGTATACCAAGAAACCTATGCTTGAAACAAGATTTCTATAATATTCACACAAAACAGTCAGTTTGTAAATCTTCAGTCTATTTACACAATTTGTTTAAAACTCAATCTAACAAATATAGCAAACAAGCCTTAAAAATATCTGATAGAAAACTTGTAAAAAGTACTGCTATAAACAAGAGACCAGTGCCCGATTAGATTAGGGTATAATTTGGAAGCAGTTTTTTTATAGTTCTTAAAATGCTTCTGAATTAACACTGCATTGTTAATCCATAATTCTGCACGATTTTAAATTTGGAAGTAAATTGGTCTATGGTCAACTGGGATTTCACGACTATTGTATCTTTACACCATGCCACAAATAGCAACACAATTCCCCATCTGTTAACACTGTAATTTTGTTTTCAATCTCTCTGTGTCTAGTCAACACAGACCAAAACCCTGCAGCCATACCAGGATTTCTGCTGGTGCCTAGGATTCCTGGAGGTGTTGATCCTGTGTGGCATTTAAAATAAATGGAAACAAGAAAAAGTGTCATCCTTAGCCAGAACAAATTAAAATTAAAAGGATCTACATCGATTTTAAATCAAATGTTCAAATTGTTCGGGAACACAGTTGTAATTTCAAAAACCCAAAACATAATCTGCAGGTTAAAGATGGTGGTTAAAAATTAGATCACACTAACATTCCCGAATAGTTCTTCAGATTTTTTTTAAAACTTTAAAATCTAAATAGGAATATTGACACAGAATTGGCATTTAGAAAAATGGATCAGAAAAAGTTCATTCTTGCACTGATGATGCAAGATTAAGAGAATTGATGGGATTAAGAGAGTAAGAATACATTCAAATTAAATCTCAAGGAATATATGCTTTCAACTTGATATTCATAAAACACAATTTTCAGAAGAAAACACATTTCATTTGTCCTATATATTATGAAGTTTGTGTCCCATGTTTCTGGATTTGGAGATACCTGACTTGGCATTCCCCTGGGTAAAATGTACAGCACATTTCAGAAGTAGAAACATAAGGGCTATTAGGTATATATATTACACAAAGTATTGGATGGGCAGTGAATGAATTGCAAGTGTACATGGGTCACACCTTGGTTGGAATGCTGAATGTGCAGGGATATTTACACAACTCGGTGGTTCAAAAACAACAAGTGACACAATACAAAGATGCAGCTCCCCTTGGTCTAGGCATTATTTTTTAAAAATGTGTTGAGTTACAGGTATCTGTAATGAAGGTAGATATTTCATAAATTGCACATTGTGGCTACTAGAAGCACAGATATCTTTGGAGAAATTATATCGGGCTATTAAAAGACACATCAGAGATATCTTAAGAGTCTAAAGTACTCTCCAGGAAACTGTCGTGGCACACTTACATTACTACAGTATTACCCATTTTTCTCATAACCATTTTCCTGTTCACCCTCGATTTCAAGAGTAATCGTTTAGCTAATTTCAAATCAACATCACTCATTTTTTATAAAATCACAATTCATTTTACTGATTTATGATTCCACATACAGGGACGGGACACTTCCAATGACATAAGTTTTTCGTTGAAAATGTGTCTGTACAAGCTACAATACTGTTTTGTTCTGAAAACTTACTTCTGGTCATTCCTTCTTGATAGAAGGGAACTTGGACCTAGACCAGTTTGAACTGACATTGCAGATTCAATTCTTGTTTTTTTACTTTCTATTTTAATGATTTGCTCAGTAAAGGCGACCATGCAAAGCTGCACATGAATACGGACAATAATAATTATTTTACTTTTAATAAGTTCGAACATCATCTGATAATAAATCTCCAAAATTAAATCAAGATCTAGCAGTTGTTAAACTAACCTGAAAAGAATGAGTTAGTGTCAATCTTAAAAATTCTATAATACTTTACTCCTCATGAAAACTGATTGGTTTTAGCTTTATTAATATCTTGCTAACTAATGTTTAAAGTATGCAAGTATTTAAAGTTACACTTTGGAAACAAGACATTACATTTGAAGTTTCATTTGCAAGGTTTCTGGTTAAAAAAACATCTATCAGAAATAGGCTTTCTGCAATCAGTATCATTTTACTACAGCCATATGCACACAAAATACTCAAATATTTCAAGTCAACATTAGACACCCACATGATGCCTGAAGCAGCATTTTTGCTGATCTTGTTACTTTATTGCAATGTCAGATCATAATAAAAAAGCATAGAGTTTGAAAACCTTAAAACAACTTATTTTTACCAGTAAAGAAGGAACATAAGAACATTCAAACAAGTCTATGTCAACTCCCTTGAATTTTAGTTCTCCACCTAATGTACTTATAATACCTAAAGTACTAATGATACTTTAAAATCCTTACTCTGCATATCCATCCAGCCCCCTTTTAAATGCATCAATCAAATCTATATAAATTGTGCATGAGTTAATTCATGGCACTTTACTTCATTATTAGGTTATTAGCTACAACACCTACAAAATTTCATTACAATAAAGTTTATAACTCACAATGATACACACTCAATAGACTCCAAACAAACTACTAAAACCTATATTTTCTCCAACGACAAGTGTTGAATATCTATAAATGGTACCCTGGACGATTCCGGCATTGAATACAAAACCCAGACTGAATTGTTGGTGGTGGTGGAGGGGAGTGGACTATGTTAGGTGAGGGTAAGATTGGGTTTGGCTGTGATGTCCTTGCAAATGAACTGCCCTGCGACACTCACTATCTGTTCTGAATAATGACCACATAGTTGCTTTTCATGAAATTATACCTCAATGTGATTCAACACCCTTCAAACTGGGAAAACGTTTGAAAATAAATCTTAGCAGTAAATATATTTGGAATCCTTCTTCTGATGAGGGATGAAGACACATATAGCTGAAGTTGAGTAAGGTCAAGTATCTTCCACCCTGCTTGAGAAAAATTGTACAATCTAAATTCATTAGTACATCTAAGAATTAAAAGCTCACTCAATTTGCTTTCAGGATCATTTTTAAGTGCATATATAAGAGGCACAAAAAACACATTTGGGAAGATAGCTCTATGTAGAGATTTTAGCAAAATTAAGTCCAAATGATCTTTTTCTGGCCCACTTACCACTACTAGCACTGCCTTCTCTGCGTCCACGTGCACTCCCATCTCTGCCAGACTTCACTCGCTATTTAGAAAAGAGTACAGTCACTTTATACAGTTAGAACAAAATCTATGAGGTGATGAGGCTAAGATGATGGAATCATTTAAGAAACACCTTGATGGTATAATGGGATGATGGAAGGATGGGTATTCTGGAAGGATGACATCAAATGGGCCAAAGGGGTTTCTGAACTTTTGTGATCTTACAATAATAAGGACAAGTAAGATTGCTTTGAAAGGTGAGAGATTGGAAGTGAGAGAATCACCACCCATCAAATGGCAAGTTTTTTTTTACCATTTTCGGGGAATGTAAGAGAGATGCTAGGTATTGCCTCCCTAGATATGGGAACAATATTCAAGTGTTGAACAGACTTGGGTTTATAGGGAGTTAAAAGTATTTGCGGTGACAACTTTTACAATGTTGTGATGATTTAATTAACATGTTCTCATGACTAAAATAGGGCATGTGGAATCATGGGAGAGGTAGCAGAATGGATTAAAGAATGGTTAGGAAACCAAAAGCAAAGGGTAGGACTTAAGGTCATCTTGTCAGTCTGGCAAGAGGTAGAAAGTAAAAAATTGTGTTTTACAGGTATCCATGTTTGATCACCATATACATAAATGAAACAAAAACAGAAGTCGTTGGGAACACTCAGCAGGTCAGGCAGCATCTATGGAGAAAGAAAAGTGAGTCAACGTTTCGGGTCCACAATCCTTCATCAGAACTGGGACGTGTTGTGAGGGAGAGGCTTTTAAGGACTAACAGAGAGGGGGGAGGCAGGGCAAGGAAGACAAAGGAGAAAATGGGGTAGAGGACAAGGGATGATGGATTACAGAGGTGTTAATAATGCAATCCAAAGGCGGGGAAGGGGGGGGAAATGGAGGGAATGCAACAAAACAGGCAGACCAGAGAGCACCCTCCTCCGCCTGGCTGAACTTGTTCTGACATTAAACAACTTCACCTTCAACTCCAACCACTTCTTCCAAGTAAAAGGTATCACTCTGGGAACCCACATGGGTCCCAGCTACGCCTGCCTGTTTGTTGGCCACCTGGAACACTCCTTGTTCCGGGCCTACTCCAGTCCACTCCCTGACCTGCTCCTCAGACACATTGACGACTGTGTTGGGGCTGCTTCCTGCTCTCAAACTGAGCCGGAAAAAGTCACCAATTTTGCTTCCACCTTCCACTCCTCCATAACATTCACATTGTCCATCTCCGACTCTTCCTTTCCTCAACTTCACCATTTACATCTCGGGGCATAGATTATCTATAGATATCTTTTACAAGCCCACCAACTCCCACAATTATCTGCACTACAGATTACATTTGTATAGCACTTTTCACGTCGGGAAGATATCCTATGGCGTTGTACAGCGTACAGCATTTCAGACCCGAGCTGGGGTCAGGGAGGGAGAAGGGAGGGGAAGGGAAGATGGGTGACCTATTGCATGGTCGAAGAGGAGGGTTTTGAGGTGGGACTTGAAGGAATTTAAAGAGAATTTAGGAGGAACTACAGGCAGAGGGTAGTGAGATTGTGGAACTTGCTGCCTGAATCGGTAGTTGAATCAGATAATGTAGATGCATTACATTTATAGTGTCTTTCATGTCGGGAGGTCTTCCCAAAGCGCTGAACAGTCAGGTGTCGGGGCACGAGCATGGGGGAGGGGTGGTGTAGGGGTGAGGGAAGGCAGAGAGATGGGAGGGTGACCAAAAGTATGATCGAAGAGAAGGCTCTTGAGACCGTCCTTGAAGGAGGCAAGGGCGGAGGTGAGGTGAAGGGACTTTGGGATGGAGTTTCAGACTGTGGGGGCAGAGAGACTGAAAGCTCGGCCACCAATGGTAGGGCGGGTCGGGCGGGAGACATGGAGCAGACCGGAGCCCGCTGAATGGTAGAAGCGGGCAGGTTGGTAAGGAGTCAGCAGGTCGGAGAGGTAGGAGGGGGCAAGATGGCCTTGAAAGTGAGGACTAGGATTTTGAACTTGATCCTCTGAGGGATGGAAAGCCAGTGGAGTCGGGCGACGGTGGGAGTGATGGGGTCACAGAGCCTGGTGTGCAAGAGTACACAAGCTGCGGAGTTTTGGATGATCTGCAGCTTGTGAAGGGAAGAATTGGGAAGGCCAATGAGGAGGGAGTTTCCATAATCGAGCCTTGATGTGACGAATGCGTGGTTGAGGGTTTCGGTAGCCTGAGGGGTGAGGCAGTGGCGGAGTCTGGCAATGTTGAGGAGACTGAGGTTGATAGATTTCTAAAGGATAGAGGGATTAAGGGATATGGGGATAGGGCGGGTAAATGGAATTAGGTTAGAAGATCCGCCATGATCTTATTAAATGGCGGGGCAGGCTCGAGGGGCCGAATGGCCTACTCCTATGTCTTTATAGTCTTATTCTACTTTTCAGGCCAAGCTGAAATATTCAAAACCATTCTATATTTGCAATGGGCTCCTTACTGCAGGATCATTGTTTTGTAAGAGACATCTGAACAATGTAGACATGAATAAACTGTGTAGAGAAATTAAAAGAATAAATTATTATTACCTCAATTTAATGACATGAATGAGAATATAAGATGAGGACTTCCACCTAGTCTTAGCCTATTTAGTCTCTAAATTTATGGAAAATTCCATATGTTCAGCCTTAATTTAGCGGCTAATCTTTTTATGACCTGTGGAAAACTGGCTTCTAAAGTAGGATCAGAAATTTACATGATCTTAGATTTTACAGGCTAATACAAGATGAAATATTGTGCCTAAGGTTTATTGATTAACTATGCTAAAAGACAAGGGAAGGTTAAGTGTTCTGAGGACATCCGATTGGTTTTGAATGTTATGACTTTTAAATAAGCACACAATGTGTGCCAGAAAGTAAGGGGGGATATTAAATCAGTATTGTTGCATCCAATTTATGACTTCACTTTTACTTATATTTCAGTACATGTTACAATTTAAACAGTTGGAAGCTTCACATAACACAGCACAAAAGTATTTGTTACAAAAATCACTTGCCATTACTTTCATGCAGGGTATACATATTCACCTGTTCTCTTATTTCCTTCATTTTTTCAACTTTCTTGAGTCTTGTGGCATATTCTTGAATCTCTTTCAGTCCCATATCTGTGCAGAGACGAACCAGGAACCGTAAACCTAATCAAAGAACCAATTTAAAAAATCTTACTGTTACACACAAGGTAAACAAATTCATCAACTAAAATAAATAAAACCCACAAGTGAGCAGTAAATTCCTAAAATGAATGGTGATTGAGGAGCAGAGATTTTTTTTGCACCTAACCATTATACTGGGGGAAGGGGGGGGCTGGAATAAGATTCCCCAGCAAGGAATGGTCAGAAAATATGATCGAATCAATTATGAAACACCGCAATTTTTCACCTTTATGTGCGCTCACATTTATTAGTAAATTTATTCTAAACCAACTTGATGCAAAATCTCTTACAGAGAAATCCCCTTTAACCTTTTTATGGAAACAAACTTGATTTTGTAGGAAACCGATATACCCTTGAACCATTAGGCTACGTTTATTTTGAAAAGATCTTACATTCAACATTATCTGGAAATTTCCGATGAATGTCTTTATAAGTTTCCAATGCCTTCTGGTAATTACCTGTAAATCACAGAAAAGCATAATATAGTACATTAGGTGAGTAGTCTTTTATCAGCTGGGAATATGGGAAGTAACATTTTAGAAAAACAAACACGCAAATATCTGAGTATTTTAACCAATGCAGGGGTTAAAATTTTACAAAAACAAGACAACTGGAACATTGTGTGGAAAAAAACCTTTAAAAAACCAAATAGTTTTTAAACAGTTAGAGTGATACCACATTTTCTTTTGGTCAACCAGGTATCTGATGCATAAAAGAAATCCATCACTATGCTTAAAATGCACAAAATCCAGCTGATCCAAAACTCTGCAGCCTGCATACTCACCCATAACTAACTCCATATCCCCATCACACTAGTTCTAGCCAGGCTCCACTGGTTCCCTATCGCCAAACAAATTGATTTCAAGATGTTCACCCTTGTCTTCAAATCCCTTCACACCATGGCACTTCCCTACCTCTCCGACCTGCTTACTCCTCAACCCACCACCCGCTGCCTCCGCTCGACTGGCTCCAGCCTCCTGCACGTCCCTTGTGCCCTCTGCTCAGCCATTACACCGCAAAACTCTGGAACACTCTTCATCTATCCCTCTGCCTTGCCCCTTCCTTCCTCATCTTCAAGATCACGCTTGAAGACCTTCCACTTCACCCGTGCCTATAGTCAACTTAATCTTACAGTTGCAGTGCTTACATGCCCTTCTCTATTGAAAATGTGTTCATTAGTTGATATATAATACTATATTTTGTTTTTAATCCAGTTTGTCTTTGAAAGAGTTAATTAGTGCTTTTGCTGGAAACTAGTGTCATTTTACTCAAAGATAGGAAGGGTTCTCATAACAGGCCTATGGGATTCGGGCTATGGGATAGGAGTGGGGGAGTAGGATAGTTCTTACAGTACAGAAGGAGGCCATTCAGCCCATCGTGGGGCTGAATGGCCTCCTTCTGTGCTGTAAGATTCTATGATCTAGCTTTGTTTCAGTTTTGTTAATTTTAAATCCATCCTTTGCTCGGTAATTAGCCTGCTTATATCTACGCATATAAATACTTAAATCATGACCACCTCAATATTCTATGCTCCAATGAAAAGAAGTTTTAACATAAGAAATGCTAGAAGAAAAAAGACCAAGGTCCATGTAGTTTGCCTTCCAACTTCCTGTCGTTCGCATGCACATATGTCCTAAACTACCTATGTACTATATCCCATAATGTTATTTCCTAAAAGCAAACTATCTAATCTGTGTTTGAAAGAATTAACACTTCCTGCTTCAACCATCTCCCTGGGAGTCTGTTCCACAGGTTCACTATTCGCTCACTGAAATAGTGTTTTGCGTAGATTCATTCTGAATTTACTTCCCTTCAATTGCAGGCCATCTCCTCTGGTTTTACTATTCTGGATAAGTTGAAACAGCCTGTCATGATCTATATTGTTTTGCACCTTTAGAATCTTAGAGACAGCAATCACATCACCTCTCAATCTTCTCTTTTCCAGCGTGAACATGCCCAATTTTTTTTAGTCGCTCCTTATAGTACAGTCCTTCCATTCCTTCAATCATTTTGGTTGCCCTCCTCTGTATCTGCTCGATTTCTCCAATATCCTTTTTGTACTGCGGCGACCAGAACTGTACACAGTATTCTAAGTATGGTCTCACCAATGATTTATACTGTGGCAGGATTATCCCACTATTTTGGCTTGCTGTTGATCTTTTGATAAATCCCAACATCTGGTTTGCTTTACTCACTGCCACAGAACATTGTTGGGAGAGCTTCAATTTATTGTCAATCAGGACCCCCAGGTCCTTTTCATTGTCCATACATATTATTTTCCTTCCGTTCAAATAACAGTCCCTTTCAGGAATTTTTGTCCCCATGTGAAATACTTTACATTTCTCCACATTGAATTCCATCTGCCACCAATCTGCCCAATTCCCAAGTATGTTCCCAAGTACTAAGTTGTGTTAGTGAACCTCTCTTCATGACTTAGAAGCCCACATTATAAAATCAGTCTAACAAGTTTGTCTGTATATTACAGTAAACAAATTAAATTCAGTGTGGACCCAGCATCTTCTTCTCTCCATTACACTATAAGAGCATTACATTTGTCAATGTAACAGATATATTTTTTTAAAAAAACATCAGTTGTCTCATCTATCCCAGACTTTTATTGGAGTTTTCTTTTCAAATGTTTACTAGTGTATATTTCAAGACTGAAGTATTTGGATATTAATGGTATGAACAAAAGCTGGAATTTGACTTACCACTTCTCCTGTAACAGCTTGCTACCATTAGCTGCCATTTCACTTGAGTTGGTCTGTGATGAAAATAAAGTTTTAGTAGGCATTACGTAGTGACACCTTGTTTATTGTGTCCATCTGTGACCAGGGCTCGCTCTGACTCCTCGTCCTCCTCGCGTGGACCACTCAACTCTCCTCCACTGCCTCTCCTCTCACCTTAACCTTCAAGGTTCTGACCTGGAATGGTTCAGATCCTATCTCTCACACCAGCTCCACTTTATCTCCATAAACGGCTTCTCCTCCAGCCCCCGCACCATCTTGTGCAGTGTTCCTCAGGGCTCAGTCCTTTTCTCTTCAACCTGTACATGCTCTCTCTTAGTGACATCATCCGCAGACATGGGATCAACTTCCACATGTATGCGGATGACACCAACTCTATCTCTCTGCCTCCACCCTCAACTCCAGGACCACTGATGTCCTGACCGATTCCTGTCAGACATCAAGTCTTGGATGAGAGCCAATTTTCTACATTTTAATATCAGCAAGACCAAGGCCCTCCTGTTTGGCTCGCGCCAGTGCGTCTGCACCTTGGGCACTGGCAGCATCAGCATCCAAGGATGCACATTCCACTTCACCAAGGTTCAAAAAATGACATAAATATCTGAAGTGGATTATGGTATAAGAGGTCAAAAAGCACTAAATAATACTTACTGGATAAGTGCTGCTCTTTCAAAATACTGAATAGCTTTTTCACAGAACTGCGTATCGATGTAGTAGGCTCCAAGCCATTCAATGCCCTCAATGTTCGATGGGAAGTACCTAAATGACTGACAAAATTAACCGTATCAATTAAACAAAAGTTGAGTACTGGCATCATTGCATGTTTGCTTTAAGTTTCACAGGAGGAAATTTTAAGAAAACTGAGGAATATAAATTTGCATTTCATGAATAGTGGTAGTTATATTTTCAAACCACATTAACAAACTCCAAAGTTTGCAGTACAAAAGAAGTCACTCATAATAACACTAATAATCTCTGCATTTGATATATATAGCACCCTATCACTTCATTGAGATGAGATGCCTCATAGAATATATTGCAAAGTGGTTTGACTGTGTATTTTGTGGACGAAACGCAACAGCCAATTGCATACAGAAATGTCCCACCAACAGTTGTGGATTGGGAGACTTTTTTTTTTTAGAGATTATTATCCCCAGAAAGTAATTTGCCAATTGACTAATAACTGGGTTCCTACTTACTGTTAGGTAAACAAAGGTGTGTGGAGTACGGAAACTTGCTTAAGGTTCTGTCCCCAGGAATCGAACCAGGGTCCTATCGCTTGCGAGGTGAGCCTGCTAACCTCTGCTCTATGGGAATCCACCTGTATGTACCATTTATGTACTTTGAAGAGTTGATCAAAATGTGTATCAGAATGAACATTTTCTCTAAAGGATATTTGTTAAATAAGTTCATTTGTTAGATTAGATATGAGAGACACCTAAGAACTGTGGAAAACTGACTTAGAAAGTAAGGTTAAATTGAAATTCTGCACAATCTTAAATTTTAAAGACAGTGGCCAACACAACCATGAGAAATATGAACAGCAATGTTTTTTTCTTTGGATTGAGAAGGTTCACTGTGACAAGGTTGGAAAACTGCTGATCTACAGTTTAGGAGTTTACACCCCACTGGATATTTTTTTCCAACAGAAATCTGTAATATTTTCTCATAGTTTAAAAATATAATGAATTGGACAGATTTAAACAAAAATAAATAAAACGATTCAAAGGTACTATTCAAAAAGAGAATTCCTCCCAGTGCCCTGGGCAACCAGCTCCCAAATAAAATTAGTCATTCATTTCATGGCTGTTTATGGAACACTGGTATACAAACTTATTGGCTGCCACATTAACCTACAAATACACAGGTCACTACACTTCTTAGAGAGAAAAAAAAAGCTTTGAGAGCTCCTCAATACTAAAGGCTCTATATTAAATGTAAGGATTTTAGCTTTCTAGTTAAACTTACCTCATAATAGTACTGAAATGCCTGGGACTTGTCTCCCTCATTGTCGTACAAATCCCCCAATTTAGCCAGTGCCAGAGGATCAGTGGGAGCAACACTAATCAACTGCATAAGCCACTCAATAGCTTGAGTTGGATCCTCCAACATTTCATATCTTAAATAATCTTAGTCAAGGAGTAGTTTTCTATTGGGAGTGCTGTGATGTTGAAACTAACAGTAATATTGCTGCTCAAAATTTGATAAGAATATCTCAAAAAGGATACAGACTTGCAATCTGGTACATAACTTGAGCATTGTTCCTCATGATTGCATGAAGCTTTAAAAAGCAATCCAAGGCTTCCTCCAGTCTATTCAATTTCTTGTAAGTGAGTCCTGGATTAGAAAGAAAAAGTCGAAGAGAAGCTGTAAGACAATAACGCAATATATATACAAGTATACATGCATAGAAACATACACTGATTAGTCAGGGATTCATGTCTGTGGACCACAGTGCTTTAGGAAAGTGCAGTTCAAAGTGTAACAAGTTCCCCACATGAAGGGAAAAGGGGATAAACATTCATCTAAGGTTAACTCTTGTAAGCCTCAAACGTGGCTGCAATGAAAGCCTGAGAGCAAGTCATCTCTCCCTTCTTCAAGACTGGAGAAGAACAGGACTGATCCAATTGGAAAGCGAAAACAGAACAGAACTATAGGAGCTTAAACCTGGGAGTTTCATTGAAAAAATAAAAATAGATGATGTCAAGTTAAAATTTGATACAATAGATTTGTGTATGTAATATTTGTTGATCACTACCTGAAGTGCATTCACTCAAAAATTAAAGTTTAAGCTTTGGATGTTTGTAACCTCATTTTTTTAAACGTCTTAGTAAACCAGTAACAAGATAACACAGAATATTTGAGCACTAAGGATAGAAGCACGCACTGATGAGTCAAGGTTCTGAATAAATCACTGAATAAACCAAAACATTGCAATCTTGGTACAAAATTGCTACTGCAAATCTCAACTGATCATGTTTGAGCTTCCAGTAGGCAAACTATAGCTCAGGGACGCTGCCCTGCATGTGGGCCGCTATGTGTAAGTAGTTGTTGTTGTATATAAATGCAAGTTGCTATTGTTGTATCTTACCTAAATTGTACAATGCCTCGGTAAAAGAGGAGTCATTCCGCAAGGCTTCTTTATAGAACTCTGCTGCTTTCTCATAGTCGCTATTCGCAAAGACACAGTTCCCTTTATTTGTCAGTGCTGCTGGGTTATATCGATCAGCATTCATAGCGAGGTCTGCGTATCGGTCCGCAAGTCCAAAATCATTTTCCTGTACAAATTCAGTGAAAAATTAATATAATTTTGCATATTTTATTTATTTGCACTATTTCCTTTCTGCTTACAATTGATTCGGTGCTGCAGATTCTCCTATGTTTTAGGGAGTACTCCTAAAAGTGGGTGGAAAAAATATAAATAATAAGGTAAAGTAAAAGGAATCCTGACACATATTGGATTCTTTTTCAGTTGGGAGGCTTATGTGTTCCAATACAAGTTGGGAATCTCTTTGGTGTTAAAGAAAACGTTTCTGTTTCCACTAGTTTTTGCCCGTGAAACATGTTAGGAAGCAACATCTGAAAGAATATTAAATTTCAAAGTTATAATACATATATTACTGTATCATACATCCAGATGCAACAGTTCGCACCTCCAGCCTCTCTTAACTCTATTCAGTCCCATATAGCTGCCTTTTCTCTATATCCCTACAAAGGAGTTTGTTTTAGATATCTATATTAGATCCCTCTTGAAAATTAAAATGGATTCTGCTACAACAACCATACACAGGAGGGCATTCCACATCTTTACAACTCTTTGTTAAAAAAAATCCTCCTGATCTCCCCTTTGCTAATTGTCTTAAATTGGGACACCAACAACATTTTGCATTTATATAGTGCCTATTGGAGTGCTTGAGTACTCCACTTGGAAATACTGTAGCTTCTCTCCATCAATTCTATCAAAACTTATCATAAATGCAAAGATCTCTGTTAGGGCTCCCTTAAACCTTCTCTGACCCAATGAAAATAGGCTCAGTTCCTCCAGTATCTGCACATAGGTCAAATCATTCATGCATCCATGGTCCGATATCTTCTGAAAGTAGTGTCCAAAATTTGACACAACTGTGATCTATATAACAATTTATACAAATACAGCGTGTAGTACTAAGTCATAAAAAACAGAAAAGTCCCACGTTCCTTTGGTGTCTCTCTTGAGTTAGCCAATCTTGGTGAGGACAGCTGTCACTCCAATGAATTTCAGATCCTAGGGGAATTTTTTAAACATTCTCAGTGGAAAGCTTCTCGTTGCTTCTAGTATGGCGTATGTAAAATGGGAGAAAAGGAATAAAAATATCAGAATTTAGACCAATTTCAATGGCTCCTCAATACTCACCAAAAAGTAAAGGAAAGAGAGGTTTGTTGCAGCTGCGCTCTTAACCCGGCTGTCCTTCTTCTCAAACATTTTTAGCGTCTCCACAGCCTAGAAAATAAATAGTGCCGATTAATTTGTTACTTTAAAATGTGCGGTAAACTATATTGATTTTAGAAATGTGGAGAACTATTTTATGATATGTAATGACTGATTTAAAACATATACTTTGATTATGGTCAAAGTTCAATTCCATATACTCTGATGAGTGCAAGATTTGATGCATTTCAAAACGCAACTAAGCTAACAAGACCAAAAAGCTGAAGTTCTAATGTGCATGTGCGAACCTCATTAGTCAGGGCTCTATAATCGGTCCGAATACTACTGGGCTAAACATATGTGTGTATGTGTGTGTGTGTGTGTGTGTTGGGGGGGGTGGGGGGGGAGAGAGATAGGGAGAAAGTTTTCATAATAACAGCAGAAGCCTACCTTACACTAAATAACTGAAATCAATACCCACCTTGACATACTGTGAGGTCAAACAAACAGTGTGGTGTGATCAAAGTGGTAGCAGAAAGAGAAAAGAGAGGCAACAAAGGCATAACACAAACAAGATTTTTTTATGAAACCAGTACCCAATGAAAGCTAAATTGACTAGATTTATGTAAAACTGAAAAAGTGAAACTAAAAATGACTTCAAAATACAAAGCTTTGAAATTTTCAGAACATTCAGGTCTGCTATATATTTCAACTCCATACTAGCCATATTGATAGAGAGAAATATAGAATAAGTATATAAGAGTATTACTTCTACAAATCAGCAATTTTGTACTCCCTGTATTTGGAAATTAAAATTTAGAGCATAGTAAGTTAAACATGCATATGTCCTGAAAGACAATGTGTGGAGAGAGTAGAAGCATCCACAGGTATAAATGTAGTTAAGTCATTAATTGCTGTCTAATCTTAGTTGCTTCACTAGTTTAATATGTGACATTGGTTTAAATATATATTCCCATGATTTTGCTCAGTGTTTTAACGGATAATGCTACTTTTTCAGTTTCATTTTTACTAAATATAGAAAAAGAACATTTTCAAAAAATGCGATATTCCATTGCAGCACAACATAAAATACATTAACCTTTGACGCCTAGAGCTGTTAGGGTAAATACTGCATTACAATATCAAAGGATCTCTGGTTTGCAGAGGTGTGAACGCCAGGATGATAATAATAATCCTTGCATTTGATAACTAACCCAGGATCGTTGCAATGGGTTGGATGAAACGCTGCAATGCAGCAATTACTTTAAAAATGCTTTCAAAAGTTTTTATTACAAAAGATCCTCTATGATTGAAATGATAAAAGTGACACAATAGAATCCAATCACTATCTGTATTAAGTACCTTACAAGGATCACACTTCACAATCACTTAAACATATTATTAACCTGGCTGTTTTCCTAGCTGAAGGTTAGGTTGTTTAATTTTTCTGGCAGCCTTCAAAGTCCTGTACCACTTAGAAGATAGATAGGCAACCTTTCTTTAGGCCTCTACTAGTGCTGCTACCTATATTTTAAATGTAATTTTAAATGTTTGACAAAAAAAAGTAGAGAAGTATGGCAAAATATAATTTGGTCACACAATTCACGACTGTTTATGGGGCAGTGCTGTGTGCAATTGGCTGCCACCTTTTGCCCACAAAATATAGTCAATTCACTTTACAGTCTCGAAGACGTGATAAGGTGCTATATCAAATGCAAGGATTATTATTATATATTAATAAAATATACAATTTTATCTCAGCCCAATGAGAAAATATATAACTGGCTACACCATGATATGGACAAGTTAATACAAAAATTATAAAATGCATTCTGAAGGTTGGAGTCATGTGTATGTCGGAATTGAAGGGTTGTGAAATCCTTTTGTTTTAGAAACTTTTGAAAAGGATCTGCAAACAAATTAAATCTGGTCACTAATATAATGAAGCCATCAATTAAGCAAAAATAAAATAGGGAACTACAATCCAAACAATATAAATTTACATTTATATAATGCCTTTGACATCAAAGCTACAAAGTGAACAGAGAAGAACTTTGTCCCTGGTATGGTATCAATACCAAGATAACAACAACAAGATTGCATTTATAGAGCGCCTTTCACGTCGGGAGGACGTCCCAAGGCGCTGGACAGTTGGGTCGGGACCCTTAGCGGGGGGGAAATGGTCAGGGTGAGGGGAGGGAAGGGAGGGAGCGAGGAAGGGGTAGAGAGTCGAGAGGGGAGGTGAAGGCACGGTTGAAGAGAAGTACAATAGGGCCTGATGGAAGAAAAAATGTTTCCATGGCTCTTATGTAGAACAGATTCTCTTAAACGTTATAGTGTTCCAATTCAATTACTTCTTATTTGGAATGCAGACATCCATATGCACATGGAAATATAACGATAAGTAAAAAGTATGGAGGTTTTTCGAACAATTGTTTAAAGGGAACAACAGTTTGTTACCTGGTTAAAGTCCCTTTGTCTCAAGTATGTAATAGCTTTATTAATTTCCAAGTCATTAGCCAGTTCAACATACTGCGATGCCTTCACCATTTCCACACACCTGAAAAAGTCAACAATTTCAGTTTGATTAATTTATTTCAACAGAAGATTCTGTACTCTCTTCATATCATATTGTTTTTCAAAGTTATGGGAGTGGGGGATGGGAAATTGAAGTATAATTTGTATTGAGCTGAGAGGTGATAGCAATGGAAATTAGAACATTTTGAAGCAAATATCAGGATTAAGCACCCACAGGACAGGTACAAGAGTGTAAGATGTATAATGCCTCTCCCATTGTACTAGACAACCCTCCATTATAGCATTGTCAAGATTTCCATTTTATACACAAACAATCCTCGTTGCTCACACCATTCCCCAAACGAGAACTGACTCAGACAAATTAAAATCTGCCAATACGAGTTTACAACAGGCTGCTGACAGCTCAGACATAACATTTTCACAAATGAGACCAACTTTGTTCCTACCAATCATATCCAGCGGCAAAGGATGTCTCAATCGCAGGTGCTATCAATTTAGCTGCCGTCATGATGAATCTTTCTGCCATCGCTTTTCTGCAGGAATGCAACATGTGTAGAATTGTTATAAGTAACTTCCAGTAATAAGATCAACAACACATTTACAACAAATATCAAAAGAAGTCGAACATCTAAGTTTTCTAAATTGGGGGAGGAGGGAATCTACATTATTTAATATGAAGACCATTTAAAAAAAAGTATTTTAATACATGGAGGTAAATACTGCAACACTCTATACGATTGCAGTTGTTAATATTTAAATAGCAGGAAGCCCTAGACTGATCAATTACACTGTGGTCTCTCTACAGCAAATCAAATTGTTCCTAAACATAGCTATTTCAACACTCAAGTTACAATTTAGATTTTTTTAAAATTATACAATTATTATAGTGTTTCATGCCTCTGACTCTTTGATTCTGCATTAATAATAAAATGGACTTCTTCCTCTGAGTTATCAAAATTAAAAATAGGTATTTTAGTTTGCAAAAGTGTAAAAGTATGTTACCTTTCTCTCTCCATTTGTCTCAGTGAGTCATTCTTTATAGCTTCAATAACCAAATTCATATGTGGATCATCCTTTTAAAAAAAATCACATAACAATATGGTACATGTTGACTTATCAACTCTTCTCACAATATAAGATGTATCTTCAGTAACAATAATCCTCATTCCTGCAGAATTTCTCAACTCAGTTGTTTGAAACCAAGCGAGCACTATGAAGTATTTCTGTGTCTCTGAGTGTGCGTGTCTGTCTCTGAGTGTGCATGTCTCTCTCTGTGTCTCTGAGTGTGCGTGTCACTTTCTGTGTCTGGTGTGTGTGTGTGTCTCTCTCTCTCTTTATCTCTGAGTGTGTGTGTCTCTCTCCGTATCTCTGAGTGTGTGTCTCTATATGTTCTATACTCCAAGACTTCCTTCAACAAGCCAAATGTGTTGGGTGTAGTTTCAATGGTTATCGTACTGTATTTGGAAAAAACACTACTATTTTAAGAGACTTATCCAATTTATGAATCAAAAGATCAAAAGTTTACACTGATAACCAAGCAATCACTTAAATATGATTAATTTGTAATGCTACTTACATTTGGTGGGATGTATTTATCATCTTCATCAATGCTAAGTGGAACCACTATCAATTTCTGGAATGCTTTTTTCATCTTTTCCCGATCACCAATGGCAAAGTAGCACAGAATGAGGTTAAAGCTTGTTTTCAAATTTGGACTTTCACTCATAATGTGCTCAAAGGAGGTGATAGCATCAGAGTACTGTCCCATTTTGACGAATACAACACCAATGTTCTGCATTATTTTAATCCTATTTGAAAAGAAAAAGTGCAATTTGTTCAAAACAGATTAATAGCCTTTGAGTGCACCTAACATTCAACATATCATCAGCTGAATTTGCCTATTCTAAGATCACTTGAATACAAGTTTTCTAAAATTCCCTTTTCCTATTTGGATTTTGAATTTTAAATTCCAAGTGCTTTTTAAATAGATTTGAAGAAATACAACAAATCATGCAATTCCATGTTCATTAAAATAGTTACATATGTTACAATTGAAATGTACTGATACTGTGTACCACACAAAACAGAAACACTGCTGGTGCATTGCCACATTCTCTTTAATAATCTTAGTCTGAAAAAAACATTTTAAGTACGATGAAACACACAGAAATTCATGAATAATAGTCTGGCATGCATTACGTGTGATCATTTACCAATAAACAAATTGAATGTCACTTGATCAGCTTTACCCATTGGATAAATATCACATGCTCTTCCTATCCTCGTACCTCATCTCCTTATGGGAACTTGATATCTGATCCAACGCCATTCGGTAGAATTTTATTGCCTTGGGATAATTTCTTTGTTTGAAGTAAATGTTTGCCATGTTTACCTTTAGCCGACCTATCAAATAAATGCCATTTTAAAGCACTTCTGCTCAAGCTAGCTTCTAGTTAGGAGCACCATTTCCTTAATTCAAAATTCTTGATTGAACTCCAACATTTCCGATTAATGTCATTTATTGACATTTGGATAATTAACTTTATGTAAGTGCAGTATATAACATTAAAACATTCTAAGTACAGAAGAACTCTGTTATTGTGCTTTTACTATAGCACTACCATGCTTATAGCGTGTATCTACACTAGGTCAGGGTATTAACCTATGGGGAGAAAGTGGGAAATTGGAATTGAAAGGATTAGTTGAGGTATAGATCAGCCATGATCTAATTAAATGGCGGAACAGGCTCGAAGGGCTGAAGGCCTCCTCCTGTTCCTATATCCGATTTCTCTTTATCATCCATCATTTCTCTCCAACAGTCGTGCTACTGTTGTTGCCTTGTGAATAGACGGGGGGGTGAGGCACTTCTTGCTCTTGGCGCACATGGGTGATGAGCAGGAAGTGACGTTAGATGAGACCTGACAACTCAGAGCTAAGCCATATTTTAGCTTTGCTTAAAACACAGCTACTGAGCTATTAGATTCAGTCGAGCAGACTGTAACAAGGTTCTGCTGTAGGCAGTTTTAAAAAAATACTCTACAGCAATCTTACCTGCATTATTGAACATCTTATTCTTTACTATCACCTGATAGGTATTTAATGCTTCTGCATACATATCATTGGCTGCATACTGACTGGCTAAATTGAAGAGTACCTTGGGGAAAAAAAATCATGATTTTTAAAAAATAAATATTTTCATAACCCTTCATGATAATTTGACCACCAAATTTCCACAATCAGATTAAATCCTTTCCAACCCAAGTCATCTGAAATTTTAATAGAATTCACATTATTTTCAACAGTATACTTTTACATGGTCTAAGGAATTCATATTCTGGTGCTGAGCCAAATGTCATATCTGAATCACATTTATGTAGCATTTTACCATTGCCATTCATGATTCAACTCACCGAATAGGTAAGATCCAGATTAATGTGATCTGCAGATGCCGTTTGTTCTCTCTGTCTTACCAGTATCCTTTCTTTTCTTCCCGCTTCTTTCGCTTTTTCCAAAGCCTAAGGTAATGCATGATGAATAATTCAATATTTTTCCATAGTTTAAAGATTAAAGAACTTATATATTTTTTAGTACATTATCATATAGAAACATCTCAAAGCACTTTACAGGTAATTACTTTAGAGATAAGTATAGTGAACTTTTACATCAGTGAGCCAGTGCAGACAGGTCAAATGGCCTCCTTCTGCGCTGTATGTATTCTATGTTTCAACATTTTAGAAAGGTGGATATCCCCCAAACAGCCATTAATTGAATAAACCAAGTGATCTGTGGGACAGTTATAATAATCCTTATATTTGGTATAGTGCCTTTTATGTCAAAGCGCTTCACAGGATATACTTAGGGCTTCTGATTTTCGTTTTAACTGAAGACCCAGATGAAACACCCCTGATGAATCACTTCCTGTTTTGTGGTTAAGAGGGAATTCTGAAAATTTGTCTTTTTAATAACGATTTAAAATGTACTTTTTGGAGTTTTTTTTATAAAAGGCACAAACATGTTTGGTGTATATCCCTACATTCTAAAAGGCAAGCATAAAAATATATTTCTTTGATTCAAGATCTACTTTAACTGTCTTTAGAAATTTACACAAATTAGAAATTTAGTTCATGAAACAAAACAATTTCAGCATTTGAATTTCTTACCAGTTGTAAGTCTCCGCGGCTGTTAGCAATGCAACTCTCCTCAACCAATTCATTCACAGTCTTCTCTAACTGCTTAACCTTTTCTTCTGGCCTAAAAGAGGCAGTGCAGAGTTTGAACATTTCCATCAAAATACAGAACAAGTCAACAATGAAAATACTGTACAGGTCAAAGAAGAAACCACGATTAAAAATGTTGCATTTTGCGAATAATTGAATGTGAAGCAGAAAAGCAAAAATGTAAAATTACAATGACCTTTGATGGTATTAAGACAAAAAACAAGGATCCAAATCTAGGATCATAGAAATGTATAGCACAGAAGACGACCATTTGGCCCATCCTGTATGTGCTGGCTCTTTTAAAGAACAATGCATTCAGTTCCATTTATCTGCCTTTTCCACAGCACCCTGTATTTTATCACATTTTCGATAAACCCAGGTCTGCTAATAAAGCACCTGAGAGAATATATGCTCAGCTGTAAATGCTTGGCTTTCAATTTATACCATTCCCATATATGGTTTGTATTCATAAATTTTAATCTACCCAACATCATATTGTTATTCTCTTCCTTATCCAATAACATTGGGCCAATTGCATTAGCTTAATTACTGCCTTGCTGCCTCTATTGACTCAGATAACACAGTACAAATTAGGAATCAAATCTGCGATCTTAGGCTCTGCAAAGATTAGTTTGACAATGCAGTGACAGGCAACCCAAAATGTATTATTTATGGCTAACCTTTCACAATATAATATTTTACCTATGATTCTAAAGAATAGTATTGTAGAAAAATATATTATTAAGATATGCAATAACTATTAAAATGCATGTTTATCGGTGTGAATGTGGATTCCTGTAGCTTAGTGGTTAGAGCACTCACCTCACAAGCAAGAGGGCGCGGGTTCAAAACCTTATTCACGGGTGGTGCAAAACCTTAGTCAAGATACCTTACTCCATACCTCTCTGTTTAGCTAGCAGTAAGTAGGAACCCGATTGTTAGTTGATTAGTGGATCGCTTTCTGGTGGTACTAACAACCCCTCCATAAATAAATAATACAATATTACATTTGTAAAGCTCCTTTCATGTTGGGAGGACGTCCCAAGGGGCTGAACAGTCAGGGATTAGCACCTGAGCTGGATGGGGGAATCAGATGGGGTGGAGGGCAGAGAGGGTAGGAAGGTGGCCGAAGGCACGGTCAAAGAGGAGGGTATTGAGGCATTCTTTGAAAGAGGCGAGGGAGGGAGCAAGGCAAAGGGAATATGGGATGGAGTTCCAGAGACTGGGGGCAGAGAGGCTGAAGATCCGACCATCGATGGTGGAGCAGGTCGGGCAGGGGACATGGGAGCAGGCCGGAGCCTGCTGAGCAGAGGGAGCGTATAAGTTGATAAGGGGTTAATAATACCTTATCAGGTTAATTTTTGAGTTGTTGAGTTTACCAGGTTAATAATACCTCTCCGACCTGCTTACTTCCCAATCCGCTGCCTCTGCTTGACTGGCTCCGGCTTCCTGCATGTCCCTGGTGCTCTCCGTTCCACGATTGGTGGCTGCACTTTCACTCTTCCTCTATCCCTCCGCCTTGCCCCTTCTTCCCCATCTTCAGATTGCGCATGAAGACTTTCCTCTTCAATTGTGCCTATGGTCACCTACCCCTCCCACCGACTCAGTGTTGTGCTCCATCACTGTCAAGCGCTCTGGACGCTACCCTGCATGAGGGGCAAGTTGTTGTTTGTTGTTTAATTTGGTCACTCAATCCACAACTGTTTGTGGGACACTGCTGTGCACAATTGGCTGCCACGTTTCACCCACAAAACACACAGTCTCTACACTTTACAGTATATTCTGTGGAGCGCTTTGCGGCATCTCAATGACAGGATAAGGCGCTATATCAAATGCAAGGATGATTGTATACTAGTAGCTGAGATGAATTTCCCGTGAAGCATTTTCCCCCCACGACTTACGTATCTTCATTCTTTGTTTCCAAAGGAGGTGCAGGACCTCTTGATTGTCCCAGTGGATCAAATGCTGAACCTGAAGTAACAAAAAAAACCTAAATAAAACACATTATGAACAAATGTAACCTTTATTTTAATTTTTTTAAAAAATTGAGCAAACCTCTGATGGCTGCTGATGAATAGCCAGCTGCACGCACTGCTGTCATGGGTCGAGCAACACCAACTCCTTCCTTAAAGAATGAATGTAAACAACTCAAAGATTCTTAGTTTTGAAAGTGGATTTTACCATAGTGTACATATATGTACTGAGGGTTTCCAAAAAAGCAGTAATTCGCTAGGATCCTGCTTCTGAATTATTTTGAAAGATTATTAGAGAATAATGAATTGACTGAATAATAGACCTTTTATTACATAACTAATGGTTGAAGGTAGTGAGGTTGAATTACAGAAATGTCCCTCACAATGCCAAATATTAATGAATTAGAATATAGAACAAGTTAGTGATTAATGATAGTATTAACTTAAATTTCAGAAAGGTCCCTCACTATGCAAAATCTTAATAATCAATTGGAATAATATGAAACAAGTTTGTGATTAATGGCTGTATTTCCAATTGAACAACTATAACCAACGGACTACTGTACAGATCAGTTCTACGGCCTTGGCTGTTTACAATATTTGATAATAACCATGTTCTTACCAAGACAAGTTGGCTTACTTTTCAAAAGATAAGTTGTAGCAAATCAATAGTTTAGAAGAATTCAATTCAAAGAGAGACGTAATAATTTGAGTAGATAAATAGTGGATGGAATTACTAATGAGGAAATGTAAGAATGTGCATGGTATGTGGAAAATTAGTCTGCCTTTTCTTGCTCCATGCTCTATGTTCCTAACCAGTTGACAGTAAGTTGTACACCTCCTGAGAATTTGTGAACTCTAGTTTACCAGAACACTACATATGCGAAGTGAAAATTGCAAGATGATTATTTTTGTTATTTAAATAAATCTATGTTCAGTATATAATCAAAACAGGTGTAAGCATTACCTTACCTGAATAGCACCAGTTACAGGTCTACCCATTGATGATGACAAGGGCAATCTTGCCTAAAAGTTAAAAAGGTCATTCATTACTTAAATGAAAAATTATTTTGCAGGAATTATTAAACTAGAGCAACTTTTCAAATTTACAAAATATTTGACCACTGCAAACGGTCTACAATTGCAGCTCACTGTTTTACTTACTGCCAACATAGTTCCAAAAGGACGGGCACCTATTGCAGAACCTGGTATTTTAGCAGTCATCTGCAGAACAATTGTTAAAATATTTAGTATTGATAAAATGCATTTAGTAATCTTATTTTTCAAATGTAGTTCATATTTTTCACATTAGTAAATAAATTCCATTTAATTTCATAAGGGTATCTTACTGACTAAGATTAAAATGTATTTCACCAGAACTACAAACAGTGATAAATGTTAAATGAAAAAGTGTAGAATACACTGTACTTTATATGTAATTTAAATTCTTAACAAGAATTAACTATGTAAATTAAGTCAATCACACGTACACTTTAGATACAATAACAACAAAATTACATTTGTAGAGCGCCTTTCACGTCGGGAGGATGTCCCAAGGCGCTGAACAGTCAGGTGTCGGGGCCCGAGCATGGGGCAGGGGTGGTATAGGGTTGAGGGAAGACAGAGGGGTGGGAGGGCGACCAAAGGTACAATTGAAGAGAAGGGTCTTGAAAACAGCCTTGAAGGAGGCAAGGGAGGAAGCGAGGCGAAGGGACCATGGGATGGAGTTCCAGAGTGTGGGGGAGAGAGGCTGAAAGCCCGGCCACCGGTAATCTGAAGACTGATAGGAACCAATTTTACACTGTGCAATTATGCACAAAGTGACAAACTCATCTATGCCAGAGTGCTAAAAATGGTATTTCGTAGAGGGAAAATTTGAAGGACAGTTAACCGAGGACATCTTTCTGTGCTTTCTCGCATCAGTCACAGAGTAGCTTCAAAAGAAGCTTGAAACAAATTGTTTGCCAAACTTCTTGGTTGGACAGTGGTATGTGTATGCATGGTTGTGAGCAGGTGGAGTGGGCAGGGCACTTCGATAAGGAAGGACAGTGTGTTCTGTGAAGCGCTTTGGGACGTCCTCCCGACGTGAAAAGCGCTATATCAAATGCAAGGATTATTATTATTATTATTATTATTATCTGAAATGTAAAAGAACCTTACAAAGTGGTATTAACCTGGCTTGGTCAATAGCACTCTTGCCTCGGAGTCTGAAGGCTGTGAGCTCAACCCAAACGTTGGGGCTTGGAATTCATATAGTCTAAGATGACACTCTAGTAAAGTGCCTTCCTCACTCCCTTCGTCTCGCTCCCTCCCTTCCCATTTTCAGGTCTCTGCTGAAGACCTTTCTTTTCGACCGCGCCTTTGGTCACCTTCCTCCCCCTTCCACTGGCTCGGTCCCAGGATCCGTTACTGTAAAGCACTCTGAGACACCGTCCTGCATGGAGGGCGCTACATAAATCAAGTTGTTGTTGTTGTAAAGTGCTAGGGATGTGCTACATTGTTGGAGGTACCGTCCTTCGGATGAGACACCTGTTCAAGATCCACAAAGATCCCATGGCACTATTCAAAATCAGAAGGGAGTTTCTCTCTCCCAATGTCCTGGCCGACAATCCCCCAAATAAAATTACTTGGTCACTCACTCCATGTCTGTTTGTGAGACCTTGCTGTACACAAACTGGCTGCCGTGTTTTGCTCACAGATTACACAGTCACTCCACTTTATAGTATGTCTGTGAAGCGCTCTAATTATGAATATTATATTTAAGAGAGTTTCTCTTAGTGTCCTGGCCAATAATAGTCCAAAATCTTAATAATGATCTTAATAATAATAATGGTAGTATTAACTTAACTTTCAGAAAGGTCTCTCAAAAAGCAAAATCTTAATACTGAATTGAAATAATATGAAACAAGTTAGTGATTAATGGTTGTATTTCCAATTGAACAACTATAACCAACGGACTACTGTACAAATAGTTTTACATTTTTCAAATAAAATGTTGTAGCTTTGTGTTGGTTTGTGTGACATTGCTGTGCGCAATTGGCTGCTACATTAGTCCACAAAAACAAAATCACTACATTTTACAATATTTCCTGTGAAGCTCTTTGCGACATACCCCCAAAGTGAAAGGCCCTATACCAAATGCAAGGATTATTATTATTGTATTATTATTCATAAATTGTGGGGGGAAATAATACTTATAGATAGGATTATGTAGATAATGTTCTAATGTCTTTTTTTAAATAAGAAAAGATTGAAATGAGAAAAGCCCATTTGTCTCATCTATGCCTTTTTGTATTTTCTTCTGAAATGCTCACCGATACTCTCAGACATATTTGGCACATCGTGAGCCTAAAGTGACAGTGGAGGAAATAACTTGAAAAAGGACTTGAGTTTTTGTTTGCAAAGAAGAAATAATAATATTCTATAAAATTACACTTATATAAATATCGCACGGACATCCCAAAGTACTTATGTAGCCTCGCTAATTAATTCCATCTCAATACAACAATCTTTCAATTTGCCATTTACTTACAGGGGGTCTCCTTCCATGACTGGTCCTCAAGGCTTGCTGAAAAGCCACATCATTTTCTAATTCCTACACAAGACAAAAATTATTACTATAGTGTTTTTTTGAAAAACACAAAATGTAATATTTACTGGAAACATTTATATGACAGCAATAAATGCAATATTTTATATTCACCATTTTATGTATGTACATTTATGTACATTTTAAGCGCTTTTCATTTAGTATTATTTTTATAAATATTAGAACATGTAATTAAAGTTGTGCGTGAACATTGTTGGCAAAATAATTGGATGTTGTCTTTATTATATCAGATTACAGAAAATTGCTTCTCAAAATTTGAGCATCCTTTGCTAAAAGTCAAAATACTAAGCATATTTTTTAAATAAATGGAAATGATTTTTCTTACAAGAATAGTTAACCAATTTAGAAAATAATTGATAGTCTGAAACGTGTCCGATTACCAAGAACAAATCAGTTTCCTTTGCACAACCTCACAATGTTCATTTAAAAAGCATTTACAGTGACAATATATTCCAATGTCTATGTTGCATTTAAGTTTTTTTACAGTATTAGAGCATCAAAAGTACTCAACTTCATTCAAATATTGCCACAGAGACATTTACTTACTATGACAAATGATTAACAATTTATTTTATATAACGTAAAAGCAATATAGGCTTGAACTGGAGAAAAAATACCCTTAAATATTTCATGAGTTTTGCTGCTCACCACAAGGCTTGCAAAAAGTTTCTCGTGCCGCCTATTGACCTAATGAAGACACAAATCTGTTCTTCATAGAATCATAGAATTATACAGCACAGAATTAGGCCATTTGGCCCATTAGGGCTGTGCCGGCTCTTTGAAAAGAGCTATCCAAATCAATCCCACTCCCCCATCATAGACACTTGTTGGATATCAACTAGTGACCATCCTCCAGGGCAGAAGGTAAACGGGATCTCAGCTCCAAAGTGAAGTACCTGGTAATGGAATATTAGACTATTGAGGCCACCACATCTTCTGTGATGACCTGTGTAGTCCAATTCCTGAGTAAGGTAGGTCCATGGTACTCCAGGACACTGCCAATAACAGACCAACCATTTGTCTCCTTTTAACTCAACAAGTTAAAGCCCAAACGGACAGAGAGTTCCTAGCTGGGCACAGCAGGAAGCTTGTCAAACAGGGCAGTTAATAGAAACTATGCAGTTTTAGTTGGTTAAACTGTAGCATTATCCCAAACACACTCCTTGGCTTTTCCTAAACTACGCGTAATACTCTGCAGAATTAATTAAGCAGGATGCATACCTACAGAGTGCACATTCCATTCTAAACATGGGGAAATTTCCACGGGTAGCTGACATACATATATGGCACTTTGTCAGAAAACTGGTTTGAAAACTCTTAAGCATGATAATCGGTTTCCGCACGTGTCAAGGCACCAGGCTGACCAAAAAAAAGGGTAAACTATGTGGTCTTCACTGCTTAAACTAAGTAGTTGGCCAAACATATTCCAAGGTCCCAAGCCTTAGCTCTTGCTAACCTGCGTGTAATACTTCTGGAATTAGTTAAGCAGGGTACATCCCTCTGGGGAAAGTAAGTACACACAATTCTAGAAAAGGGATAATTTACATGTGTAAATAGCATAGCTATGTGGAATCTCAGCCTGGTTTGGATACTTAAGCATGGTGATGGGGTTTCTACATGTTTCAGACACCCAACTGACAAACTAAAATAAAAAAAAGTGAACTGACATAAATGAAGCCAACGCTTAATTATACCTCTGTATCAAATGTTGGATTATAGTCATTGTATCCTGAATAGAGATCTTCTTCATCCACCGCTGCCAAGTGCACGTGCTCCATTATTTCACGCTGAGCAATAAACAAAATGAAACTTTTGTTAGGATTAAAAACAGACAAGCTGCACTCGAACAATCTACTGAATTTGTAGCCAGAACCTGTTCACACATTAGTGTCATTAAAATCAACAATGTTCAAAAGCAGATAATAAACAACCGTGTCCTGATCCCATAAGGCAGTATTATATATTATTTGCAAATATACACAAACCACTGCGTTCTCAGTATCAGCCTGGCTCAGTAGCATTCTCGTGACAGTCTATACTAAATGCAAAGATTCTTGTATGTCCTAATAATGGAAGTACCAGTTTTATTTATACTGTAGCACTTCATTAAATCATTTGCAAACTTCACTCCCAGTGTCAGCTTTCATAATAAACGGTTATGTATGGTGTCATGCAGAAAAAATATTGCAACTGGAAGTAGCAATTCATCAGTTCATTGCGGGGGAGAAGAGTTTGATGCCAAAGAGAAAACTGCTGGAGATTTCCTCACAATGATGATCACGGTCATCCACGTTGATATATCGGCGCGAATTCAGTTATTTCTCTGCGTCCAACTGTCCGCAGATGTACATTATTGAATTTAATACTCTGGAACACTGTTCAATTTAAATTTTGGAACTCTCTCCCTCAAACCCTCTGCCTCTGCCCCCTCCGTCCCCATTATGAACGCCGTCCTCTCCGACCGTGCTCCCGGTCACCTCCTCGATCCCATTCCCCCCCCCCGCTCGGTGTCAGGCTCCATCCGCCACCGTAAGGCGCTCCGCGACGCTGCCCTGAGTGAAGGGCGCCATATAAATGCAAGTCGTTGTAATAACTGGTACAGGGCTGGTTTTTTTGGGGGGTGGGGTGGGGGTGGGGGGGAGGAGGTGGGGGCGTGGGTGGGGGTGGGGGCGGGGGGGGCAGCTCTTGGCGTTTACATATCGAGTGAAGTGCAGCCACGCAGCACCGCAACAGCACAGCGCGACCGAAACCCCCGTCACTGGCTGCCGCCGCTCCAGCCATCTCCTTGGCAACCAGAGAAGCGCGGCCTGGAGCTCACCGGGCGGGGCGGGGCGGGGCAGAGCCTGCCCGGGGCTCACAGCCCCACCGACGCCCACCGGTTTCTTCCCTCCCGCCCGCAAAGGCCACGTCAGGGTATTTTCACTTAAGAATGTATGTCCACACGACACGATACCTGGTCAGGTCTGGTCAGGCCGCGCCGCCGCCGCCGCGAGTCAAACAGACGCTGCTTTAAAAACCAACTCGCAACCAACAGCGGCGACGCGTCCCACCCCCGGAGAGACGCGCTCGCCGATTGGCTGAGCCCGGAGGGCACCGGATAGACGAACGTGCGTGATTGGGCGGAGGCCGCGCCTGCGCTCTGCAGACTTCTGCAGCTGGTGGTGGGGTGGGGGTGGACAGGGAATGGGAAGGAAGGAGAGGGTCAGGGAGGAGCTCACTGTGACAGTGCCTGAGCCATCGTCACCATCATCACCATTGTGTTTGATATGATCAGGCGCTGTATCAAATGCAATATAATATTATGATATCTTGTAATATAGTTGCAATATAAATTGTTATATGGTGCCTTTCGCGTCGTTGAGTCGTCTCAAAACGCTTCACCGATTATACTGTAACGGTGGCTATTTGACATACTGTAGCGGTGCAGTGACCGCACTTTGCGAGTGAAACGCGGCAGCCAATTTTTCGCACTGCAATGTCCCGCAAACACCCACGAGGTGAGTCACCAATCAATTTTATTTGGGCGATTGTTGGCCGGGATAAGATCATTTGCACCCATTTGTTCCCAGGAAGCGGACTACCAAGACCACCACAGAGGGTTGAGTCAATTTCAACATCCTGTCGCCAAGCGTGCCAGCTCAGCACCAAAGAGACCGCGCTTACAATGTTCTTTGTGGACATCATTTTTGTTACAAAAGGGTAGAAAGAGGAGGGATGCAAATGGAAATAATGGAGTGACCCTTCTTGTTCAGATGGCGCAGCCGGATGGTAAATGTCATGCCACGAAATACAACTGGTTTGGAATATTTGATGTAAAGTATAAGAATGCTCCGGAGTTTGGGCTGAACGTTTACTTGGGAGATTCAGGAAATAGTTTTGGGTAGAATCCATGCTGAGTAGATTGTTTTAAGGACAACAAAATTACGTTTGTAAAGTGACTTTCACATCGGGAGGTTCAAGGTGTGTGAAAGGATGGGATCGATTGGTTAAAGGGCCTTTTGATATTTTATGTTTTCACATGACATGCTCAAAAACCTTTTTCATCTTCTGAACAAACAAAGAAAATTAAAGCTAGATTCTGCTTGAAATTGATTTTATCTGGAGGATTGTTGGTCAGGACACTGGGAGAAGCTCCTTTCTCTCTTTCAATATTACTATGGGATTGTTAATGTTTATCTGGGACAGGCAGACGGGACACTGATTTGATATTAAAAATAAAGTAAATTTCAGGTAACTCGACCCTGTTTTAACTTATCACTTAAATTGTCATGTGGTCAATATCCCGACCACTTCCCACACAAACTATTAACAAAGGGCATCCCTTTTACTCGTCAGTCTGCTTAACATGTAACTGGTCATATGCTGAAATTCTTCTAAGTACACTCGATGTAAAATCGATCGGATTACTTGTCATGACCCAAAGCGAACTTTCACGATAACCTCGGAAAACGTTCGCCACTCAACCAGCCGCATGGTTTTCGTTGTGATGCATCCCACTCTCTTGGTAAAAATGAACAAAAACTTTTAATAAGAAGATTGGCAAGATGCTTTCAATTAGAACAATGGTAAATGCTATTCGTAAAGTGCTCAATGGGGAGAGTAAAGCTGTAATTGCAAAAAAAACGTTTCATGTTCCACAGTGATTAAAGAAAAAATTCTCGGCACTATCATTGCTCACACATTCAGTGTGAATCAAAAACAAATGTGGACTACTCACAGTGATATTGAGTACTGCTCATTGGCATGGGAGTTTCATCAGGCAAGAGCTCAAAGTATTCCAGTAAGTGGTACAATTCTTACAGAGAGGCCAAATCGATGTGCAGCTCAATTAGGAATGGGAAATTTTGAGTGCAAGAAAGGATGGTTGGAATGTTTTAAGGCATGACATGGCATTTCATTTTAGTTCACTTGCAGAGAAGCCAATTCAATGCCACAAATTAAAATTGACAAGTGGAAATTTGCAATTCTTTTAAGAATGTGCTGTGGGATATTTATAATGTGGATGTTTGTTTTGGCAATTACTACTAAAGAGAATTTTGGCTTTCAGTGGAGAAAGCAAAATGGGAAGCAAAGTAGCAATAATTCACTGGCTGCTAACAATGATGGATCTGATATAAAAAAAACTGCTAGTATTTGGAAATCTGCAAAACGTTGTATTAATGGGGCATAAGTCAATTCCTTACCTGTTTAGTGCATGGCAAACAAAAAAGCTTGGGTGGTAAACACCATCTTTGAGGAATAGGTTCATGCCTTCAACCATGACATGGTTGCACAGAAAAGGTTGTCTTTACTGTGGATAATTACCCTGCTCACCCAATTCGTATCTAAGTGTAACATATGTTACAGGTAGTTTAGATAAAATGTTATAGGAAAATGTCAGTAAAATAATAATCCTTGCATTTGATATAGCGCTTTTCACGTCGGGAGGACGTCCCAAAGCGCTTCACAGAACACACTGTAAAGTGAATTGACTGTATATTTGTGGGCAAACGCGGCAGCCAATTGCACACAGCAATGTCCCACAAACAGTCGTAGATTGAAAATGACCAATTTAGTATTGTTTTGGGTTTTTTGGAGGGATTATTATTAGGCTCTGTGTGGAGTAAGGAAACTTGTCTAAGGTTTCGCCCTCTGCCTGGAATTGAACTCAGGTCTCTCAGTATGTGTGACTTGAAGAGTTAAATTGGTTCAGAAGTAAGAAATGTGTTTATCACAGCTGCAGCTCTCTCTCTTGTTACTTGTTGATGTAACGTCCTGCACTATTTTAATCAGAATCAGCTCATGGGTTCTGTACCCAAGGACAAACTCAGCTCGTTTAAACCAGCCTGAAAACAATTATCAGGTGGTTGAGGACGTGCACAGATCATCTTGATGCTAAATAAAGGACAATTATAAAACAGGTGTAGCTAAAGCTATAATTTGTTCAATCTGTGTTGGTTATCCCAAGTGTTTGGTTTGAGTTAGTGAGAGACCTAGTATGTTTTCTGCTTCTCCACACAAGCAAAACTTCTGCAAGGTTTTGCAACTCAAGCCACTCAACCTTGACTGTTCAAGGTTCCAGCAATTCCAACAATATCAGAAAAAAGCAAGAGAACAGACTGCAACTGGAACACGGCTGCAAAAGAGACAACGCTCGCTACTTCCAGAGACGAGACCTTTGGTTGTTTAATTCAATGCCCGCTATTGTCAGTGTTCCAGCATCATGAGAAACAAGAGATGTTGCTTACTGCTTAAGTTTATGAACTTTGATATTGTCATTGCAGTAACATTGCTATTCATGAGCATAACGGCCAATATTAGACAATTACAAATTGCAGCACTGGGCTGTCCTCCCGAAGTGAAACACACTCTATAAATGCAGTTGGCTACTGTTGTTGCAGCACTGTGGATTTGTGCTAGAGCACTGAGGATTCTAGCCATTTCAGTAAAGCCATAAAATCGTTGCGCATTATCGGTTTGTGGCCAACGAATGTCCCCCAGGATGATTTCATCGACATGGACGCTGTAGTCAAAAATGACTGCTGATCATGACATTATTGCTACGTAAAGAGCAATAAGCAATGATGATGCTGAAGAAGAAGAACATGACGATTGAACTCGTAGCTGGCGGCAGTTGTCATACTGCTTACTTCTGGTGCAACAGGGCATTGATGATGCTCCATACAAGCTTAGACACCTTTCTGTGGTCTTATTTCCTTTCAGGCGTGACAAAAGAATATCATTGACAATTTTTCCCAAGTAGATTGAGATCATTACAGCATTTTGTGAGTTACTTTTTTAATTTCTGAATTGCATTTGTAACAAATGTTTTTTTGCTTTCAGCAGTATTATTGTATTGCTAGAAGGACAGATTGGCAAGTTGGTTAAACTCACCCAGTGAACCCGTGTTCTTGTGTGAAATACAGTACCTTGCAAATTGGGGAGGGAAAGTTGTGCATCTATAGGACGAATGAGTGATATCTGACTCATCAAGTTGAACATCATTAAGAATCATCATCATATTTTGTTGTATGGAAATTGTTTATTACATAAAAATGCTTATTTTTCACATAACCTGGAAGTACAGTAACTTTGTTCTTTAATACACTGCAATATATTCACATCTCCCAAGAAGTGCAGTTTCCATTACAGTAACAGAAATAAACAATAGGAAATAGAGCATTTTTGATATATATAGCTAGCTCATCACATCAGATAATTCATTAATGGGCCATTTTCCTCAGAGGGATGAGTTATCTGGAATTTACTGTAATAATAATACCCATTATGTTTGATGTCAGGAATGTCCGAAAACACTTCATAGTTTATACGATAAAGTGCAGTGATTGTGTGTTTTGTGGGCGAATGTGGCAGACAGCTTTTCTCAGAGCAATGTCCCCCTGGTGCTATACAAATGTAATTTGTTGTTGTTGTCCCACAAACAGCCATGCATCGAATGACTAATTTCACTTGGGAGATTGTTAGTCAAAACATTGGGGAAAAAATTCCCATCTCTTTTTAAGTAGTGCCATGGGATCTTTAACGTTCACTTGAACAGCCAGATGGGGCTTTTGTTTAATGTCTAAATGTCTCATCTGAAGAACGGCAAATCCAACAATGTAGCAGCACGCCCCCACCCCCACCAATTGCATTGGAGTGTCAGCTAAGACTTAGATGTTCCATGTCCTGACCTGGACTTGAATCCACAACCTTCTGACTCAGAGTTGAGAGTGCTACCAACTGAACCAGGCTGACACAATGCCTCCATCGAAGGACAGCATCTCTAGGAATGCAACACACTCCAGCACTGCATTGGCGTGGCATCTTAGAGTATATGAATTTAAATTCTCAACATAAAGCTTGAACCCCAAATGTTCTGATTCTGGGGCAAGATTGTTTCCAACTGAGCCAGGCTGCCACCCATTAATCTAAACAGTTAATTACCAGTTTGAATATTTTGAAAATCTGTTTAACATCTCGATTTGTCTACTCCTGAAGGCCCTCATTCGTGTTGGACTTCAATTGCATTGGTGCTGCACCCAAGTGAATTTACTTCTATTATTTGAATAGATGATGAGGAGTTTGCTCAATAATCTTAAATTCCAATCACTCTGTTTAAATGCATTTTTATAACCCAAAGCTTTATTTTCCTATGATGGTGGAATGTGATTTGCTATTTGATGTAAATTTCCTACAAGCAAGTTCTTGCAGCCTTTCAGCTGTTCAAACCCTGCCAGGACTTGCCTGTAGGTAATTGTTGCTTTTTTAAAAATAATGCATGGTTGATCTTCATTTGCCAGTTGATGTGTGCTGGTCTGCTCTTCTTAAGATGATTCAGCTCTTATCCACCACCAGTTGGAACTTTCTGTGTCCTCTCTATCTGTCTTTAAATCCCACCTTAAAAAAAACACCCCACCACTTTGACCTCACCTACAGTCACATCCCCATCCTCTTTGCTTCGCAAGTGACAACATCCCTGTGATGTGCTCTCACATTATCCCAGAGTACTATATAAATGCAAATTGTTGATGTGGCTGTTCCTTCCATTGCTGTTTCTTCTCATAACCATTTCTTTAGGTTACATACTGTTTGATAAATTGATCCATTTTCTAATCATGTTTTGACCTATTCCCAGTGACCTTACTTCTAATAATAATCCTTGCATTTGATATAGCGCTTTTCACGTCTTCTCGACATCTCAAAGCGCTTCTTGTTAGATAATACTGGTTATGCATGGCATAATTTTTGAAACTGGTAGAATACCTAGGAAGAGCTAAGTCATCAGCAAAACAGAATATCATCCCCATATTAGATTGAAATAACTTTACACAGAGGATACAATACAAGAGGCAGAGAGGGTAGGAGGGTGGCCGAAGGCATAGTCAAAGAGGAGCGTCTTGAAGCGAGCTTTGAAGGAGGCTAGGGAGGGACCGAGGTGAAGGGAATGTGCGATGAAGTTCCAGAGGGTGGGGGCAGAGAGGCTAAAGGGCTGACCGCCGATGGTGGAATGGACATGGAGCAGGCCAGAGCCTGCTGAACGGAGAGCGCAGACAGGTTGATAAGGGGTTAGCAGGTTGAAGAGGTAGGAGGGGGCAAGGCCATGGAGGGCCTTGAAGGTGAGTACGAGGATTTTGAACTCAATGCTCTGTGGGATAGGGAACCAGTGAAACCGGGCGAGGGTGGGTGTGATCGTGTCACCAAGCCTAATGTGGGAGAGGACACGAGCTGCAGAGTTGTGGATGATCTGCAGCTTGTGCAGGGAAGAGTTGGGAAGGCTGACAAGCAGGGCATTGGCATAGTCGAGCCTGGATGTAATGAATGCATGTATGAGGGTTCCGGTGGCCTGAGGGGTGAGGCAGTGGTGGATTTGGGCAGTGTTGTGGAGTTGAGGAAAGGCAGAGCATAGCATGGATGTGGGGGAGAAAGGACAGTTGAGGATCGAACAAGACCCCCAGGTTCCTGACTGGCTTGGTGAAGTGGAGTGTGCATCCACGGATGCTGATGCTGCCAGTGCCTGAGGTGCCGGTGCGAGCCAATCAGGAGAGTCTCGGACTTGCTGCCGTTCTACTGTAGAAAATTGGCTCTTATCCAGATGTCCGATAGACAGGCTGCCAGGACATCAGTTGTACTGGAGTCCAGGGTGGAGCCAGGGAGATAGAGTTGGGTATTGTAAGGTTCACCAAAAAGAAACTTTACCCAATACAAGTGGTGTGGATTACATTTTTTTTAATATCATACACAATTCAAAGGTTACTGCTTTAACAAATACAATTATTGTATCGTTAAATTACATTAAAGCAGTAAGATTCAACGAAACTGATATTACCCGATTCCATTAGGGAAATCGCTGACCACCAGCTGCCTCACAACTGTTCCTCCTACGATGATTCCAATTATTCCAAAGTTAAATCTTTCTTTTATGTGTTTGTAACTCCATCTCCCCTAGTCACAGAGATAGCCCCCACCCTTCGCAGGCTGATTTGCAGAGAGAGATATGGACAACTTCTGGACAGAAGTTAACGGCTCTTTGTGCCGTCGCACTTCCACAGCTGCTTGTTTCTCAGCCGTGAGATAGGCAGGTGTCTGAGGCCACAAGCCTTTCTTTCTGTGGTCCATTGTTCTTACATCTATGCTCAAGGACCCGATTGCTCATTATCTCAGAGGAGTTAACATCTTCCCAGGAAAATAAGAAATGTAATCAGAAGCTAACCTCAACTGTGGGCCAGCAAAGCTAGTTTTAACTCCTGCTAAGATAGTCATTAAATCAAACAAACCTTATTAAAAGATTATGGGTAGGTTACATGCTAAACATATATAAAGATTAATTAAAAGCCTTAAAAACATTAAAAATCACCAATATAATCTTACAGTATCATCCGCATACAGGATTGTATAACACTATATAGAATGATATGGCATGAAAACAGACCAATCTGCCCAACTAATCTGCTGGTATTTATACCCCATACAAGCTAAGTGGTAAGACAGGAGGACAGAATTGGTTGGACAATTGGTTTAAAACATGAATAATTATGAAGTGCTGCACTTTGTGGAAAAACAATAGGGAGTTAAACAAACTGGAGTGGAGGAACAGAAGCTTCTGGGGGTACAAATACATGAATCAAAGTGGGACGGCACAAAAAGCCGTTAAGGTGTTCTAGGATTTATAAACTGGGATACTGAATATAAAAAGCAGAGAAGTTATGATGGAATTGCATAGGAATTGAATTGGCCCAACTCCACCACTACCTCACCCCTCAGGCCGCTGAAACTCTTGTTCATGCCTTCATCACCTCCAGGCTCGACTATGCAAACGCCCTGCTTGTCGACCTTCCCAACTCCTCCCTCCACAGGCTGCAGATAATCCAGAACTCTGCAGCCTGTGTCCTCTCCCGCATCAAACACCGCGACCCCATTTTCACCCGACTCCTTTGGCTCCCTATCCTTCGTGTGGAGTCCTGTAGCTCAGTGGTTGAGCACTCGCTTTGCAAGCTAGAGACCTGAGTTCAATTCCAGGCAGGGCGAAACCTTGGGCAAGTTTCCTTACTCCACACGCCTAATAATAATCCCTCCAAAACCAAAAACAATAATTAAATTGGTCATTTTCAATTACGACTGTTTGTGGGACATTGCTGTGCGCAATTGGCTGCCGCGTTCGCCCACAAATATACAGTCAATTCACTTTACAGTGTGTTCTGTGAAGCGCTTTGGGACGTCCTCCCGACGTGAAAAGCGTTATATCAAATGCAAGGATTATTATTATTATTTCAGAAGATCCAGTTCAAGATCCTGGTCCTCACCTACAAAGCCCTCCATGGTCTCTGCGATCTCCTAACCCCCAACCAACCCGCCCAACCCTCCGCTCAGCCGGCTCCGGCCTGCTACACGTCCCCCAACCCACCCGCCCCACCATTGGTGGGAGAGCCTTCAGCCACTCTGCCCCCAACCTCTGGAATTCCATCCCCTAAATTACTCCACCTCACCACCTCCTTCAAGTCCTGCCTCAAGATCCTCCTCTTCGACTATGCATCGGTCACCCCCCTTCCCCTCCCTTTTCCTTCCCTGACCCCAGCTCAGGTCTGAAATACTGTACACTGTCCAGTGCCTTGGGACGTCCTCCCGATGTGAAAGGCGCTATACAAATGTAATTTTCTTCTTGTTGTTGACACGTTGGAGGACTATATTCAGGTTTTGGAATTGTCCTGGTTCAAATGAGTATCTAAGATAGAGAGGATGTAGAAGAGATTCACTATGATGACATTAGTTGGGAGACAAAACAGTAAGATCAGAAGAGAGGTTCAGATGGCCTATTTAATATCACACTTCCAGAATAGCCACTCTAGCACCCTTTTATTACAGCATGAAGTTGTTTCTTAAATGAGTCCAGTGTGCCTTTGGTTCAGCCACCCTTTCTTGTAACCCATTGCTATTGTTAATTACTCTCTGGGTAAATAATTGCTTCCTGGAATCTGTCATGAATTTGCCTTTTCCAACCCTGAACCTGTGTTCTCTGTTCTTCTGCCTCAATATATCTGAAAATATTGTTCTGCCTTTCATTTCCCAATGCCATTGAAAATCTCATAAACCTCCATAAACCTAAGGCATCTATAGGCATTTTAGATCTATAGGCATCTAAAAAATGGAGTGCTTTTTCTCTTTAAATGCGTGAAAGTGATGCAAATTTTGGCATCCTGTAGCTCAGTGGTTAGAGCGCTTGCCTCGCAAATGAAAGGTCCTGGGTTCGATTCTCGCCCAGAGGGCGAAATGTTAGGCAAGTTTCCTCACTCCACGCGCCTCTGTTTACCTAACAGTGAGTAGGAACTCGGTTGTTAAGTCGATTGGCGGATCGCTTTTCCGGGGGGTAAAAATCCCTTTTTTAAAAAAAAAAATTTGGTCCCTCAATCCCCGACTGTTTGTGGGCCATTGCTGTGCGCAATTGGCTGCCGGGTTTCGCCCACAAAACGCACAGTCCATTCCCTTTACCGTATATGGCGTGAAGCGCTCTGAGGCGTCTCGAAAAGACGTGAGAAGGCGCCGTGTCAAGTGCAAAGATTATTATAGCTTTGCTGATCAACACAGCGGCGCCCAGAGAGAGAGAGAGACAGACAGAGAGAGAGAGAGAGAGAGAGAGAACACGTTTGTAGCCCTTTACCAGTTCCACACAACAACACACACACACACACACAGTGACAGGTTGCCAGCGCTAGTGCGCATGCGTCCACGTGTGCCTCCGTCAATCAAGGTGCCGTTAGCCAATGGGCTTGCGAGCTGAAGCAGAGCCCCGCCCCCTCCTGGGCTCCGGGCCGCGCGGGGCAGATGCGCAGCTACTTCCTATCTGCAACAGGGGGTGGGGAGAGGGGAGAGGGGGAGGGGGAGGGAAAGATGACTGACTCCCGGGATGCAAGTATTTCAATCGTGGGAAGGTAATGCGACTCGATTGCACAGGTGTGCGTGTGTGCATAGGTGCACGTATGGCGATCCACGTGGCTCCTGCGTGTTGCTAACCGTGGCTGCTTCTCTGTTTCTGACCAGTGGGCTGATTGGGCGGAGCTGGGCCACGGTCTTCTCAAGCGCAGGCTACACAGTGAGGCTTTATGATGTTGTTCAGCAACAGGTCGATTCTGCCATCCAAGACATAAGGTACCGGGCGGCGCAAAGTGCCAAGTGTATGCCATTTAGACTGCACCCTTTACGGCTGAGACACGTACCTCAGCCACGTTGGCGATTTATTTTACGCTGTATTCTGTTATCATGACGACGCTTAAGTGGGTTATTCTTTTTCGTGCGTCTGCTTTCGCTTTTGAGAACTGCTGTGTCATAGCAGATTGTAACTGCTATGACAGTCAGTGCTGTTGGTATGGGATGTTGCTGTGCCAATGTGCGCGTCCGGGGTTTGGGTTTGGGTTTGAACACATTTGCTCACCTTGGCAAACGTTCAGGCTCCCCAGCCAAGATTGGTTGTTGCACGTCAATGCCGCTTGCAAGGTTTGCTCAACACCACCTGCTCAATCCAGGTCCTCGTGTTATTTGTATTTGTAAAGATTTCCCGCCGTGAAGGTGACTGTGCTTCCGGGGTGCTCACCAAACTGTTCAGTGTACGTTGGAGCGCTCCCATTCTGCAGCCACTTCCCCTTTTTGCCAAAAGACCGCTTTGCTGCTTTGTCCTGGACTTTGCAAATGGTCTGATGAAAACTCCTCTCTCAGTTATTTTCATAACTGTTTTCACCCCTGCATCATATGAAAACTTACTGATCATCAAAAAATGTTAAAAGCATTTCGCATAGATCCATAGAAATTTACAGCGCAGAACCAAGCCATTCTGGCCACCATGTCTGTGCTTTGAAAGAGGCAGAAAACCATGGAAATTTACAGCACAGAAAAACGTAATTCGGTCCATTGCCTGAAAGGGTGGTGGAGGCCGATTCGATAACTACTTTTAAAAACACGGTGGACAGGTATTTGAGGAGGACGGGTTTGCATGGTTATGGGAAAAGGGCTGGGGAGTGGGACTGACATTAATTGCTCTATTCAAAGAACCGGCACAGACTCAATGGGACGAATGGCCTCTTTTTGTGCTGTACGATTCTGTGATATTCTGTCTCCCCCCCAATCCTTTTAGTGCAATTTACATGTCTTTTCCCCAAATCCCTGTAACTGACTTAAAGGTATTTGTCTAATTCCCTGTTGAAGGCCAATATGATTCCACCTCAGCCACTGCTCCTGGCAGGACATTCCATATCCTAACTACTCTGTGTTAGGAGAAAACAATTCTCCTAACGTTCCCATTTGCTCATTACTAACCATCTTAAATCGATGCACTCAAATTACTGACCCATGCACCAGTGGAAATAATTTCTTCCTGTTGACTCTGTCAAAACTCCTCATAATGTTTAAGCCCTCTATCAAGTCACCCCTCAACTTCTTTATTCCAGTGGAAGAGGTCTCATTTCCCCCAGTCTCCACTCATAGGCCATTGAGCAATCCATTAAGTTCCATTTGCTTGCTCCCCCGCACATACCCCTGCAAATTATTCAGTTTTAAATTTGCATTAAGTTTCCTCTTAACCACCATATCCAGCAGGGCATTCCACATCCTAATCACTCTGTAAAAAGAATCATTCTTATCTCCTCTTTCCTAATTATATTAAATTGATGCCCTCTAGTCCCTGACTCACTGACCAGTGAAAATACTGCAGTTTCTCTCTACCTATTCTATCAAAACACCTTATAACTTTAAAGACGTTCATGAAACCTCCCTTCAACCCTCTCTGTTTCAGTGAATATAGAACAAAGACACAGTTCCTTCAATCTCTGTTCATACTCATGATGTGCACGACAAGTGGATGTTCCAAAAAACATACTACTTTTCTCGCTGAATTTACCCTTTATTGTGTTATATTTCCCCATTCCTCTAATTTACCCTTTTTTGACAGAAAAAATAGACCCTGAAAAAAAATACCCTATTTTTAGTTTGCATATAAAAAAACAACTTTAAAGCTCTTTACCTATATATGCAAATAACATTTTAAATGTGATTGAAATAGTAAACCCAAATCAATATTTTCCGATATGCCAGGACTTCTGAACAGGTTCAAGATAGCAAAGGGCAATTGCAGAACAAGACACCGGGAAGTTTTTGTTTACTCAGTGGTTAATAATAAATGGACTGGATTTCCATGTTGGTTGAGACCAAAAGCCTGGACTCATTGATGAAGAGTTAGAAGGAATATAATAATCCTTGCATTTGATGTAGCACTTTACCACATTGTTAAATCACAGCAGTATCCCACAAACAGTCATGGATTGAGTGTCCAAATTATTCACATTATTTACTGTAAAATGCAATGACTACATTTGTAGACGATTGCAGGATCTAATTTGTGCACAGCAATGTCCTACACACACGAGTGACAAATTTTACCTGGAGGATTGTTGGTCAGGTTCCCGGGAGAAACTCCCTTCTCTTTTTGAGTGGATGTCATTTGTAATCTGGACGAGTATTGCCTCATTGCTGTGAATTGGGCGAATCTAGCCTGGAGGGGCTTGAGAATAGAGAGGGAGGAAAGGTGTGAGGGAAGTTGGGTGGCTTGACATTGCTTTGACATGTAATAAAATAGGGACTGTAGCTCAGTGATTAGAGCACTCGCTTTGCAAGCGAGAGACCTGAGTTCAATCCCAGGCAGGGCGAAACCTTGGGCAAGTTTCCTTACTCCACACAGAGCCTAATAATAATCCCCCCTAAACCAAAAACAATAATAAATTGGTAATTTTCAATCTACGACTGTTTGTGGGACATTGCTGTGCGCAATTGGCTGCCGCGTTCGCCCACAAATATACAGTCAATTCACTTTACAGTGTGTTCTGTGAAGCGCTTTGGGACGTCCTCCCGACGTGAAAAGCGCTATATCAAATGCAAGGATTATTATTATTATCATCCTGGACTGTAAGCTCAAAATCCCACCAAGGAGTTTGAACCCATAACAGAGGTTGCTACCAACTGAGCCAGACTGACAAATGGTTTAGGGAATGGAACATACATCAAAATTCCCTGTTGCCATGTACAAATAAAATTACTGTAATAAATAATTGAATCTCCATTGATGTATCAGTTGTTTAACCTGTGGGACCCTTCATCAAATTGGTGCTTATCTTTAACTTTGATTCTGCTAGGTTTTCCACTTGCATGAGAGCTTCTTGATAATCTTGTCTTCATTTTTATATTTTGTAAAATATATTTATAAGCATATTATAAGTTATTTTGTAAAATGCAACTTGTATGTTTATAGATAAATATATAAATCTGTAAAATCTCCTTTCTGCTGGTTCTCTTCCACCACCAGCCAGCTCCGATATCTGTACGTCTGTCAATAGGTGGTGCTACTACCATCCAGCTAGTGAGGGCTCAAACCTGTGCTTGTCAGATGTCGAACAACCTACTAGTGACCATCCTCTTTGTGGGAGGTAAGCAGGGTCTCCTTGGAACTGTCTCCAAGTTGACATGCGTGGCAATGGAATGTCGGAATCGAACCAGCCTCTGTGGTGGTCTCAATAGTCGGGTCCTGAGCCACGTGGGGCCACAGTATTCCAGGGCACTACTGATGACAGCACAGCCAGCCTGGCTCATCAGCAGGACCTGGATGGGCAGACTGGCATTGGGTAGTCATCCAACTCAGCTCCTGTTAACCCTGCAAGCCAAAGCCCTACCGGGTAGGGTAGCAGCGGGAAAACTTGCCGGACAGCAATATCAATGGCAAACTATGGGGTTTTAACATTTGAATTCCAGCAGCACCCTAACGCCACACTCTGGGGTCCCTAAGCCTTGGCTTTTGCCAAGCTGCGCCTAATACTTTCCAGAATTAGGTAAGTAGGATAAGTCCCTCTAGGAAGAGAGTGTGTATACCATTCCAACAGTTTATCTCTGTGATTTCCACGTGTTGGTGGGATGCATGGAAATCTCCGTTTGGTTTGGATGCTCTTTAGCTTGGTGATGGGTTTCTGCATGTCTCGAGACATCCGGCTCACCCCCCAAAAAATCAAGCTGTCCTTCATGACAAAACGCATCATAATTATTTGATTTAATTTATTTGTACATTGCTGAAAATACAACATTATTGGAACTGAGCAGGTTAGCATTGCAGGATTGCAACCTGCAGGAAAGGGCAATTATAGCACTTATAGCCCTGACTGAGATCAGTTAATAGCATAGTCAAGAATTAAATTAGGTCTGTAATAATAATAATTGCAATTGATTATAGCCCCTTATGTCATTGTCTCAAAACGCTTCGCAAAATATACTGTAAAGTGTAAAGACTGTTTATTTTGTATAGTTCAGAAACCTACTACTGTATGAGGTATGTTTAAAAACTTCTCATATGAGTTCTCCATAAAACATGTCACAAACAGCTTTTATTCACTAGTTTTTCATTGTATGCCTCAAAGTAAATTGCTTTTTGTTATTTGAGCTTTGTTACATTTCAACTTCTCAAATCTTAAAATTGGAGAAATATTAAAATGTCTTTCCTCTCCCTATAACTTGGATGTTTTACCTTTATTTCTTTTGTAGTTTCAATGATAACTAAGGGTAACATTCCTGTTCTCTGCTAGACTACTGTAATTGTTAATCTAACCATTTTCTTGGCCGCAAATCAAGTATTTAACTATTTTCTGTTAACATTAGCAAAATAAAAGTTAGCTATCCTTGGTAAATTTAACACCTCTTTGGAGCTTGATGTCAACACTCCAATATTCACATGATGCTTCCCCTCTCCCATGGTCAAATAGCCAGCTGTCACTGACTGCCTACACTTACGCGCAAAGAATGGTCGTTTTGATGAGATGCTGAAGAGCACCCAGAAATTTCAATACACACACTAAGGCTTATCTTGAACTGTACATCGGAATGAATCCATGTCTTCAGGAACTTAGAAAAAATTGTAACCCTTTAGTTTAGAGAATTGCTATGCCCAATACATAATAAAATCATATTAACACCAGAGTCCTATAGGGATTGTTTAAGTAAAACCAAAGGTTGTATTCTGGAGCTCTTCTCCGTATTGATAAGCCGAGTGTGAATTTGCTATTGCATTGTACACTGACAAGTGGGCATTTTTTTAGAATTGAACACATTTTGTTTTCCTTCCA